TGGATTAGGTACTACAAGTACTGTTCGGAAGTTTGCTCATTGTCCTGGGAAACAATTGTCCGGATGTACTCTTTGTATATCCTTTGGCATGAAGTTAGATCCAGTGTATTGTTATGGATTTTAGCGCTGTGAACACATCCACTATATGCCCCACCCAAAGCGTACCACCATAAAATATTAAAAGTTTATGTATAATGGTCGGAAATCCCCAAAACCTAAATTAATGCAAAACATCCGGACAATTGTTTCCGTCACTATACCTTGTGTTGCCTAGTCTAGGTGTGTAGTCTAGGTTCCCCTGCTGCGTCAGGTTTAGGACTAGGACCTCCTGCCTAGTTTAGCTTAGGCTCTACGCTAGTCCCCCTGCCAGCTGCCGCTACTGCAGATGCTACTGATTCGCTCTCTTTCACGCTCGACTCTGGAGCGTCTGTCTGCTTCTTCCGCAACCACACTTTGCTCACGCCGCTTGCCGCCCTGGCTGCTGTAGCACTTGCTGACCCCTTCTCAGGTGTGGTAGCCGCATGTAGCTCCACTACCCTTCCTTTGGGCTCTCTTACAGGCTTGCACATCCCCTTGTTCTCCAGGAACCTAGTTGGTGTCGGCTGTCGTAAGGACCTTGGCGCCAACACTACGTTCCCTGGACACGAGTGGTACGCCGTCTGTACTGAGGCTGCCACTTGTGCCCCTCTTACCACGTTCCCCCGGGACCCCGTGTCTGACCTGTTCACGCTGGACACTGCGTACCCCCTGGTCGTAGCGTCCCCCCAGGTAGCTACAAACTGCTCGTGTTGGTCGCTTACCCACCCTTCACCACTGTGGCACCACCACCTAGGTCACCCCGCACTCCAGCGTCTGGGTCACATGTCCCATTACGGGCTTCTCTGTGGTCTCCCTACGTCACTCCATGCCCTCCCTCCCTCGCCTGCGCCGCTGTGCACACCCTGCGTTGAGGGCCAGCTGTGCCGTTCCCCCCACTCCTCCTCGCTCCCCCCTACAACTGCGCCACTCTAGACCTTGCACCTGGACGTTTGGGGTCCCGCCCCAGTCCCTGGGCCGTGTCGCGAACGCTACTTTCTAGTGCTTGTCGATGACTTCACGCGCTACACCATGGTGTTTCCCCGGGAGCAGAAGGCCGACGTGCTTGGCGTTCTTATCTCGTGGATTGTAGCTGCGCAGGTCCACCACGGCCTCCTTGTGCTGCGTCTTCACTCTATCCGTGGTGGCGAGTTCGCCTCCGATCGGCTAGGCCAATTCTGTCGTGCAGAGGGCATCACCCAGTCGTACACCTTGCCGGACTCCCCGCAGCAGAATGGGGTCGTTGAGCGACGCATCGGTTTGGTTATGGAGGTGGCTCGTACCTCCATGATCCATGCCGGTGCACCCCATTTTCTATGGTCGTTCGCTGTTGGCTACGCCGCTCACCAGCTTAACCTGTGCCCACACTCCCAACGGCCGCTCGTTTCACCGACCCTTCTCTGGACCGGGTTCCCTGGTGACGCGTCTGCATTCCACGTCAGGGGCTGCCTTGCTCACGTTTGTGCCTTTGGTATGGACAAGCTTACTGCCAGCGCCATCCCTTGTTTCTTCCTTGGTTTCCCCCTCGACGCGTCTGACCGGCCCATTTACCACCCGCTGTCTCACCGATTCTTTCACTCCCGTGACGTCACTTTTGACGAGTTTGTCTCTTTCTACTCCCGCTTTCCCTACCAAGTTCTCCCGGTTTCCCTACCCCTGTTCCTCGTCCCCACTCCCCTAGTAGCCCCCGCTCCCCTTCCTCCCCGTCCTGCCCTGCCTGGTGTGTCTCACGTCACTCCCCTCCCGTTGGTTGTCCCGGTCAAGGAGTCGCCTAACTCCAGGGGCCCCGCGGCTCAGGTATCATCGCCTGTCTCTGCCCCGGTGTCCCCTCCTCCGTTGCCGTTGCAACTGCAGTAGCAGTCGTCGGAGCCGCAGCCGCTGTCGCCGCAGCAGCCGCCGAAGGAGTCCGCAAGCTCTAAGGGTGCCGGCGTTGAGGAGGGTGCTAGTCCTGGGGGTCCTGTCGTGGCTTGTCCCGGTGGTCCCGGGGGTGGCACTGGTGCTAGAAAGGGTTCTCGTTATGGGGGTGCTGGCGTGGAGCTTTCTGGAGGTAGCCGTGGTGTAGTTGGAGGTTCTGGTGTCGGTGTGGAGCAGCAGCAGCACTCGCCGCCGGTGTCCGCCCTTCGCCTCCTCGGTCTTCCCTCCCCTGATCGCCCGTAAGCGCCTCCCCCGCCTGTCTACGGTCCTTTGCTTCCTCCGCCAGACTCGTCTCCAGCTCATTTTCCCTTGCGTTCTCCTCTTGTGTCTCCTCATGTGTCTCCTGACTCGACGCCTCCCTCCCACTTCCCGTCTCGCCGTCCCTCTCGTGCTCGTCCTGTCTCTCCTATCTAGCGCTCTCACCCCATGTTGCTCCGTTCCCATCGTCTCGTCCTCCCCTCCTCCCGTCGCCTCCTCCGTCGTCGCTCGCTGTCACTCCGACTCCCCTGTCTGACTTCCTCCGTGCCACCAGTCCGCTTGTTCCTCGGGTCCTCGCCTCTCTTGTCACTGACCCGTCTATTCCTGTCTCCAGTCTTGACGCTCTTGTCGCTGCCATCACTGACTTTGCCTCTACCTGTCGCCTTGACTACGCCACCGCTCTGGTCTCTGACCCTGCCTGTCCTTCGTCCGTCGGGGGTGCTCCTACCCTTAGCAATGACGTCCTAGAGGACCGTCAGTATGAGCTTGCTTTCCTGTCCGAGGCCGCGCCTCATCTCCACTCCATGCTGCTAGTCCCAAATGGTGACCCAGACGCCCTTGATATCCCGACCCCTCGCATTTACGCTGAGGTGACATATGGACTCTGTGCCTCTCAGTGGATAGCTGCCATGGACACGGAAATGGCATCTTGGAGATCCACCGGCACCTAAGTCGACATAGTTCCCCTACCTGGGGTGAACGTAGTCAATGGCCAGGCGCCCTTCAAGGTGAAGCGCCCTCCTGGAGAGCCGCCGGTGTTCAAGGTGTGCTACGTTGCTAGGGGCTTTAGTAAGCGAGAGGGGGTTGAGTTCTTTCATACCTAAGCCCCGACCCCAAAGATGACATCTCTTTGGGTGCTGCTATTCGTAGCAGCACAGCGCGAATACGAGCTGCACTCTCTTGACTTCTCGACAGCGTTTCTTCAAGGCAATCTTTACGAGCAGGTCTACCAGCGTCACCCGTTAGGCTTTACCGGCACCTTCGCCCCTGGGTTCGATTGGCTCCTCTAGTGCCCGGTTTACGGCCTACAGCAGGCACCTCGAGAGTGGCACGACACTCTTTGTGCTACGTTAGCTGACCTGCAGACCTGTCGCTCTTCGTTCCCATCCTCTACAGACCTGTCGCTCTTCGTTCGTTTAGGCCAGACCCCGTTCTACATCCTTGTCTACGTAGACGACCCGGTCTTCGCCACTGTAGACAGGGATGCACTGGCCTTTGTGAAGGCCAATCTGCTGAGGAGACACACCTGCACTTACCTAGGAGAGCTGCGTCGCTACCTTGGCCTGCAAATCTCCAGGGACAGAGCAGCGCGCACCATCACTCTCACCTAGTCACACTTGGTGGGCCAGGTCCTTTAGAGGCTCGGTCTTCAGTTCTCCTCCGCACAACCCACACCTCTGCTAGTAGACTACAGGCTATCGGCTCCAGTCTCTGAGGAGTCAGTAGAGCCTAGTGGTCCATACGCAGAGCTGGTGGGTTGCCTCATGTACCAGATGACTTGCACTCGCCCAGATCTCGCAGACCCTCTCAGCATCCTGGCTCGCTTTGTGGCCACATGCAGACACCGAGCGCAGCACTGGTCACCCGTTAAGACGGTTTTGCATTATCTAGCAAACATATTGGGCATGGGGCTAGTGCTAGGAGGTAGCATGCCAGTTGTTCTCGTAGGGCACACAGACGCTTCGTGGGCGGACGACGCTGAGACGCGCAGGTCCTCCCAGGGCTATTGCTTTAGCCTTGGTGCAGGTGCCATCTCGTGGAGGTCGACTCGCTCGTCGTCTGTTGCCCAGTCTAACTGTGAGGCTCAGATCTACGACGGTGCCATGGCGCCACAGGAGCTCCGCTGGCTGACTTGCTTACTCACAGACTTAGGTGAGCGGCCTAGCTTTGCCCCAGTCCTGTACGCAGACAACAGGGCCATGATCCTCCTGTGTGAGGAGCCCCGAGTGGAAGGCAGAGCGAAGCACATCCAGCTGCGATACTTCCTCATGCGCGAGCTACAGCAGCGCCGCCAGGCCCGCGTAGTACACTTGGCCTCCTGTGCCAACACAATCGATATCTTTACGAAGGCGCTTGCGCCTAAAGATCATCAGCGGCATTGTATACAGCTTGGTCTAGTTCCTGTAGCTTCTCACTTGCTAGGCCCTTGATTGTGTACTTCTCATTTTAGTATCTTGACTGGCCTTGTGGCCCTTGTTCTAGTGGCTGGAGTAGTAGTGCCGCTCTGGGTTGCTCCTGTTTAGTTTGTACTCTTGCTGACTGGTCTTCGGACCCTTGCCTCAGAGGTTGGACTAGTAGTGCCACCCTGAGCTGCGTGTCTCTTGTACGGCACGGTTCCTCATCTAGCTTAGGGGGTGTGTCAAACATATATTGATATGTTACTATAGACTAAATAGGTGCGTACTCTTAGAGAGTACAACCCCGTAGCACAAAACAACCGTGTATCACAGATTCTAGTTTATTTCGCTACTTTGATACTAGCGTGCATTCTAGATGAGCTCTAGCACACCATAGAATCTAGCTTGATATTAGATGATACTAAAACTTTCGTAGTGAATAGAACAAATTCCTAGAAATATGACTCTAAAATTGAAGCAGTGAAGTACGTGAAAGGACTTGCAACAAGTTTCTATAATTGAACATTTGAGGAATTTCTCATATGGGTTGCTCTTCAGCGACTTTATCCATAATGAGGCTTCCAATATTAAAAGTACTCAAAACAAAAGCAACATTGTGAAGTATAATCTCGTACAAGAACACCACCTTATGAATCCCTGCGCGCCAAGCGCTCTCTGGCAACTGAATTACCCTTCCTCCTTACTCTCTAGTATCGTCGCGTGAGTGTACGAGAAGAAAAAGGTGTGACTAAAGGGTGAGCAGGGCATTTGACCGTTGTCTACTGCACTCGGCGTTACCCTAGCATCCTCGTTTTGCCATCATGCTCAACGCTCCTGTTGATCAAGCGGGATCGGACGGTCGCACGGCGACCGCGTTGCGACCAGACGGTCGCACGGCGACCCAGTTGCGACCGATGCTCGCCAGCCGGGGTCCGCTGTGCCGCGCTGATGGCTCCGCGAGATGGTCTCTAGGTGTGTGACTGTAGCGGGCGAGGTGGTCCTCCGGCAGGGGGCTATTACGGGCGACTCGGTCCCTCAAGGGTGGACAAACGCGGGCTGGATGATCCTTAGGCGGGTGACTGTAACGGGCGAGATGAGCTGGTCTCGAAAAGGGTCGCTTATACAGGATTCGCAAGCGGAGAAACAGGATGAGCTTGCTACAGGAAACCTTGTCTTATACGACACTCATGCCTATCTTGTAGCGAATCCAAACAAAACAATTCACGGTTCTTATCGCCATGTCTCGCTAACCTCTCGTCCCCATTCTCCGTGCCCTTCCGCAACCCCCAATAACCCCCCCTCTCCCCCCCTTCACGCTGCCTCATCTTCCCCCTTCTCCCCTTCTTCCAGGCCACACGTGTGCGGTGGCAGGGGTGTGGGCGGCGGGGAAAGGGTGTGGGCGGCAGGGACTGGGGATGAGCCGACTATCCCGTTTCGTCCTCTCCCTTACCCCACAAAACTTCTACCCTTCCATAAACCCTCCCGGGCGACATGTGTGTGGTTGCGGGGCCGTATGGGCCGTGGGAACGGCGTGTCGCCTCTCTCCTGCCCATCGCTTCCCGGCTTCCGTGCATGCCGCCCCCCCTCTCCCCCCCCTCCCCCAACCCCCCCCTCCTCCCTCCAGGTGACACGTGCGTGGTAGCAGGGGTGTATGGGCCGCGGGGAATGGGCGTGGCGGGCGGGGGGCTGGCAGGGGGGGGGGCGGCAGCGGGGCAGGGGAAGGAGGACCCCTTGCGGGCATCCCTGCAGGTCATCTGGGCGCCGAGGAATGGGTTGGCAGGTCAGTGTGATCATAGTGAGTGTTACTGAAATAGTTGCACACACTACATGGGAATGCTGATGCAGTAGCAGCGGGGTAGGGGAAGGAGGATCCCCTGGGGGCCTCCCTGCAGGTCATCTGGGTGCCGAGGAGCGGACTAGCAGGTCGGTGTGACTGTAATGGTTGTGACTGTAAGAATTGTATACAATACCGGGAGTACTAGGGAAGGAGGACCCCCTGAGGGCCTCCGCCTCCCTGCAGGTCATTTGGGCGCCGAGGAACGGAACGGACTAGCAGGTCGGTGTGATTGTAGTGAGTGTGACTGTAAGAATTGTACACAATTCCAGGAGTACTAGTGCAGTAGCAGCAGGCTAGAGCAGGGGAAGGAGGACCCCCTGAGGGCATCCCTGCAGGTCATCTGGGCGCTGAGGAATGGGCTAGCAGGGGCATCCGTATGTACGATGTTTGAGGCGCCTTAAAAGTTGCATTCTGGGCGCTCAGGAATGAAGTCGCAGCCTGGCTGGCTGGCAGGCAGGCAGGTCAGTGACATCCGTTTGATTCTCCATCCTCTTCTTGGGGCGCCTCATCTTTGAGGCGCCTCAGAAATTGGCAGGCAGGCAGATGAGTGACATCCGAGACCAATGGACCCATATTTTTCAGGGTTAACCATGGTGGAAATAGCCTTGCGAGGCAGCGGTTCTGAAAAAGCTCGAGCTGAAGGGATGTGAGGAAGTTTTTGACGGAAAACCAGTGATGAACTGGTTTCGGCTTACACAAGCCTTCATCAGCATCTACTGAACATCGGAGCATTCGAGCTGTCTAAATAGTGAGAGTGCGACCCGAGAAAAACTCGAGGGTCCACACCATCCCCGAGAAGGGGTCACTGTAGCCTAGCAAAAAACTAGATAAGTGTAACAAAATTGAAACACCAAACTAGCGTTTCCTTGCTGCGACTATAAAATCCTTGATCTTCTTTGGCAGCTTCCATGCAATCAATGCACGTCGGCCAGAGAATAAACCGTGTGTCTGCTTGTCCAGTTGTATTTTGAGTCGACTCAAAATACAACAGGCGCCTCAGAAATTGGCAGGCAGGCAGATGAGTGACATCCGTATGATTCTGCATCCATCCACTCCAGTGGGCTCCTCTCTTCTTGCCTTCAACAATCACTCCCGCATGCCCTATCTTCAACCCCTTCCATTACTCCCTCTGAACCTTCCCTAAAACCCCCCTTTGGTACTCCCACAAAACCCCTTTTTGAAACTCCTTCCAAAACCATATTGTAACGGTGTAACCCCATCGTCATGCTACTTTCAGGCTCCCAGGAGCGGTACTGCGAGGCTGTGGTGCGGCAGACAGTGGATGCTGTGCTGCTGTCGTCGCTGCTGCCACGCACCAGAATACAGCTGCAGCTGCAGGTGGGTTGATATGGGTGCAGTGCGGTGATAAGTGTTGCTGCTGCCGCGCACCAGAATACAGCTGCAGCTGCAGGTGAGGTTGGTGTGGGTGCAGTGCGGTGTGGTGATGCAAATGTTGTTGCAGCCGCACACGAGAACACAACTGCAGTTACAGGTAGGTTGACGTGGGTGGCATGCGGTGCAGAGGCGTTGATATACATGGCCATATCTTCTCAGTATGTTGTCAGAGGCTTTAAAGCGAGGGTCTCAAGAAGCGCGAAACCAAATCCAAAAGGTTTGGTTTTGGGTTGACGAAATTAGCGAAACAGTAACAGCGCCCAACCAGCACCCCTCACCACACCTCGCAGTTTTCGAGACCCCCCGAAACCAAAACCTTTGGATTTGGTTTTCTGCTTCTTGAGACCCTCGCTTTAATATGCATGGCCATGTCACCTCAGCGTGTTCTCAGGGGCTTTGATCCTGCGCACTCTAGACGCCCTTCTGACTCTCCAACGTTACACAGTTGTTGGGTTGTGTTTTTCCCTCTCCAATTCCTCACTTGCACATTGCATGGCCCCTCTAACTCCTATCGCCCTACACCTTCCCTCCTCGCTTCCCCAACCCCCCCGTCCCTTTCTAATAGCTCTCCCTTGTCGCGCTCTTCTACATGACATGGCGATTTCTTTGTTGATCATCCCCTCCTTCCTTCTCCTGCGCTCTCCCTTCACCCAACCCCTTTCCATTTACCCCCGTGTTTCTTCTCCCTCTCTCTATACTCCTCTCCCCCTCTTCACATCCTCTCTATCGCTGTGTGTGCAGGTGGTGCATGATGATGGTTCGGTAAGTGTTCGTGCTGCCAATATGCCTCAATAGGCTGCCGCACCTCACTACAATTGCACGTTCGCCTTATGCCTCATTGATTCAAAAACCGTCTTCTGAGTAACATTTGTCGGTTGTCGCAACCTTCCATCTCTTTTGCCCATCTCAAAACCCCCCTCAACCGTGCACCTGCTGCCTTCCACACTGTTGCGCACTCCCTGCCGTCCCTGCCGTCCCTGCTGTCCCTGCTGTCCCTCCCTTCCTCCACCCACACCCCCTGCTCCTGCTCTGTGTTTGAGGCGCCTCAAAAATAGGCGCCAAAAACACAGGCGCCTCAAGAATAGGCGCCTCAAATATAGCCTTCTCCACCCACACCTCGCGCTCCTTCTCTGTGCTCTCAACGCCCCCACTCACCAACGCCGCCCCCTACCTGCCACACCCCTCTATTCCCCCTCTTCCTCCTCTCCCCCACCCCCCACACCTCCCCCTTCCACAGCTGCTGCCCTGTGCGCTCAACGCTGCCTTTGCTGCTCTTCTCGATGCCGGCCTGCCTCTTTCCTGTCTGCCAGGTGACTCCCTCTTTCCTGTCTGCCAGGTGACTCCCTCTTTCCTGTCTGCCAGGTGACTCCCTCTTTCCTGTCTGCCAGGTGACTCCCTCTTTCCTGTCTGCCAGGTGACTCCCTCTTTCCTGTCTGCCAGGTGACTCCCTCTTTCCTGTCTGCCAGGTGACTCCCTCTTTCCTGTCTGCCAGGTGACTCCCTCTTTCCTGTCTGCCAGGTGACTCCCTCTTTCCTGTCTGCCAGGTGACTCCCTCTTTCCTGTCTGCCAGGTGACTCCCTCTTTCCTGTCTGCCAGGTGACTCCCTCTTTCCTGTCTGCCAGGTGACTCCCTCTTTCCTGTCTGCCAGGTGACTCCCTCTTTCCTGTCTGCCAGGTGACTCCCTCTTTCCTCCGGCCCTCCTCTGCCAGGTGACTCCCTCTTTCCTGTCTGCCAGGTGACTCCCTCTTTCCTGTCTGCCAGGTGACTCCCTCTTTCCTGTCTGCCAGGTGACTCCCTCTTTCCTGTCTGCCAGGTGACTCCCTCTTTCCTGTCTGCCAGGTGACTCCCTCTTTCCTGTCTGCCAGGTGACTCCCTCTTTCCTGTCTGCCAGGTGACTCCCTCTTTCCTGTCTGCCAGGTGACTCCCTCTTTCCTGTCTGCCAGGTGACTCCCTCTTTCCTGTCTGCCAGGTGACTCCCTCTTTCCTGTCTGCCAGGTGACTCCCTCTTTCCTGTCTGCCAGGTGACTCCCTCTTTCCTGTCTGCCAGGTGACTCCCTCTTTCCTGTCTGCCAGGTGACTCCCTCTTTCCTGTCTGCCAGGTGACTCCCTCTTTCCTGTCTGCCAGGTGACTCCCTCTTTCCTGTCTGCCAGGTGACTCCCTCTTTCCTGTCTGCCAGGTGACTCCCTCTTTCCTGTCTGCCAGGTGACTCCCTCTTTCCTGTCTGCCAGGTGACTCCCTCTTTCCTGTCTGCCAGGTGACTCCCTCTTTCCTGTCTGCCAGGTGACTCCCTCTTTCCTGTCTGCCAGGTGACTCCCTCTTTCCTGTCTGCCAGGTGACTCCCTCTGTTCCCTCTCTGCTCTTCCCTCACCCCCTTTCCTTCCTCTTTCGTCATGAGGCTTGCTGACCTTTCGTGCTGCCCGATGGCCCCCGCTCACCCCTTCCTAACCCTTCTTCCCTTCTGTGCCATCTCAGCCGCGGTGCAGCTAGCACTAGACGCACAAGGCCAACTGCTGTTGGACCCAACCAAAGAGGAGCAACAGGTGAGCCCTCTGTAGGTGAGCCCTCCGTAGGTGAGCCCTCCGTAGGTGAGCCCTCCCTAGTAGAGGAATCTATTTCTGAGGATAGACGAAGACTCGGCCACAGTGCAGCTAGCGCTAGACTCACAGGGCCAACTGCTGCTGGAACCAACCAAAGAGGAGCAACAGGTGAGGCTTCCCAGGTGAGCCTTCCCCAGGTGAACCTTCCCCAGGTGAACCTTCCCCAAGAGAGCGTTTTCCAATCCTGCCCTCCCTGCATTCACAAGGCCAGACCCAACCAAAGAGGAGCAATAGATGAGCCTTCCCAAGGTCACCCTCCCTCTCGCCCGTTTTCCTCCTTCCCTTCCCTTCCTTTCTCCCGCTACCATCCCATCCTCCCTCTTCCCTCCTTGCCTAGTGCCCATGCTGCGCCCCCCCCTCCCCCGCAACAGATGTATGGCCCCCCTCTTCTGCTACCCTCTGCACCTTGCTTGCCAACCGCCCGTTAACACTTGTCCTTCACCCCCCCCTCTTCCCCCCCCACAACTACCCACAACAGACATCATCTGCCACCCTCTGCACAGTGTTTGCCAGCCGCCCGCTAGCACCGGACGGCGCTGTGCTGGCCACAGTGCCCAGTGCAGTGCCTGGTGGGGCAGCAGCGGCAGCGAGTAGCAGCGGGCAGGAGGCAGTGGATGGGATGATCACATGTGAAGCCACGGGGCGGATCAAAGGTAAAGGGGGTGGATGGGCATGGGTGGGGTGGATGGACATGGATGGGGTGGATGGGCATGGATGGGGTGGATGGGCATGGTTAAGATGGATGGGCATGGTTAAGGTGGATGGGCATGGGTAGGGGGTTAGCTGAATAACAGCAGTGGGCAAGGGGCAGTAGATGGCATGATGGCATGATGGCATGATGGCATGATGGCATGATGGCATGATCACATGTGAAGCCACAGGGAGAATCAAAGGTGAGGGATACGAGGAGGAGATTAAAGGGATGGGGCTGGATGTGCGTGGAGAGGGGGGGGGGGTAGAGTAGATGGCATGATCACATGTGAAGCCATGGGGAGAATCAAAGGTGAGTGGATGGGTGTGGGTGATTGAAGGTGAGTGGATGGGTGTGGGTGATTGAAGGTGAGTGGATGGGTGTGGGTGATTGAAGGTGAGTGGATGGGTGTGGGTGATTGAAGGTGAGTGGATGGGTGTGGGTGATTGAAGGTGAGTGGATGGGTGTGGGTGATTGAAGGTGAGTGGATGGGTGTGGGTGATTGAAGGTGAGTGGGGGTATGAGGTGAGTGCGTGGGAGGTGAGTGCATGGGAGGTGAGTGCATGGGAGGTGAGTGTGTGGGAGGTGAATGGAGAGGAGTTGGTGATCAAGCTAGATAGCTTATTCTGCATACAGAAGCCTTATGCAAGGTCGATTAGCATTGGCGTGTTTGTCTGTTTTGCGTGTTCCCCCGTAATGCATCCAAGCATCGCTTATATCGCATTGCTCTCCAATTTGCTAAATCACCGAACAAAACCATCCCCCCCATACCATCGTCTTATTACCGCACACCACCGCATATCACCCCTGCAGCACATGCCAGCAATGGGGCGCGCAGAGTTAAGTTGCATCGACCCATTTCTCAACAACACCATCACCCATACGATTATCCCAATCATCGCACATCACTCCTCACCACCGCATATCACCCCGTATCACTCTTCGTCAGCCCTGCTGTACGTGGAGGCATTGGAGCGGGCCGAGCTGGCATGCCGAGTCATCGATGCCTTCTCCCGCACGGGCCTGGAGCGATACCAGGTGCGCTGGCCGTACCATGCAGAACCAAGTGCAGCAGCAGGTGCAGCAGCAGGTGCAGCAGCAGGTGCAGCAGCAGATGCAGCAGCAGGTGCAGCAGCAGGTGCAGCAGCAGGTGCAGCAGAAGGTTCAGCAGCAGGTGCAGCAGCAGGTGCAGCAGCAGGTGCAGCAGAAGGTTCAGCAGCAGGTGCAGCAGCAGGTGCAGCAGCAGATGCAGCAGCAGGTGCAGCAGCAGGTGCAGCAGCAGCAGCAGGTGCAGTAGCAGGCGCAGCAGCAGGTGCAGTAGCAGGCGGAGCAGCAGGTGCAGTAGCAGGCGCAGCAGCAGGCGCGCTAGCCATAGCATGCATTGGCATCGGGGCTTTGAGCAGAGCTGGCATGCCAAGTCATGGCTGCCTGGAGTATTACCAAGTGTGTGGTGAACAGCATCAGGTATTCAGCAGGTTGGCCCTGTCCCTCGTGCGCTGCCGGTATTGAAGCAGGCCGAGCTGGCGTGCCGAGTCATCGATGCCTGCAGCAATATCAGCTGTGTTGCCAAATGCATGGTACAGTTGCAGTTACCAGCTTTGCCCACACTTCAGTGCCAAAATCCCCCCACCAGCTGTCCTGATTCGGGATGTTTCAAAACGAGAGCTTTGCCTTCCTGCAGTTACTACCACTTTCCTGACAAGCTTGTCTTGATTTGGAGCCCCGTTCCTTCCCCTCCCTTCCTCCATACTCCTGGGGTTAATTCATTTCGTTTTTTTTGCAGAAGAGAAGAGAGGTGCTGTCAGCGTGAGGTGGGTGGGTGGGAGCATTTGTATGGAACATTCTACATCACAATAAAATTCTACAGGATTTCCTACACCTGTATCAGGCGCACATCATAATCATGTATGCGGTTCAGAGACCACTTGAGATTCCCTCTGACTAAATGCACTGTGCCTGGTGTCATCATGATGAAGAAATCCCATACAGGCAAGGCATGCATAACATCAATGGAGCCAGGATTCTCAAAATTCAGCGTATCACTGATGGAAAGCATGGTACTATTATTGACTAAAATCCCTCTGGTTTCGGCAGGAAATGATGTAGAAATATCTAAGATTCCAAAATCGGTCTAAAAAGAATTCTTACATAGCCATGCATGTTTCAGGTCAATGATTTGTGTCCTGTTTTGTTACCATGCCACCGTCCTGTCTTTCTTTACATCATCATTAGCACTCGCAAAAAGATTAGAGGTGCAAACATGATTACATCATCGCCCATAGTGAGCACTTCTAGTGATGCCACATGAGAGCGCATTCCTGCGCTTCCCACACACAGGGATTACGATTGCACTCACACAGAAGTTCAATTCCTCCCTTGCACCTGACAGTACAACACCAGTCTGATCCTGATCCCGGTTCAAAGGAATACGCCCTTACAACAATCGAATTATAGACCTGAATATCATGTCGTATTTACTGCATCAGCTGGTAATTCTAAGAAGGTGGCTCCAGCATGACTGCACGACGCATCAACAGGGTGTGATGATAACATCGGGATTCCGTGATGATTGCAGCGTGGACATGGTTGCAATGTGATCATGGCGTCATGATTGCAGCATGGAAATGGTATCGTGGAGAATGTCTGGGCGGTCTGAGAAGAGCATGTCACATCCCATTGCTATGCACTCCTCCTGTGGGTGTCATGGGAGGGATGGAATGTGCAAGCATGGTTTCAAAGGTATGTCAAGTGCAGCATGTCAAGTGCAGACATGGAGCTGTGATGAGTGTGTGGCCAGCATGTCATATGACTCACGTCCCATGGCCACGCACTCCACTTGCCAGTGTGGTGGGAGGGGCGGAATGTGCAAACATGGTTTCAAGCGTGTTATCCCCAAACACAGAAACCCACCTCTGGTCAATGTTTTCGTGTCTCTACCCCTCCCCTTCCCCCCCTCTAGGCTCTACATGCCACTACTCCCCCCCTCTCCCCCCCCCACTCAACGTCGCACCTGCCCCTCCTTGTGGTCGATGTAATCCCCAAACACAGAAACCCATCTCTGCAGGAATGAGTGAGAAGGGAGAGAGAGAGCGAAAGGGAGTGAGAAAGAGGAGGAAAGGACGAGGATGGGGGAAGAGGAGAGGAGGAAGAGGGAGCGAAGGGAACAAGTGACTGTAGGAGGAGAGGGAGCGAAGGAAGCACGTGACTGTAGACACCCCTCAGGTTCTGAGCGCGTAAGGAAGGGTCTATAATTTGAGCGAGCAAGGAAGGGTTTATAATATGAGCGAGCAAGGAAGGGTTTATAATTTGAGCGAGCAAGGAAGGGTTTATAATATGAGCGAGCAAGGAAGGGTTTATAATTTGAGCGAGCAAGGAAGGGTTTATCATTTGAGCGAGCAAGGAAGGGTTTATAATATGAGCGAGCAAGGAAGGGTTTATAATTTGAGCGAGCAAGGAAGGGTTTATAATATGAGCGAGCAAGGAAGGGTTTATAATTTGAGCGAGCAAGGAAGGGTTTATAATATGAGCGAGCGAGGAAGGGTTTATAATTTGAGCGAGCAAGGAAGGGTTTATCATTTGAGCGAGCAAGGAAGGGTTTATAATATGAGCGAGCAAGGAAGGGTTTATGATTTGAGCGAGCAAGGAAGGGTTTATAATATGAGCGAGCAAGGAAGGGTTTATAATTTGAGCGAGCAAGGAAGGCTTTATCATTTGAGCGAGCGAGGAAGGGTTTATAATTTGAGCGAGCAAAGTAGGGTTTATAATTTGAGCAAGCAAGGAAGGGTTTATAATTTGAGCGAGCAAGGAAGGGTTAATAATTTGAGCGAGCAAGGAAGGGTTTATAATATGAGCGAGCAAGGAAGGGTTTATAATTTGAGCGAGCAAGGAAGGGTTTATCATTTGAGCGAGCGAGGAAGGGTTTATAATTTGAGCGAGCAAAGTAGGGTTTATAATTTGAGCAAGCAAGGAAGGGTTTATAATTTGAGCGAGCAAGGAAGGGTTAATAATTTGAGCGAGCAAGGAAGGGTTTATAATTTGAGTAAGGAAGGGTTTATACTTTTGAGCGAGCAAGGAAGGATTTAAGGTCTGAAACATACCCCTCGTTTATGGAAGGCAGCAACAAAATCCCGGTTGAGAACCTGCGAAACAAGCACAGAAAGTGACAAGGCGGGGGGAGGGAGGGAGGGAGGGAGGGAGGGAGGGTGGAAGGAGCAGCTGAAGGCAATGCAACCTTCGAACCAGAAAATGTGGAACGGTTGCCTTCAACGGTTGCAGCATTTGAGTCAACCCAAAGGGCAAGAATGGTAGTGGACCGGTCATCTCAGTGGCTAGGCGCAAATGAAGTGTACCTTGCATCCCCTCAGCGCCTGAGCTCTGAGCTGCAAGGAACAGGACTTGTGGTTCCTCAGCACGCAGCGAGCACGAGTACCTTGTATCCCCATCTGTATGCCGTTGTTCCCACCATCTCGTGGCGCATCGGAATAAGCCAAAGAATGCCGACCACGTAGCAGATGTACCTGTGAGTGAGAGAAGGTGAGAAGAGACGATGAGAAGAGAGTCACTCTAGGAAGGTATGAAAGTGAGGTGACTTTTGAGTCGACTCAAAAGTCACCTAGCTATGAAAGTGTTTCGAGCAGGACAAATGGGGCCAAATGTGTTTTTTTCTTTTCTTTTCTTTTCCTTTTTTTTCCATAAAAACAATGACAAAAAGATGGTACAGGATATTGTCCAAACACAATACCTAACTTTAGAGGCGAGAGTCACTCGAGGAAGGACTCCTCTCCTTGAAAGATACGATCGGAAAACCTCTGAACCAAAATTGCCACACCATGCCTCGCAAAGTGTGGTGCACGTTACGCAACTCGTCAAACATTCGCCTTAGCGACACGTACCCGTGTGAGAGGAGTGAGCCAAGAGAGACTTTTAGGTGGCAGGAGGAGCGACAACTTACATAAGTATCATGGAGTGCAGGTCAGGCGTGGCAGGCACGAACTTGGGCTTCAGCCTAAGAACCTGAGATCAGAAGATATGGTATATCATCAGGAGATGGTACAAGGAACATGAAACATGGACCAGCAACGAAGCTGGACAAAACAGCCACCTCGGGGGGAGGGAAACCAGGGGAAGGTGGGTTATAAAAGAATTAAAACACAACTGGCTGTGGGCAATTCCGCATGCTCTTCAGATTCCTCATAAAATGACGAACTGCTCGGATCCGCTTTTGAGTCGACTCAAGCAGATTCTGAGCTGACTCAGTGTCAACCACCTTATCTATTTGCGCGCACAACTTACCTCTCTATTTGCTATCGGAGGCACAGCTCCCATTAGTATCCGCTGCTCCAAGCCATACTCCCGCACCATCTGACAATGCAGCGGGACACATACAAAAAGAGGCGCACACATGCATGCGCATGCTGATTAAACCCCAGAAAATGCAACCAAAAAAAGAAGACAACGATGGGAAAAAAGACTAACAGCAAAACGGAATCCAGCAACCACACGACACGGAAACAAAAAAGAGCGCATGCGTGCACTGCGAAAGCAAGAGGAGTGCGTGAGTGAGAACCTCGAGTGTTGGAGCGACAGCTTTAGGCAGCTTGAAGTCCAGATAAAAGACCAGATCCTTGTAGCCAGCAAACTCATCGAACACCTGGCAGGGGGAGTGAAGGAGGGGGAGGGCAGAGCGTGGAGGGGGGGAGGGCAGCAGATGAGAGGGGGAGTCCAGGTGAAAGACCGCGCCCTTGTGGCCGGCCAACCCACCAAACAGCTGGCAGGGGGGGCGCAGGGACGGGAGGGGAGGGTAATGGGCGCGAGGGGGGGAGGGCATCGGGTGGAGGGGAGAGTCCAGGTAGAAGCCCAGTCCCTTGTAGTGAGCAAACTCGTCAAATAGCTCGTATGGGCATGGAGGAAAGCCGGGCACGGAGGGCAGTTGGGCACAGAGGGCAGTTGGGCACAGAGGGCAGTTGGGCACAGAGGGCAGTTGGGCACAGAGGGCAGTTGGGCACAGAGGGCAGTTGGGCACAGAGGGCAGTTGGGCACAGAGGGCAGTTGGGCACAGAGGGCAGTTGGGCACAGAGGGCAGTTGGGCACAGAGGGCACGGTGGTTGAGAAAGGGAAGATGCGAGAAAGGAGCAGAGCAGCAAGGAACAGAACGGCAGAGGATGGCACAGTGCAGCGAGCAGCAGAGCGACAGAGGAAGGAGCACAGAGAGCGTGCCTTGACCACGCCAGCTTGCAACCGTACCTCTTTAAGTGTCGGTATTTGCAGCCCCTTCCCTCTGTACGGGAATGTCTTGCCACCATCCCGCGTAAAGTGATACCCAGCATCCAATGACCTGATGACACGTGGACGGGAAGGGGAAGAGGGGTGAAGAGGAGAACTAACAATTCGTGTACCATCTCACGCAACTACTCGACTCGCCTGAACTGTCACCTTAACTGTCACCTGAACTGTTACCTGAGCTGTCACCTGAACTGGCACCTGAACATTCACCTGGAATTTCACCTGAGCTCCTCCAGCGTGTAGCTCTCCACCAGCCCGCTGCCATCTGTCGTGTCGTCCACCGTCACATTGTGAATCAACACCTGCCACGCGCCCAAACCAACAAAGTCAACAAAGTCAACAAAGGCAACAAAGATTGCAACGCCAACGGCGCCTAAGTCAACAAAACCAAGGAGCTTCAACGAGTCCCAACAGGTCCAAGGGCTCCAGGTCCAGAAACTCAATAGGCCAACAACGCCAAGTCAACAACACGAAGGAGCCTCAATGAGTCCGGGGGGTCCAGGTCCGGAAACTCAAGACAACGAGTCTCCACAGCCCAAATTATTCCAAGACTCAGCGCCTCACCAGCTGTTGGTACGCGGTCAGTTGCACGTCCACTTCCATCTGCGAAGCAGGGTCTAAGCAGTGTCTACGCAGTGGCGACGGAGAGGGAGCAGCATAAGCGGAGCGGAACCGGCAGCAGCTTGAGGAAAAAGAAGAATGTCTCACCAGCTGCTGGTCCTTAGTCAGCTGCACGTCCACTTCCAACAGCTGCGTGCGAAGCAGAGGCACAGCGGCAACAGCGGGGGAATCATCAGACGCACGGCCTGCAGCAGCAGCATCAGCAGCATCGGAATGGCGTCCAACGCCAGCCTCCTCCCCAGGTGCAAAACCATCACCACTGAGCCTGCTCGTGCAGCCGCTGCGTGCTCTGCTGCTGTTGACTGCGACGGCCGACGCACTGCCAAGAGCACTAGAGCCAGCAGCATCAACGGCAGCAGCATCAACGGCAGCAGCATCAACGGCAGCAGCATCAACGGCAGCAGCATCAACGGCAGCTGCACTGCGGTATGCCAGCATGGTGTTCTCGGGCCATGCTCTGGCGCCACCCCTGGGAGAGAGAGAAGCAATCAAGGGATGGAGAGATGGCAACACACACGGAACAGTGACGGGTCGCACGCAGCCGTCCTTGAGAATTCTCATACGGGGGAGACGACGAGCCCACGGCTCGCACGCACTGTTGCTGTAATTCGTTTCTGGACGTGGATGGCCATATGCATGAGGAACGCCCATCGGCGTACCCGTGGCTCGCGTGGACCGGGCGGCGCAGCAGATTGATAACCGTGGGAAAGTCGTTTGGTTAGGTAAGTCGTTTGGTTGGGTAAGTCGTGGATAACCGTGAGACGTCTCAAAACGTACCTGTGACTCGCGTGGACCGGGCGGCGTCTAAGCAGCAGCTTGATAACGGGGTGCGTCTCGGGCCCGAAAGGCACGTCGCGTCGCAAGAACCTCTCGTATAGCGGCTTCAGTACGAGGTAAAACGTGGCCGCGACTGCTGCCGTCCCGCCGGCCACGAGGACAGCTGTCGACAGCCAATCGGTCCCACCGCCACTGGCGGAGATATCGGAATTTGGCATCGACGCTTTGCGCGGCTCCACGGGATGATCAAACGGAAAAGAACGGAAAAGATAAAACGCCAGGCCGAATCAGGATCGCCGTTTACGAGTGAACGGTTCCGAAGCGGATCTATACTTTCTGCAGATTCTAGTCCCAGGAAGTGAGGCAACTCAGATTCGAGCGAGAGAAGACACCAGTGGTGTCAGGAAGCCCAGCGGCCTAATTCCAGTGAGGCGGATCTTTGAAAATTTCCCAAGACAGCATAGCCAAGGCGAACTGCTGTGACACGCCAGAGGAACACCCTTGCCATGAACTCTCAGATAGCTAGCTCATCGGAACTACTCAGTCGAGACTCGTGACTCAAGAACTGCCCAAGGACTCAACTTGGCCATGTGGATGCTCCCAGAATATTCCCCTCTCGTTGCCGCGCTGCCGCCTCGTCACGTTGCGGTCTTGTGGCGTGGCGTTGTCGCATAATTCGCCTAGAAGTCCCCCTCTAAAACTTGGATGATATTCCGTACAGTGGATCCATTTAATACAGGACACACGTATGGTTGTATGCATAAAAAATTTCAAACCACATCCGCATCCCACGTTGTGCATCTGTTGCGTAGCGAGCCATCCCCTCTACCACCGGCCTCATTGTCTTCAACTTCTCTACTGGCACATATTTCTTCCGTAAAGCTTGAGCCATGTGGGTCATGCGCCCCAGTGCAAGCCATAGGCGCATGAAGAAACACTGTAGCCTTCATGCATAGTAGCTTATCAAGGATGGCCTGTTGAAAACCAAAAAGCAGCAATCATCAAACGTGATGCCTATGAGATGAGTCGCATGCGAATGGTGGGGAATGGGATCGACAATAACAGACTACCATAGGAATGGCAGACGTAACGAGACATGCGACCACTTAATCTTACCTGCTACCACCAGGTCTTAAAGCCCAAAGCTAAAATAGCTAAGGCAGGCCCAATTTGAAAGAGAGAGCTGCAAAAATCGACTAAGTGTTGTGGCCCTCTGTTTTTAGTCCGAAACGGCACTGTTCCGAAAGTGCATTTGGCATGCGTAAGAAAATGCAATGATCGTGCGTGATTGGCGCAAAATGGAGAGCACTCGCTCATAGCACGCAATTCGACGCGCAGAACTGCATGAACTTTCGTTCTTGCAGCGACATCCCAGTCACGACGTCGCAACGACGAGCGTGACGTGCAATTGACGCAGGCGACGCGCACACCGGAGATGGTCGTTTGCACGACTCTCAATCGCAGAAGTGGGCTGGGCCCAGGCTGTTTGCTGTTTTAGCTTGGGGCTTTAACTGCAAGCCTGTATCTATCTGGAGACAGCAACCCAGGCATTGGAGGCGCGTCACGAAGTAGTAAGCCACTGAATAAAGCTCACCTGCACGCCCGTATCCAGCTGAGGCACTGAGGGGTCCACAGCAGCCCATGTGATCGGATGGAGCTCCTCATGCAGCAGCTGAAGGACCATGGGGTGCGGTGAAGGGGAGAGTGCATGCAAGTGTGTGTGTGAGAGAGAGGGGGAGAGAGGGGGAGGGAGGGGGGCAGCAGCGAGAGCCCATGCAGAGAGGTCTGGAGCAGCCCATGTGATTGGATGACGCTCCTCGTGAAGCAGCAGCTGCGCAGCAGCGGGAGTGTGGTGAAGAAGCCAGAGGGAGGGCGCTTGGGAACGTCACCATGAGCAGGGTTCACACAAATGAATAACAATCTGCAGATGTTCCTGTAACGAGGTGCACTAATCAATCAGTATTATCTCACCTGCACAGTTCTCAAAGCGAGGTCCCTGTGCTCCTTGCTGAGAACAGTGAACGAGTTGGACATCCACCTGGGGGGTGGGGCAGAAAAGGAGAGACAACGAGACATGGGAGAGGAGAGTAATAGGACAGACTGTTAGGGCGTGTGGCAAGTGCGATCACAGTGATTCTCCGCTCCCATCGTCCGGTCGGTTACCTCTGTACCTCTCAACAATTGTTTTGTAACAAAACAAATCACACTGTACCGCACTGTACAAGACCTCCGTTCCAGTCCCATCGTTTCGACTTCTACTTGCCACACGCCCTTAGCAAGCATAACAAGGCGCACCACAGGTTCCTAGTGGGTTGGGGAAGGAGAGGAGAGCATAGCGGCAATGAGGCAGACTCTACCCAAGCATAACCAGCACTCTGCAAGCACCACAAGGCGCACCACAGGTCCCTGCGCTCCGTGCTGAGCACCGTGCACGAGTTGGGCATACACCTGATGGCAGGGATGGATGGTCAGAAGAAAGGAGAGCAACGGGGCAACGAGGCACAGTTCACCCACGCGCCCACCCACCCACGCGCCCACACCCACCCACGCGCCCACCCACCCACGCACCCACCCGCCCTTGGAAGCAAGCACAAGAAGGCCCACCACCAATCCCCCTGTGCTCCCTGCTGAGCACCGATAATTTATCAGCCACACAGCTGATGCCATGAACCAGCCACGCAGCTGATGCCATGAACCAGCCACGCAGCTGATGCCATGAACCAGCCACGCAGCTGATGCCATGAACCAGCCACGCAGCTGATGCCATGAACCAGCCACGCAGCTGATGCCATGAACCAGCCACGCAGCTGATGCCATGAACCAGCCACACAGCTGATGCCATGAACCAGCCACGCAGCTGATGCCATGAACCAGCCACGCAGCTGATGCCATGAACCAGCCACGCAGCTGATGCCATGAACCAGCCACGCAGCTGATGCCATGAACCAGCCACGCAGCTGATGCCATGAACCAGCCACACAGCTGATGCCATGAACCAGCCACGCAGCTGATGCCATGAACCAGCCACACAGCTGATGCCATGAACCAGCCACGCAGCTGATGCCATGAACCAGCCACACACCTGTCATCCGGAGTCAGATCTGTTGCCAGAAACACCGCCAGCGTTTTTCCACCTCCCTTTTCCTTCCTGCCCCCATCCCCTCCTCCTCCTCCCCTGCCGCCCCCCATACCCACCGTCCTCGCCCACCCCCTCACACTCGCCAGCAGCCCCCGCGCACACGCTGCCAGCTGCTGCGCCCTCACTCCCGCCCTCAGCGCCTTCTCCAGCCGCCAGTGCGCCGCCAGAAACAATGCGCCCCCTCCTTGACTTCCTTGACTTTCTTGACCATTTGTGCCCCCCCCGTTTCCATTCATCGCCCCACCTGCTTGGAAATTCTTCGTTATAAAGTGATCTGCTACAAGGTGCAGGTGCGGTGGGTACACCAGGGCCCTCTGTGCCTTTGATGCCAGCCGGCCTATCCGGGAGAGACACATCAGTGGCGACGACTTGAACACCACCGCCACGTCAGCATTCCGATCGGGCTCTTCGCCAGTAATAGTCTCTTCCTTGCTACCTTCTATTTCTCGCCCTTCCTTCCCTTTCTTCCCCTCCACCTCTTCCTCGCCTCCCCTACTTCCCAGGGCCACCATCGGCTCTTCCCCTGGCAGCACTGTAGCATCTCTGTCCTTTACCAGCAGGTCCTCGGCTCCGGGCGGCTTGGCTCGGCGTTTAGTGGTGCAGGTGCGGGTGCAGAGGGCGGGAGAGAGGAGGGCGCGGTTAAGGAGGAGAGAGGCATTGGAACGAAGCTCGGCATTGGGCTGCAGGCCGGGCGTGTTGGTGTTGCGCCCGACCTTAGCGTAGGACGCTCTCTACTGGAATGGAAGAGGGGGAAACGGGGGGGAAAGGGGGGAAGGGGTGGCGGAGGGGGAGAGGAGGGCGCGGTTGAGGATGAGGGAGGCATTGGAACGTAATGTAGGGTTGGGCTGCAAGCCCGGAGTGTTGGTGTTGAGACCAATCTTGGCGTGGGATGTTTTCTACTGGAAAGGAAGAGGGGGAAAAGGTTGGGAGGGGGAGAGGAGGGCGCGGCTTAAGAAGGGATGGGCGGAATGAAGGGATGGGCGGAATGAAGGGATGGGCGGAATGAAGGGATGGGCTGGAGCCCGGGGGTGGTGGTGTTGCGACCGATCTTAGCATAAGATACCTACTATGGGAGAGGACGGAACGGGGGAGGGGGAGATAAGGGGAAAAGGAGAGACAAGAGGCGGAAAGGGGGAGCACCAAATGCAATTCGAGGCGGCTCACCTCAAGGCATGGAGAGACGGGGATGGGGGGGGGGCGCGGGGGGAAGGGCGAGGCGGGAGACTTCTTACCATGAGACAACGGACTTCTCACCTGAAGCCGCACACAAGCGCGCCTACCTGGCCATCCATGACCCCCACCACACGAAACGAGAGTGGCACCCCGTGGCCCCCTGTGGCACCCCGTGGCCCCCTGTGGCCCCCCGTGGCCCCCGTGGCCCCCGTGGCCCCCGTGGCCCCCCCTGGCCCCCCTGGTCCCCCATGGTCCCCCCTGGCCCCCGTGGCCCCCTGTGACCCCCGTGCCCCCCCGTGCCCCCCGTGGCCATCCGTCAGCACGAATGACTGAGCCCGTCGTCATGCAACAGCTCACCCTGACCTGCACCCTGACCTGCAACCTGATCTGCACCCTGATCTGCACCCTGATCTGCACCCTGATCTGCACCCTGATCTGCACCCTGATATGCACCCTGATATGCATTCTAGATAAACCCCGGGCTGAGTCAAGGCCTGGGCAGGCACCCCAAGCCATGGGCCGGCTGTACGAATGCCACGCCCCCTTGCCCCGTTCTCGCTTCCCCGTTCCTGCCATCCCCCAGCAGCATCGCCACCACTCTCCATTCCATATATACACCTATATACCCAACGCCGTTACACCCATTATCACCCCTGCATACCCCCACCACGTCACATCCCTACCACAGCATCATACCTACCTACCACATCTCATTCCTTCATCTTGCTATCCCCCAACACCAGCACTCCCTTCCCCACCCACCGCATCACACCCCTTATCACCACACCACACCCACCACGTCACAAGCCTTCATCTTATTATCTCCCAGCACCAGCGCCACCACACTCCCCTCCCCTCGCCCTGCTGCCTGCCACGCCGGCACCACCTGCCCATAAAAAAACTCCTCCGAGACCCACGGCACAAACTGCCCGAGGCTGCCCGGGTCGAAATAAGTGCAGAAGGGGAAGGCATAATCTGCTACAGTGCCGATCCGGCTGTTGCCAACGGACGGCAGGATGAGGGTGCGACCTGCATGGAGCGCCACAGATAGCACCTCCCCCAAGTGCAGCCGAGCCTTGCTGAGCTGCTCGTAGAGGCGACCCACGGATATGAACTTGGCGGATAGTAAAGAGGCTGGGAGGCACAGAAAAGGTACGGCAAGGGGAAGTGGGGTGGGGGGGGGAGGAGGAGGGGGGGAGGGGGGAAAAAGGGGGGAAAGGGGGGGGTCGGGGAAGGGGAGTGGGCGAGCTCGTGTATTAGAATGCTCGTGTATTAGAAAGTACGGCGTTTCGTAGAGGCGAACCACTGATATGACATTGGCGGTTGAGAGAGAGGCTAAGCGACATTGATGTGGGGGAGAGGAAAGGGGAGGGGAGGGGGGAGGAAAGGAGACGGGGGGGGTGGGGGAGAATGGATGTGCACGTGTACTCACAGGGATCGATGCTGTCAGAGTATGAAAGGAACGTCATTTTCCCGTAGGTGATTTTTTAGTTGACTTAAATATCACACGAGAGGGGCCGCAAGTCGACTCACAGGGATCGAAGCTGTCAGAGTAAGGGCGAGACGCCATTTCCTGCGGACAAGTGTATGAAAGCGGCGAAAATTCCGCGAAGCCGTCATTGCCTGCTCCCGCTCCTCCCCCATCTGACTCGCTGGACGAATCTCCGCCCTGCGCTGCAACGAGCTGGTGTTTTACATCGAATGGTGGTCCTATAACGAGGATGGCTGGGATCAGAATAACGGCGGCCTGAAGGCGCAGAAGAGATCGGCGAAGAGTGGACATTACGAGTTGCTTCCACTGGTTGAAGACGACTTTTGAAGTCACGAGTTACGACTTTAGACGTCACTTTAGACACTTCAAAAAGTGGGCATAACGAGTTCCTGACACTGGTTCAAGAGGAAGACTACTACTGTAAACACGAGGAAGCTAAGCGAGGCCTATCACGACAGTATGCCGTTCTAAGGCGGCCGCGACCGCGATTCCTTAATACTGCTGTAGGCCAAGCGGTTACCAAACGGTCTCTATTTGTATGCCCGAGGCCGTTGGCCTCGGTTGTCACACTACTACGTGTTGGAATGCGGCAACCTTCATCAGGCAGCGAACACAAGACGATCAACCAATCATCCAGCCTTCGTCGGCCTTAGAGGTGGGTCAACACAAGACCATCAGCCTCGAGTAGCTGGCTGATCATTGATCTGATCAATCAATATGTAGGATCAGCTGCAGGATAATTTGAGGGAGTGTTCCTGTCGGCACCAGGTTCTGAGTAGCGTTTACTGTGAGTCGGGAGGAACTGGAAGTCGGGAGACACTGGAAGTCCAAAAACGGAATTGAATTCCGCAATAGAACCGAAGCTTGAAATCCCCAAATTCACGAGGCAGTTCAGCAGCACCCGGGTGTCAATTCTCGAGATTCATATGAGACGAACCTGAAATTTATTTGACACCTCGGTTTGTTACATTTAAACGCATGTTATTTTCTGGTTAAAAATCTGCATGTCACGGAGCTATGGACACTCCTTAGTCAGCCCGCCTGTTTCTAATTTCTGGGGTCTGCTCACTGCAGCGCAGAGCTAATCAGAATTGTGCGACTTGCTCCACGGCATTCCCTAGCTAGTAGTATATTATTTGGGAGCAACGAGTTGACTATTCGGGAGAACACGTTATACCTGAGCATCTTCTCCCCATCGCGGCTTTCGCCTCCGCCTCACAGCTGATCTAGAATTTACCGCAGCGAATATTTCCGCTGCCTCCCAGTTACAACCGGAGTACTTCGCAGCACCAGAGACTGTTACGCTTTCACGCAAGCGCACCAAGTGTTGTCGCTAGTCGCGAAGTCGTGAACTCCCTAGGTCGCATGGGCATGGCGGACGCAGGGTCTCTGAGGGAGCAGGCGAAGGAGCTGATCGACCGTCGCGACAAGCTCGAGGCTCAGATCGACGCGATCGCTGCGAGATTGAACGCGCCTGGCGGTGGCGGAATCAGGGAGAGCCTGGTGGATAAAGAGGTGGGGATTTTAGTTCGTGAGGCTTAACGAAATTCCAAGGGGATTGGAAGTGACTGAGAGCTGATGAATTGCCGCGGCAAGCTCGAGGCTCAGATCGATGCGAGATTGAACGCGCCTGGCGGTGGCGGAATCAGGGAGAGGCTGGTGGATAAGGAGATGGGGAGGGATTAGTGGAGTAGGGTTTGTTTCTTTGTACTGGAATATTATGAGGAGCCTGGAGTGAAGGGAAGCCGTGTTGTGGCAAAGCACAACGCGAGTTCTTCTTCGCAGGGCACATTCGCTTGAAAGGCCTTTGGTCACTTTTGCACACGAAGCGAGGCGAGCAAGCCAGTGTCACCAGCGTCACGAATTCCCCACTCTCTCTTCTTCCCCACTCCCCCTTCTTCCTCACTCTCTCTTCTTCCCCACTCTCTCTTCTTCCCCACTCCCTCTTCTTCCTCACTCTCTCTTCGTCCACCACTCTCTCCTTTACCTCAGGGCTTTCCACGGGCCGACATTGACATTCCTAAAGTCCGCACCGACAGGCACCGCCTCGCAAGTAATGCCCTCGAAACCTCCTCCCTCTGGTCTCAGCCTTGCCAATGCGGTTTGGGACACTGCAGTCCATGCTCAACTCATGTGCTTCATGTGCGCTTTTGCAGTTTGCTTGCGACCTTGTACTCCGTACTCCTGTGCCCTTTTGAGAAGTCTCACCTGTCCTCACTCCGCCCCAGCCTTGCAAGCTGTGCCTCATGTGCCCTTGCTGGACTGATTCCTTGGCACTTCTGAATTTCCCACCGTTCTGTACATTACCCTAACACTTTCGTATACCCACCCTCCTCCTATATGCCATCTTACTGGTTTCCCAATGCTTCCATTTAACTACCGCTTAATCGCAGCGCTCCACGCGGACCACAAACAGCTGACGGGGCAGATTGAGTCGCTGCTGCTGCAGATCCACGCGCAGGCCAAACCTAAGGAACAGACAAGGGCAAGCACCGAGGCGGTAACCGCACGGACTAGCCATGAGCCATCGGCCTCCACTCCTCCAACAACAAATGCCACTGAATCTGCTGCAACCAGCCTCACTTCAGCTGCTGCTGCTGCTGTTCCTGTTCCCGACACTGCTGTTGCTGCCAATAACTTCTCCATATCCCCGTGCACAGCAGCAACTACCCCTTCATCCACGCCCTTTGCAGTGGTGGACGAGGTGACCCCTGGCAGCCCAGCAGAGGCGGATGGCGTGAAGCTGGGAGATAGGCTGGTCAGCTTTGGCTCTGTTGCTGCTGCTCAAATGGTGGAGGGTCGTGAGGGGGGAAGTGGAAGCAGGGTGCCTTCAGGGGCGGACCTGCTGAAGCACGTGGCTGCAGAGCTGCGGGGGAGTGAAGGGAGGGGGGTGAAAATGACGGTGGTGAGAGCAGGGAACGTTGTCGAGTTGGTGGTGACCCCGCGGCGATGGCACGGAAGAGGACTGCTCGGGTATGTGTTCTTATTGTTATGCATTGTTGTACACAATTGTAGGAGCTGTTTCTTAGGGGGCGTTTGTTTCTTCATGCATTCTTATCTCACACCTGTCTTACATGCATGCGATTCTTTCTTTATCCCCATGATCAGGTGCCACCTCTCCCCATTGTCTCGTGGAAGTTAAAATATGCTCGATTCAACAAGACCTAAATTTGGAGCATTATAAGTACAATATTGCACATTTATGGTTTAGACCACCCTCAAATCTGCCTCGATACGTTCAATATGCCATGTTTCTGTTCCATTGGAACAATTCTATAACGCGGAATTTCATTTTCGTCCAACGGTCATCCTCGCTGTGGCATACCACACCACCTTTACTCAGAGAGGATGCATCGAACCTGTTCCGACCGAACGACACGGACCGAGCTCAACCTCGAACGACCCCACGAAGCCAAAGCTCCAGCAGGCTGTTTGTTTGCTGCCACCAACCAACCAACCACCACCACCCCAGCGACTATTTCATGCAAGGCTCAACCATTGTCGCCCTCTTTGCTCCAGTGGAGCCGTGCCGTGCTGTGCCGTGCCCGTTTTAGGGTTTCCGTCCCTCCCCTGCGAGGGCCTCTCCCCCGTGAAAGGGTTTCGTTTCGTCTCTCGCCCTCTCTGGGTTTCCACGAAGCACGTTCGGTGCTTTGGATTCCTCACTTCCTGCCTGTGCATTGCCTAGCCGGTTACCCGCGTCGTCGTCGCAGTTACTCCTTCCACGTGTCGCATTTCTTCTCGCCGATCGGACGAGCATGGCGGGGCCAGTGGTGAAGGAGGGAGCGCGGCTGTTCCAGGGCGTGGAAAAGGACTCTCTGGCGTTCAAGCTCATGAAGAACATGGTGCGTCTTGCCGAACGACAATAAGGGACATGCTGCGCGATAGTGAGGGATGCGGCCGCGTTTCAGGATAGCGAGCGCTGCGCGTTTGTCTCGCTAAGTGTCGGAGAAAGGTAGCTTGTCGGTTTTAATGGCATTGCTTCCGGTCGTGCGTGTTTCCAGGTCTCCGCAAAAGCGGCACTACTCACACCGTCTGGTGCCACGTTCTTTGCTCTGTTGGGCGGTTCGTTGCTTACCGTTGATTTCCGCTCTGGATTTTGATCGCAGGGCTGGGAGGAGGGCAAGGGACTGGGAAAGAACGGCCAGGGCATCGCCACTCACGTCCGAGTAACGAAGAAATTCGACACTGCAGGTGCAGCGAGGGACAGATTCTAGTGGGAGGGAGTAAAACTTGGCTTGTTGACGCATGCCGTTTCGGTTCGCCATAGCCCCTCGTGCCTCGTCTCCCCTCTCTCCGTTGCCGGCCTACACACATTGCTGTGTGTGTCTGCTTTCTAGTGAACGTGGAAGGGTCAAAGAAGGATTTCCTCAAATGTGTGTCCTTTCCGTCCGTCCGTCGCGCTGATCTGTCGAAGCTTTTCCCCCCCAACCTTCCCCCCCCCCCCCCCCCCCCCCCCCCCCTCCCTCTCCTTTCCCCCCTCCTCCCCGTTCCGCCCGCCGCCCCTCCTGTGTCGAATGTTTTATCGGCCATTGCCAGGCGTTGGAATCGCGGAGGCTAAAAAGGAATCGTGCAACTGGTCCGTGAATACCGCCGTCTTCGACGACCTCCTCAAACGCCTAAATGTGGTACAATTTATTCTCTAACGCTTACCTTTTTAGACAGATTCCGATCGGGTTTGCGAATGATGGATGGTAGAGCGACTCAGGTCCGAGAATACCGCCGTGTTCGACGATCTCCTCAAACGCCTCAACGAGGAACGCTTTAATCGATCGCCCTTGCTTCTGGAATTAATTGAAGGGACCAGGTTTGCGATTTCCGCGGCTCAGCGCGTTTTTATTTTCCTGTTTATTCATATGTTTGCAATGTCCAGTTACCATTCGAGCGCCAGCACTGTGTGCTGCGCCACCTTAGGGTTGGTTTCGTGTCAAGCAGGAGTTTTTGTGTTCTCTGTTCGTCGTGTTTCTCCACCTCTCCTGTTATTCTCATCCCTTTCCGCTCCCCTTTCCTGCTTCGCCTCTCCTCTTTTCCTCCCTCCTCTCCGTTTCCGCTTTTTCTGCTTGGCTTTCCTCCTCCGCTTCCAGGCGGTCAACGACAAAAAGAGCCGCCGGCAACAAGCGTCTGATTCTTCCGCTTCCGACTCCTGTAAGTTCGTTTGCTTGATCGTTTGCTTGTGAGCTTTCGAAATTGACCGCATTCTCCTGTACGAGTCTTGTTGTGCGATTTCCGGTGTGGCATTTTATTTTCTTTCTCTCACTCACCTCTCTCCCCCCTCTATCCGCTCTCCGCTCTCCGCTCTCCTCTCTCCTCTCTCCTCTCTCCGCTCTCTGCTCTCCGCTCTCCTCTCTCCTCTCTCCTCTCTCTTCTCTGTGCCGCAGCGGATGAGGAGTCAGAAGGGAGCATGGGCAGGAATGGTGAGGAAGGGGGGGAGACGAAGAGAATCAAGAAGACCCAGAAGGGCAAGAAGGAGAAGAGGAAGCAGGCGGAAGCGGAGAAGGAGGGGGAGAAGGAAGGGAAGGAGGAGGCAGGCTCGCCGAAACGGCAGAGGCTGGTGCGGCCGCAGGGCAGGTGAGGGATGCGAAGCAGGGTGGGCGAAAGAGGTGGGCTTTTTTTGTGAAAGAGGTGGTGCTGGTTAGGGAGGTAAGAGGAGGATACGCTTGTAGCTCTCACCTGGCCTTGCTTGACCCGCACACATACTGCGTGCGTGCCTTCCTTGCCATACCATTGCGTCCCACCCCATCCAACCCCACCCCACCACATGCCAACCCATGTCATCCTGCAGGTACCATCGCAGGGAGGCGGGCAAGTGCGTTAAGTCCTACTCCACCAACGACCTTTCGGCCATCCTGGTAACCCTCTTCGCCATCCTGGTCCGCCATGCGCTCAACCATTGATCTTATGCTGCCAACCATGTCGGCCGTGCTGGTTACCCTATTTGACATTGTGGTAACCATTTCCACCAACGTTGTAGCCTTGCACGGAACTGACCAGCTCTCCCACTCCAAACTCCCCCTCCAAACTCCCCCTCCCGTGTTTGTTCAGGGCTCTTTCCCCTCGCCTTCCCCTCCTCCGCCGCTCACTCCCTCGCTCCTTCCGCCTACCTCCGCGGCTTCTCCCTCGTCTCCGTCGCTCAACGGCCTCGGCTCCCCGCCTGAGGCACCTCCCACCACCACGTCTCCTCCCACCGCAACGGCAGCTGTACCCGGATCTGCAGCAGCAGCAGCACCAGCAGCACCAGCAGCAGCGCCGGGCAGAAAGCGCGTGGTCAAGTCCGCGTCAGACACCACTCTCTGTCGCAGCAGCAGCACCACCGCACTGAAGAAGAAAGCCGGCTCGGCCGAGCCTAAGAAGGGCGGGTTGTTGGAGCTGGAGTGCCAGAAGCAGTTTGTGTTCCCGCCGCTGCCTGCTGATTGGTGGGGCTCGAGGCTCGGGTTCGTGCGGGGGGCAGGCTCGGGAGCCGGGCGGCTGAGTAATGAGGGGGAAGGGGAGGGGGAGAAGAAGGCGGGGTTCAGCGAGCAGGACCAGGAGAACCTCTACAACCTCGTGCACGTATGTATCTATGTTGGGGTCTTCAGGGGGTTCTGTGGGGTTTCTGGGGGGCTGCACCATTGCTGTCCGAGGGTGAGGCGAGAGGGAGGGGGGGAAGAAGCGGGATTCAGCGAGCAGGACCAGGAGAACCTCTACAACCTCGTGCACGTATGTATATATGTCGGGGTTTTTGCGACTGCGCTGCACACTGTTATTCATCCCTCGTCCCTCCCTGCCTGCCTGCACGCTTCGAAGGCTTGATGGTCCGGCAGTGCGCTGCTCTTGCAGCGCGCATGCCACACACAGTGACCGTGGAGTTCAATCTGTCGTGCCACACCATTGCGCCGTGGCTCGTTTGAGCCATGGTGCCCCCGTGCTGCTGCTTCTGGCTCTGCCGCTGGCCTGCCATCCCATTGGCCGGCCTGGCACGCATGCTGCATGGTACATGTGCTTGGTGTTCATCCATACTCCTTGCTCCCCTTCTACTTCTGCCATCCGCCCTTTTTCACCTCTCACACTCCTCTCCTCCCCTTTGTCTTTGTTTTCTTCCCATTGCCCTCCTACATACCCCCCTGTGCCGTCTGTTTCTCCCGTTGGCCCTCTCCCCACGACCACGCAACGAGGGGCAAGCACAGGGGCTGGGGATAGGCGATTCAACCCCTCCCCCTCTGCTGTGATTCCCTTCCTGCTCTGTTTGCCCCGCCTTGCCTGGATTGTTTCTTCGCTTCACCAGGACCACGCAACGAGCGGCAAGCAGGGGCTGGGCATCGGCGATCTGCCCAAGAAGGTGGCTGGGGCGCGGTGGAAAGGCACCAAGCACACTTTCGAAGACCTTGAGGAGGATAGCGAGGAGGGGGAGAGTGAGGAGGAGAATGAGGTAGAGGAAGTGGAAGAGGAGGAAGAAGCGGAGGGGGGGGAAGAGGAGAGCAAGGAGGGCCAAAGGATGGTTCTTGAGGAGGGGAGTGCTGCGGATGTAGCCGTGACGGGTGCAAAAGGTGCACTAATTACAACTCTTGCAGACTCGACTCGTGGTGATGGTGCTGGTTCGGCGGAGCAGGAGGGAGGGGAGAAGGAGGGGAAGGGCAAGAAGAGGAAGAGAGAGGAAAGGTCAAGGAAGGACAAGGGCGAGAAGACAGCTGTGGCTGGTGAACCGGTGGTGGGGAGTGCGGAGAGAAGAAGAGCAGTGATTGGGAAGAGATGGCAGCACAAGGAGAAGGCAGAGAAAGTGGAGGTGAAGGAGGAGGAAGTTGCAGAGGAGAAGGAAAAGGAGGGGGGAGCAGGTGGCAGGAAGAAGCCCAAGTCGAAAGGGGTTTCTGGCAGTGACCAATCGGATGGCATTAAGGGCGATGTGGGGTTGAAGACTCGAGTGAAGCGCGCTGTCAAGCAAACTCTGCAGAAGGTGGGCTGCGAACTGAACTGGAGCGAATGCCGCATGCCGTGTGCGTGCGTCGGGGTGCGCGTGTGTGTCGGGGTGCGCGTGTGCGTCGGGGTGCGCGTGTGTGTGCGCGCGCATGTGCATGTGCGTGTGTGCTGCTCTGCTGTCCTGGCTCTGTTGCATCACTCCCCTCCAAGTGTGCTCTCATTAGCAGTGATGAGCCCTTGCTGCTCTGCCGACTTGCTCCTCCACCTCCTGTGAGAAAGCGGCTGGGCAGGGCTCGGCCTTCCCACACTTACACCCTGCCACTCCTCTCCCCTGCCTTCAACTACACCATCAGGAGGGCGAGGCAGGAGTGTCTCTGGCGTCTCTGCAAGACACAGTGGGGAAGCAGCTGGAGCTGTCAAAGGCGGAGAGGAAGCAGCTCGCCAAGATCATTGACACCAAGGTAAGGGAGGGGTTCGCATGGAAGAGCCTTGCACTTGAATTGAACGCCATGTGGCCAGCATCCATGTTGTTGGCAGCGTGTCATGTGACGATGCTGGTCAATGCCCAACATTCTTTCGCTCTCTTACTGTGCGTGTGTACGGTTCGTGTTGCAGCTGGCTGGATGGGGGTTCATCAATGTTTCTGCCGGCATGGTACAGCTACGCGCCTGACCGGCAGATACATGCACGCTCGCACTAAATATATACCTGCTATCAGGGCCAAGTAATGGCCTTCACTCACCACTATTATGGTCCCCTAAGGAACAGCAGCCAGCGCCCAATGTTGAGATACGTTATCAATGGAATGCTATTGACTAGTGTGCAATGAACTCTTAGACGGATTGTGCAAATATTGCGCCACAATGCAGACTAAACAGTAGCAGTATGTGAAAAAATATATTGGCGCCTGGAACTGGTTGTAGCCAGCTGAAATGATGCATGAACTTGTGATCTGATGCCATTCCGATGCCAGAAGCTGCCATCAGCAACGTATCAAAACTTTTGACAGACCTCATAAAAAGGAGTCATCACGGTCCCCAAGTACCACCCGAATCCTCTAATGCCCAACAAATACCAAGGAGCACATTCTCCAAGGCACTTTCAAGGCCATCGCATGGGAGGCATGACTGCAGGGGCATGGGGACTGCTGCTCACGACTGGGTGTGCCCGGAGCTAGTGGATGAGGTGATATACGAAACGCTAACGCTTAATTTTTTTGACCGGGTGTGCATGGAGATTGTAGGATGGGGCGGCCAAATGAAGCGTGTCCAGTCGAAGTATGCTATGCAGGCACCTCACTATGAAGCCAGCCATCCTCCCCTTCCCGATCTGCCTCACCGGCCAGGAGGCATGGAGGCATCGACAGAGGCAGGTGGCTGGGACCTGCTCATGACAGGGGGTGATGAGCCCGGGTGAGGCGGCATGGGCATGCCTTGAGGCGAACCTCAAAACACAGCCAGATATTCTCCCCTCCCCCTCCCCCCTCCCCCCTCTGCCTCACCCGGTGGGGGCCATGGAGGCAGGCGGCTGGGGGCTGCTCATGACTGGGAGTGATGAGCCCGGGTGGGGCGGGATAGGCATGCCTTGGGGCGAACCTCAAAATGAAGTCCACAATCCTCCCCTCTCCACTCCCCCTCCCCCCTCTCCCCTCTGCCTCACCGGGTGGGAGGCATGGAGGCAGGCGGCTGGGGGCTGCTCATGACTGGGGGTGATGAGCCCGGGTGGGGCGGCATGGGCATGTGGGCGGGCGGCATGCTGTGCATAGGAACCATGGGTGGGCGGTGGAAGAAATGTGGCGGGGGCAGCATCACCGGACCTGGTGGGGAAGTGGGACGGGGGATGCGAGAGAGGAGGCCAGTGGAATGGGAAGGAAGGAGTCACACTTGAGCTGAGTAGAAAGTCATTGGTGGAAGAACGAGGTGCAAGGAGGAAGGGGGAGAGTGACGCACCAGCGTGTGCGACCGACACCCTCATATTCTCCCTCATGTGACGACCGACACCCTCATTATTCTCGAAGCGAAAGTTACCCTTCATCGAAAGGATCACCTAGTGGCATCCCCATGGGGTAAATCTGAGCAGGCTTCCCTATGTGTGCTGCAGGAGACACATCATCACGAAGACGCACCTCACCGCATCCCCATGGGGCACACCTGAGCAGGCCCTTCTGCTGGGCAGACTAATCTCGAGATGGTTAGTTTGACGTAACACAAATGGAGGACTAATCTCGAGAACATTATCAAATGGCAGAGTACTAGTTTGCCCTGGCACAGCAATTCACATATGCTCACCTCGAGGCATTCCCATGGGGTACATCTGGGCAGGCCCCTTCTGCTGTGCTGGCATTCCTGGCAGCGGTGCTCCCTGCTGCTGCTGCTGGCCTGCCTCTTGCTGCTGTTGTGCTTGTTGCTGGTCTGTGGTGGTTTGTTGTGAGCCCTCCCCCTGCTGCTGCTGCTGCTGCTGCTGCTGCTGCTGCTGTGACTGGTCCTGTTGCTGCTGAGGTGGCATCATCATAGGAGCTGGCATCATCTGGCATGGGAGACATGGAGCACATGGAGCACATGGAGCACATGGAGCACATGGGGCACATGGAGCACATGGAGCAAATGGAGCACATGGAGCACATGGAGCACATGGAGCACATGGAGCACATGGAGCACATGGGGAACAAGGGGAGCATAGGACAGCCGGCCCAGCACGTAAGACAGCAGCACGCAAGACAGCAGCACGCAAGACAGCAGCACGCAAGACAGCAGCACGCAAGACAGCAGCACGTAAGACAGCAGCACGCAAGACAGCAGCACGCAAGACAGCAGCACGCAAGACAGCAGCACGCAAGACAGCAGCACGCAAGACAGCAGCACGCAAGACAGCAGCACGCAAGACAGCAGCACGCAAGACAGCAGCACGCAAGACAGCAGCACGCAAGACAGCAGCACGCAAGACAGCAGCACGCAAGACAGCAGCACGCAAGACAGCAGCACGCAAGACAGCAGCACGCAAGACAGCAGCACGTAAGACAGCAGCACATAAGAGAGCAGCAAATAAGAGAGCAGCACGTAAGTCAGCGGCACGTAAGACAGCAGCACATAAGAGAGCAGCACATAAGAGAGCAGCACATAAGAGAGCAGCACATAAGAGAGCAGCACGTAAGACAGCAGCACGTAAGACAGCAGCACGTAAGACAGCAGCACGCAAGACAGCAGCACGTAAGACAGCAGCACGCAAGACAGCAGCACGCAAGACAGCAGCACGCAAGACAGCAGCACGCAAGACAGCAGCACGTAAGACAGCAGCACGCAAGACAGCAGCACGCAAGACAGCAGCACATAAGAGAGCAGCAAATAAGAGAGCAGCACGTAAGTCAGCGGCACGTAAGACAGCAGCACATAAGAGAGCAGCACATAAGAGAGCAGCACATAAGAGAGCAGCACGTAAGACAGCAGCACATAAGAGAGCAGCACGTACGACAGCAGCACATAAGTGAGTAGCACATAAGAGAGCAGCGCGTAAGACAGCAGCACGTAAGACAACAGCACATAAGAGAGCAGCACATAAGAGAGCAGCACGTAAGACAGCAGCACATAAGAGGGCAGCACATAAGAGAGCAGCACGTAAGACAGCAGCACATAAGACAGCAGCACATAAGAGAGCAGCATATAAGAGAGCAGCACGCAAGACAGCAGCACGTAAGACAGCAGCACATAAGTGAGCAGCACATAAGAGAGCAGCATGTAAGACAGCAGCACATCAGCGCAAAGAAGCAGAGGGCGCACCAGAGGCAAGGGCATGCACGAGAGCTGCTCGTGCTGCCCTTACATCATGCACAGCCGCTCATGCGCCCCTCACCATCCCCCCCCCATGCAAAACATCAGGACAACCAACCCGCAGCACATAACGCACCTGCGGCATGGGCATGTACACGAGCTGCCCGTGCTGCCCATACATCATGGGCTGGGGGAAGCCTTGCGGGGTGAACATCATGGGCATGCCTCCTGCCATGCCTTGCGGCATGCCTTGGGGCATGGGCCCAGGCATGGGTTGGCCGCCGTGAGCTGCAGGCAGGAAGGGGCGCATGCCCGGGGACATGCCGGGCGGGAGCATGCCTTGGGGCGGCATGCCTTGAGGCGGCATGGGCATGAATGCTGCTGGTGGCTGGTGGGGAAAAGGGAGGGCAGAAAGGGAGGGTTTAACAAGAGTGTGACGGGCGGGGAAGGGACGCACGGAAGGGACATGCCAGGCAGGAGCATGGCCATGGGCATGAAATCTGCTGATGGCTGGCGGGAGGAAGACAGGGCGGGCAGCGAGGATATTGTTCCATGGATGGACAACACGTGACGCAATAATAATAATAATAATAAAAACCTGTGAAAGAACAAAGAAAGGAAGAGAAATTTCTAGGTTCGTTACCAGAAGTTTTATGTGACACGAGACATCAAGTGTTCCTAAATATATATATATATATATATATATATATATATAAAAACGTGACGGAAATCAAGGGAGATTTAAACAGTGGTTATGAGAAGTTTTATGTGGAAAGGGGGGGAAAGGTGCACAAACGCCTCAACATTGTAATCTCGGAATGAAGTTCGCAAACGGCGATAATATAGTTAAGTGGAATGTTCAGCTGGGCCTCTAAAACCAACAGTCCATCCAGCCACAGGCAGCAACAAGCAAGCCTTGGCTTGGGCCCTTTTGCGCAACTCAAGAACGGGCTACATACCTGCTGCTGCGGCTGCCACTTGTTCAAGTCATTTTGATCGTGAAAACTGCCATCTTGCTGACCCTGCTGCTGCTGCTGCTGCTGCTGCTGCTGCTGCTGATGCTGCTGATGCTGCTGCTGCTGCTGCTGCCCGAATTGCACTTGCTGCTGGTGTTGCTGGTGAGGCTGCATGGGCTGCTGGTTGTGTTCCCCACCATCCCCCTGCGGCCCCTGCCGGTGCCGCTGCTGCCTGTCCTGCTGCTGCTGCTTCTGCCGCCGCTGGTGCCCCGACCTTGGCACGTGAGCCTGAAGCTGCTGCTGCTGCTGCTGCTGTTGCTGATGATATTGATGATTATAACCCTGGTTCTGGTTCTGGTTCTGGTTCTGGTTCTGGTTCTGGTTCTGTCCCCGCCCTTGCCCTGCAATCCCCGCTCCTTGCCCCTCATCTTGCCCCTGCCTCCCCCCAACGTCCCCAGAACCACTACCATCCTCCCCTTGCTTCCCCCCTTCCATCCCCCCACTCCCCCCCCTCCATACCCTTGCTGTGGCAACAGAGGTTGCTGCTGCTGCTGCTGCTGCTGGGGGAGGGCATATACATGGGCTGGGGAGCCACAGCCAATGGTGGCATGCCACCTGGCACCGAAACAGGGATGGGGATAAGGCCCCCTGTCCCCCCCCCGCTGCTGCTCCCCCAACAGCGGAACCGGGGGAAGGCAGGGGGAGGGGGAGCGCGGAGGCAGGGGGGGTGGGGCCGCCAGGAGTGAGTTGGGGGGGGATGGGGGAAGACATGGCGGGGGAGGGGGAGGGAGAGCGGAGGGGAGGTAGAGAGGAGCGGGGAAGGGGATGGGGGCACCAGGGGCGGAGGGGGGTGCGCCAGGGAGGGGTTGGAAGGGGAAGGGGTGGTCTGGGCGCGGCTGGAGGGGGAGGGCGGAGGGATAGGCGGGGATGAAGGGCGGGGGGAGGGGAGGAGGGGCGGAAGCTGGCATAGAAAAGGTGGGGGTGAAGACCTTGGCGTTGGGGTTGAACTTGAACTCCTGGGGGGGGGGGGAGGGGGAGGGGGGGGGTGGAAATGGGGAGGGGAAGAGGAGAAGGGAAGAGGAGAAGGGAAGAGGAGAGGGGAAGTGGAGAGGGGAAGAGGTGAGGGGAAGTGGAGAGGGGAAGTGGAGAGGGGAAGTGGAGAGGGGAAGAGGAGAGGGGATGAGCTGCGATGAACTGATGGTGGGAAAAGGGGAGGGAGAAGGAAGGGCGGGAGGGAGGGAGGACGAATGGGAGGGAGAAGGAAGGGCGGGAGGGAGGGAGGACGAATGGGAGGGAGGGAGGGAAGGAGAGGAAGAGAAGCAGGGAGGGGTGAGGGAAAACAGGATGGAGGGTGAGAGAGAGGGAGGGGAGGATAATTTCACACCTTGGCGTTGGGGTTGAGGGTGGACTTCTTAGCAGCTGCTGCAGCAGGTGCCTTACTGGCGCCTCCTCCTGCACCCTCCACTGATTTTTCCGCACCCTCTGCCAGCGTCCCTGCCGCTCCTGCTTCTCCAATCACATCAGCACTTGCAGCAGCTGCCGCTGCTGTTACATTCCCTTCTCCTCCTCCTGCTGCGGTTTCTCCAGCATTTAATGTCTTCCCTTCCTTCTTTTTCTCTTCGCCCGGAACTGCAGCTGCTGCCACCACCTCTGCTGCAGCTTCTACAGACAATACCTTCGGTACCAAAGCCTTGGCTGCTGAGGAACCAGCTGGCGTTGACGTGGCAGGGTCTACCGAATGTGACTGGGAACGCGCCAGGTTGGACGGGGAAGGAGAGCGATAGGAGGTGGAGGGAGCAACAGCAGCAGAGACGGCAGTGGAGGAGGAGGAGCGGAGGAGAGCCGAGGCGGCAGAGGCGAGGAAGGGCTTGAGGTCGGGGGAGGAGTGGGAGCTCTCCAGGTAGGTTGGGGTGTTGCGACCAGACGAGCGACCTGCAGGGGGGGGGGGCGGGGGGGGGAGGGGGTGAGAGATTGGAACAGATTCGAGGAGGGAGAGGAGAGAGGAGGCGGGAGAGGAGAGAGGAAGCAGGGGAGGAGAGAGGAGGCGGGAGAGGGGAGAGCAGGCAGGAGAGGAAAGACGAAAGAGTAGGCATTATGCACTTGAAAGGAAATGCAGGAGCGAAACTGGTAGTGATGGTTTGCAGTGAGGGAACCAACAACCTTGATGGGGCTTTAAGGAGGAGGCAGGGGATGAGATAACGGGAGGAGGCAGGCGAGGAGATATCAGGAGGAGAGTTTTAAGAATTGTCAAAATTCAACTACAGCGGGAGGGAGAGGGGCTTACAGGAGGAAACAGGCGAGCGAGAATCAAACTGCTGAAGACACGGCCACCAGGCGAGCGGGTTGACACCAGTCAGCAACAGGCGTGGCAGACCACGGGTATTTGATACCAGCAAGACAGGCGTGTCAGAGAGGTGCGTAAGGTGGGAGGGAGGGAGTGAGTGAGGGAGGGAGGGAGGGAGGGAGGGAGGGAGGGAGGGAGGGAGTGAGGGAGTGAGGGGAGATGCATACGCACAGCGGAAAATGATGGGAACAGGTTAAGATGAGAATAACAACGAAAACGGAACTTATGAGATGGCAAGACCAACTTGAGGATATCTGTATATATGCTAGATAAGCACCGCACTGCACCACACAGCACCTTGCCCAGCAGGTCGCTGCAGGACCGCACCCCCTCCGCCTCGTCCCGCATGCGCTGGCTTCGCTGCTTGAACTCCTGAAACTCCCTGCAGCAGCCAGTGCAGACAGTCAGTGATCTTGCAGGGTGCTTTTGAGAATTCTCAAAAACTCCCTGCAGCAGCCAGTGCAGACAGTCAGTGATCTTGCAGGGTGCTTTTGAGAATTCTCAAAAACTCCCTGCAGCAGCCCGTGCAGACAGTCAGTGATCTTGCAGGGTGCTTTTGAGAATTCTCAAAAACTCCCTGCAGCAGCCAGTGCAGACAGTCAGTGATCTTGCAGGGTGCTTTTGAGAATTCTCAAAAACTCCCTGCAGCAGCCCGTGCAGACAGTCAGTGATCTTGCAGGGTGCTTTTGAGAATTCTCAAAAACTCCCTGCAGCAGCCAGTGCAGACAGTCAGTGATCTTGCAGGGTGCTTTTGAGAATTCTCAAAAACTCCCTGCAGCAGCCAGTGCAGACAGTCAGTGATCTTGCAGGGTGCTTTTGAGAATTCTCAGAAACTCCCTGCAGCAGCCAGTGCAGACAGTCAGTGATCTTGCAGGGTGCTGTTGAGAATTCTCAAAAACTCCCTGCAGCAGCCAGTGCAGACAGTCCGGTTAGGAGAGGCCACGTGCAGGAGCGTGCACGGAGGGATGAGGAGACACGAGAGAGACGGGATGAGGAGTCACTTGAGACGGCATGAGACACGGCGATTATTAGCTTGTTTTGAGGCGCCTCAAAGGTAGACTCCTGTCATGCGGTTTTGAGGCGCCTAAAAGGTAGACTCCTATCATGCGGTTTTGAGGCGCCTCAAAGGTAGACTCTTATCACGCGGTTTTGAGGTGCCTCAAAGGTAGACTCCTATCACGCGGTTTTGAGGCGCCTTAAAGGTGAATCCTCCCCTAACACACCTTTAGCTTTTGCGCCTCAAACGAAGAATCCTCCCCTCACACACCTTTACCCTGTGTGACACAGATTCCCCATCCCCTCCTCCGCGTTAGGTCCTTGAGAATTCCCCTTTCCCCCCCTCTTCCCCAACCCCCATATCCCCCACCCCCATATACCCAACCCCACCTCTCCCACCCACTCACCCTCCCCTCACCCTCTCCCTCACCCTCTCCCCCCACCCCCATGTCACACTCTACTCTCCGCACGCACCCCCCCCATCTTCTCCCCCCCCCTTCCCCCACCTCTTCCTTCATGTCTCGCCCACTTGCACACATCGTCCGACAGGTGTGGCACGCTCTGGTCCAGCTTCAGCGCTGGTAGGTTGGCGGGTGGGCATGATTTTGTCCCTATTGTCCCCCCCACTCTCAGTTCCCCCTCCCCCCCCCCCGCCCCACACACCCAGCACACCACCCCCCCCTCTCACCCACCTGTACACATCATCCGACAGGTGTGGCACGCTCTGGTCCAGGTTCAGCGCTTGCAGGTTAGCGGGCGCATCGCTCAATAGCGGGGACATGAGAGGGGAGCGCCGGGAGGGGCTGCCGTGCACCTGGAAGAGACCGCCAGATGCAGCCTGGGGAAGAGGAGGGGAGGGCGGACGGGTGGGGAAGGGGGGGATTGGGGGGGGGGGTGGGGGGGGAAAGGATATAGCACGCAGGTGAGGTGGTTTATGGTGCCTGGGAACTTGCCGGGAAGGGCTGCTGTGCACCTGGAAGAGACCGCCAGACGCAGCCTGGGGAAGGGAAGGCGGGGGGAGCGGGAGAGATAGCAAGGAGGAGAGGTGTTTTATGCTGACTGGATGCCGGGAGGGGCTGGGGCTGGCGCCAGAGGGGAGCGGAGGGATGGGTTGCTGTGCTGTGCTGTGCTCTGGGGGAAGAGATCGACTGAAGCAACATGGGAGCGAAGAGGGAAGGGGGGGAGAGGAGGAGGGGGGGGTAGCAAGCAGGGGAGGTGTCTCATGGTGACTGGGAAGAAGCCGGGAGAGGGGGAGTCCGCCGGGATGCCATGCGCCTGGTTGGGTCCGCCTGAGGCAGCCTGCGAGGAGAGGGGAGGGGGGGAGGAGGAGAGGGAGGAGTCAAGGAGGGTCTAGAGGGAGTGGGGAGGGGGGAGCGGGAGTGTGCTGCACAATTGACGGCCAAGCAACGGGATCGGCTGCAGGCACCTGGGAGTATTTTTCAGGCGCCTCAAAAATCTGCAGGCACCTGGAAGAGCGAGGCAGTGGCAGTTGACTTTTGAGTCGGCTCAAAAGACAGGCACCTGGAAGTGGCCGTCAGAGGCAGTTTGGCGGGAGAACCAAGGGGAAGCACGAGCAGCAAGGGGAAGCACGAGCAGCAAGGGGAAGCACGAGCAGCAAGGGGAAGCACGAGCAGCAAGGGGAAGCACGAGCAGCAAGGGGAAGCACGAGCAGCAAGGGGAAGCACGAGCAGCAAGGAGAGATGAGGGGGCATGTGGCGCATCCCACCTCAGAGCCCAACACACACCACGACCAGTCTCTTTACCTTGACTTGACGAGCAACCTGGGGTGCATGTGCAGGAGCCGGCTTGAGGGCATGCCAGGGAGGTCAGCAGCGGAGAAAACACTCCGTTCCCTTGACCGTCACTGAGCCTCGGTTCCACCTCACCAAGCCACGATGCCGCCATACCTTAACAAACCAACAAGCCGCCCGACCTTGGCAAACCAACAAGCCGCCCGACCTTGGCAAACCAACAAGCCGCCAAACCTTGGCAAACCAACAAGCCGCCCGACCTTGGCAAACCAACAAGCCGCCCGACCTTGGCAAACCAACAAGCCGCCAAACCTTGGCAAACCAACAAGCCGCCCGACCTTGGCAAACCAACAAGCCGCCCGACCTTGGCAAACCAACAAGCCGCCATACCTTGACAAACCAACAAGCCACCGTACCTTGACAAACCAACAAGCCACCGTACCTTGACAAGCCAACAAGCCACCGTACCTTGACAAACCAACAAGCCACCATACCTTGACAAACCAACCAACAAGCTGCCATACCTTGACAAACCAGCAAGCCACCGTACCTTGACAAACCAACAAGCCTCCACACCTTAACAAACCAACAAGCCACCGTACCTTGACCAGCCGCCTGGGGTGCATGCGCAGGCGCGGGTGCGAGGGGATGGCAGGGAGGTCAGCAGCAAAAAGACCTCATTTTTACCGTGGCTTTCACTGAGCTCTGTGCCTTGACCAGCCACCTGGGGTGCTACCGTACCTTGACCAGCTGCCTGGGGTGCTACCGTACCTTGACCAGCTGCCTGGGGTGCTACCGTACCTTGACCAGCCACCTGGGGTGCTACCGTACCTTGACCAGCCGCCTGGGGTGCCACCGTACCTTGACCAGCCGCCTGGGGTGCCACCGTACCTTGACCAGCCGCCTGGGATGCATGCGCAGGCGCGGGTGCGAGGGGATGGCGGGGAGGTCAGCAGCGGAGAGAGCAGCACCGCTGGCAGACGAGGTGGACGACGCCGATGACGACCGCGACGCACCCACTGCCTTCCCATCCTTTGCTTCCTTCCCCTCCTTCCTTTCCTTCCCTTCCCTTCCCTCCTTCCCTTCCCTCTCTCCTTTCCCCTCCTTCCCCTCCCCCTTCCCATCCTCTGCTCCCTTTGCCCCTTCCCCTTTCCCCGTTCCCCCCTCTGCTTCCCCACCCCCCTTCGTCTCCTCCGTTCCAACGCTTTCCCCCTTGGCCTTCTCTCCACTCTCCACCTCCTCTCCTATGCTCCCACCACCAGTGCCACCCGCAGCAGCTGGGGCGGCAGATTCTGTCTGTTTCTCGCCCTTGTCTGGAGCGCCTTTACCAGCTGATTCGGACGGCACGCCCGGGGTTGGTAGCAGGGGGGGCGCCTGCAGGTAGCAGCATGGACGCGGGGTTGGATAGAAGTGCACGAAAGATGAGAGGAAAGAAAGAGAGAATGGGGTGGGTGGGTCGAAGGAGAGGTGCCTGGGAGTAGCAAAAAGCATGGTTTGATTCGAGGGCAGAATAGATGAGATGAGAGAAGGATAAATATATGGGATAAGGTGGCGTAAGGATGTAAACGGAAAAGTTGGATGAAAGGTTTTAAGGTTTCGGGTTTTAGGGTTCTGTCTGGGCTGGGCATCACGAATAGCAGGGTGTTTAGGGTTTCCGGGTTCTGAGTTTTCAAAAACACCCTGCACAATCATGGGTTCTGGGCATCACGAAAAGCCTCATCGTTTGCCTCGTCCATATCATCATCGCATACATCTCCCCCCTCCCCCTATCTTCCCCCCCTCACCCTCCCCCTATCTTCCCCCCCTCACCCTCCCCCCCACCTTCCCTTCCCTGCCTTATCGGAAGTGGTGTGTCGCATGGCGTGTGGGTGCATCATCAGCAAAAGCCTCATCCCTTGCCTCCTCCATTTCATCGTCAATTCCACTGCCCAGAGCACACCTCATTCCACACCTATCGATCGTCACATGCACCTTATTGCTAGTGGAGAACCCCTCATTCTCTTCCCCCCCCCCCCCACCCACTTCCCTTCCCTCTTCCCCCCTCCCCCATTCCCCTTCCCTCTTCCCCCCTCCCCCCCATTCCTCTTGCACACCTTATCCGAAGTGGCATGCATGGGTGCATCACCAAACGTCTCATCGTTCGCTTCGTCCATTTCATCTTCCATTCCGCTGTCCAGGTCGGCTCTGCAGGGCATGAGGGGAGTGCGTGTGGGGATGGATTGGCGCGTGGAAGTGGATAGACACACTTTTTGAGGTGCCTCAAAAGTGGATGGACACACTTTTTGAGGCGCCTCAAGAAATCGTCTCATGCCTGCCGGGCATCAGGGGTGGGTGTGTGGGGATGGATCTGTGCATAAAAGTGCATTCACGCACACACCGATGTGCACAGCCGTGTGCATTCACGCACACACCGATGTGCAAAGACATGTGCATTCACGCACACACCGATGTGCACAGCCGGGTGCATTCACGCACACACCGATGTGCACAGACATGTGCATTCACGCACACACCGATGTGCACAGACATGTGGATGCAAGGCCGGCTTTGTGGGGCATCAGAGAGGAGAGGGATGGCTTGGCTTGACTGCTTTTGAGTCGACCCAAATCCAGCCTGGACATGTGGATGCATGGGGAGTGCACGTGTGGACGCATGGGGGTGTACAATTGGATGCATAACGGGTGCACAAATGCATGGAGGAAGGAACAGAAATGGGGAGACAAGCGGAGGGCCCATAGGAGAAAAGGAACGAGTGGCCCTCGGAGGAGAGGGAGCACGGTGAAGGAGAGGGAGGACGGCGGAGGAGAGGGAGCACGGAGGAGGAGAGGGAGCACGGGGGAGGGGAGGGAGCGCGGTGGAAGAGAGTAGTGGGTTCACGTGTGAGGTGAGGCAGAGGGTGACTTCTGAGTTGACTCAATCCAGGTTTGCTCTGAAGTGCATTGGGGTTGCGCGAGGATGAATCGACGCGGGGGAGCGCACGTGTGGACGCATGGGAGGTGAACAATTGAACGCATGGGAGGTGTACAATTGAACGCATGGGAGGTGTACAATTGGACGCATATGCATGGAGGAAGGAACAGAAACAGGGAGGCACGCACAGGGGGATGTGAACACAGACAATAGGTAAGAGCAGCCAGCAGAGGAGAGGGAGTACGGTGGAGGAGAGTAGTGGGTTCATGCGTGAGGCACAGGGTGGCTTTTGATTGAGCCGACTCAAGTTGAGTCAACTTTTGAGAGTTGACTCAAAACAAGGCGCACAAGCACGCAGGCACTGGGTGGTTTTTGAGTCGAATTCTGAGAGTCGACTCAGAAACACACAAGCACGCCGCCACAGGGTGACTCTTGAGTCGACTCCCAAGGCACAGTGGGTTCGAATGTGACATGCACACAACACAAGCACAAACACAAGCACGGAGGGATCCTTTGTGCTCTTGTGAGGCGCGTAACAAGTCGACAAACTCTAGGCACTCTTGCACCTGGACATCATTCATGCCATGCCATGCCGCGCACAAAAATCCCGCTGCAAACCTCTCTGCACGCACACTCGCGCGGTCCGCATAACAGACGAGTACTTGGGATTCAGCCTACCTTCAATCCGAGGGCTGACGGACAGACATGCATGCGCACACGCTCACCTGCCACCTCCTTTGCTCACCTGCCACCTCCTTTGCCCACCTGGCTCCTCCTTTGCCCGCCTGGCTCCTCCATTGCCCACTCACGCAGTGCGGATAACGGAGGAGTACTTGGTCTCCTCGTCCATGTCGTCATCGTCCCACGCGCTGTCTGCAGCACCCACCGCCACCGCACCAGCGGCAGCAGTAGCAGCAGCGGCAGCAGGGGAGTCACCACCGGAGATGGCTGCCTTGACAGCGGATGCTAGCGTGCGCGCTGCGTTGCGCAGGTGAAAGCCGCGTTCCTGAGGGGGAAAGGGGCGGGTGGGGGGGTGGGGGGGTGGGGGGGTGGGGGGGAAGAAGAGCGGGGGATGAGCAAGAAAACGCAAGTGGTCCATTGCACTGCCTTGACAGGAGAGGCTAGCGTGCGAGCCGCACTGCGCAGGTGAAAGCCCCGCTTAGATGAGAGGAAGATGCGAGGAAGGCGAGAGGAAGATGAGAGGAAGGTGAGAGGAAGGTGAGAGGAAGGTGAGAGGAAGGTGAGAGGAAGATGAGAGGAAGGTGAGAGGAAGGTGAGAGGAAGGTGAGAGGAAGAGAGTGACATGCACGCACGCTCAGACGCACTTATCCATGTCGCAAACAGGTCACACACACGGACACATAACCATGCACACACGGCCATAACATAACCAGGCACACCAGGACATAAACATGCACACCCACACCACACTTCCACAATGTGAATGTTCCTTCCTGGTGGGCTGCCACTCGATCTCCCGGGCAATCCTCCCTCTCTGTGTGGACCTGCAGCTCCCTCACGCACATGCATGCGCACAAAACGCCCCCCCACCCCACACCCCACCCCTCTTCTTTCCCCCCCATACCTCTGCAATGTGGAAATTTCTGGTGGCCTTCACCTCTCATGCACGCGTGATAGGATTCTGGTTTTCAGGTGCCTCAAAACAGGCCAGCAGCTCTCATGCACACCCACGCACATGTATTTGCACAAAACGCATCCCCCCCCTGTCCCCCCCACCCTCATCCCCCGCCAGTAATACCTCTGCAATGTGCATATTCCTCATGGGCGCCGACTCGATCTCCCTCCAATCCTCTCAGCATAGGCCTGCAGCTCTAATGCCCACTCGCGCTCTCATGCATACACATATGTGCACAAAACGCCCCCCCGCTCCTTCCCCCACCCAGGACCTCTGCAATGTGCATGTTCCTGGTGGGCGCCGACTTGATCTCCCTCGCGATCCTCTCCGCATTGGCCTGAAGCTCCCATAACCAATCACGCACATGTATGTGCACAAAACGTCCCCCCCTCCCCCCCTCGTCCTCGTACCTCTGCGATGTGCATGTTCCTGGTGGGCGCCGACTCGATCTCCCGTGCGATCCTCTCCGCATGGGCCTGCAGCTCGCGGGACGGCCGCACCAGCGGTGTCGTGTAGATCGCCTCGTCGAACGACGTCTCCACGCCAAACAACTTGCGGTTCGCCTCAAACTGGTCCCACGCCCTGCCGATACACAGGAGAGGGGGAGGGTGAGGGGCCGGAGAGGGGAGGGGGGAAGGGGGGGGGTAGGATAGAGAAGTGACGCAGTGTGTATCGCCTTGTCAAACGACGTCTCCACACCAAAGAGCTTGCGGTTGGCCTCAAACTGGTCCCACGCCCTGCCGATACACAGGAGGAGTGGGAGGCGGGGGGGGGGGGGGCAGAAGGGGAGACGGGAGGGGTTGGGGAGGGGCGTGGAAGAGGCGCCATGCAAATGTTTTCATCGAACGACGTCTGCACGCCAAACAGCTTGCGGTTCGCTTCAAACTGGCCCCATGCCCTGCCGATACGCAGACGCACATACACAGACGGCGTCGACGCACAGACGCCGATACCCCCCTCTCCCCTTCCCCCCACCACCACCCATTTTCCCCCCGTTCTCCCCCCCCTCTCCCCCCTCTCTCCCCCCTCTCTCCCCCCTCTCTCCCCCTCTCTCCCCCCTCTCTCCCCCCTCTCTCCCCCATACCTGGAGCTGCTTCTGAAGGTGTCTTCATCCAACCCCATCCCCTCCTCCACTCCATCCGGCGCCCACCGCTGCAACTCGCGCCCCTCCCCTCCTCCTGCCCCTGTGCCTGCAGGCCCCCAGCTGCCGCGTGTAGTAACCATGCTGCCGATGCTGCTGTCCGTTATGATCTCCCCGTTGGGCGCCAAGGAGGACGCCATGAGGTCAGAGCCGAATAGAGGGAGGTCCTGCGAGTGGAGGGGGTGTAAGGTAAGAGAGGAAATAGAGGGGGTGCGGTGAAATAGAGGGTTCACACCCCCCCAGCGGCCCCCCAGCTGGTGCGTGCCGCAGCAGGGGCACTTCACACCCCCTGCAGCCCCCCAGGGGCCGCGTGTGGTAACCATGTTGCCGATGCTGCTGTCCGTTATGATCTCCCCGTTGGGCGCCAGGGAGTACGCCAGGAGGACCGAGCCGAAGAGGGGGAGGTCCTGCAAGTGAAAGGGGGGGGGGAGAGAGAGAGGAGGGGTGGAAGAGGAGGGGTGCGAGGAGAGGGAAAGAGATGGCGTGTGTGAGAGAGAGAGGGAAAGAGATGGCGTGTGTGAGAGAGAGAGGGAAAGAGATGGCGTGTGTGTGTGAGAGAGAGGGAAAGAGATGGCGTGTGTGTGTGAGAGAGAGGGAAAGAGATGGCGTGTGTGTGTGAGAGAGAGGGAAAGAGATGGCGTGTGTGTGTGAGAGAGAGGGAAAGAGATGGCGTGTGTGTGTGAGAGAGAGGGAAAGAGATGGCGTGTGTGTGTGAGAGAGAGGGAAAGAGATGGCGTGTGTGTGTGAGAGAGAGGGAAAGAGATGGCGTGTGTGTGTGAGAGAGAGGGAAAGAGATGGCGTGTGTGTGTGAGAGAGAGGGAAAGAGATGGCGTGTGTGAGAGAGAGAGGGAAAGAGATGGCGTGTGTGAGAGAGAGAGGGAAAGAGATGGCGTGTGTGAGTGAGAGAGGGAAAGAGATGGCGTGTGTGAGTGAGAGAGGGAAAGAGATGGCGTGTGTGTGTGAGAGAGAGGGAAAGAGATGGCGTGTGTGTGTGAGAGAGAGGGAAAGAGATGGCGTGTGTGTGTGAGAGAGAGGGAAAGAGATGGCGTGTGTGTGTGAGAGAGAGGGAAAGAGATGGCGTGTGTGTGTGAGAGAGAGGGAAAGAGATGGCGTGTGTGAGTGAGAGAGAGGGAAAGAGATGGCGTGTGTGTGAGTGAGAGAGGGAAAGAGATGGCGTGTGTGAGAGAGGGGGAAAGGACGAGGGGGTGGGTGGGCCTCACACCCCCAGCTGCCGCGAGTGGTAACCATGCTGCCAATGCTGCTGTCAGTTATGATCTCCCCAATGGGCGCGAGGGAGGAGGTAAGTAGGTCAGCACCAAAAAGAAGGAGGTCCTGTGAGTGAGGGTAGGGGGAGATAGGAGCATACCGAGAGGGGAGAGGGTGGGGGGGGAGGGGGGAAGAAGAGCGGAGGAGGAGGAAGAGATCTACCAAGGATTGGACCAGAGAGGAGGGGAGGGATGAGAAGGAGGTGTAGGGACAAGGATGGGAACGGAAGAAAAAGGCGATTTGATTCACCCTTACTCTACATGCAGTGAGTACAGGAATTTCTCACTTGGACTTCAAAGATTGACACTAGAATCCTTCAGCCGAAAGAGAGAGAGAGGGGATGAAACTTGCAGAGAAAGCTTGAGGAGAGGACAGAGCTTGCTGGGAAGGCTAGGATGGGTAGCTCGCCTTGGCAATCAGCTGCACCAGGTCAGCAGCAGGCACAACCAGCGTCTTCAACGGAGGCTTCCTGGCAGCTTCCCTCACTGCAGCCGTCTCTGTGCTCTGCGCACCTGTCCCCTGCCGCACCAGCCGCGCCAACTTGAGCACCACGCCTGGCGGGGGGGGGGGGGGGGGAGTGGGGTGGGAGATATATGAGGGGCAAGCAGGGGGGGGTGGGGGATAGATGGGGCTGGATGAAGCAAGCACCACCGGCCGTGCCATCTTCAGCACCACGCCTGGTGGGGGGCAGAGGAGGTGGGCAGGTGAAGGATGGGTGGGGAAAGGGACATCGGACGAAGCAAGCCGCACCAGCTGTGCCAACTGCAGCTCCACACCTCAGTCAGGTATGGTGAAACGTGGGTGGGGTCGAGCCTGGGGGATGGGACGCGGGGAGAGCAATGGGATGAGGATCAAGGCCGCACCAGCCGTGCCATTTTGCGCAGTGCACCTGGTGCGGTGGCACGTGGTTGGGCATGGTGCGAGACTATTTAAATCGCTCAAGAATCTCTCACAGTTCAAGCCTTATCACGAGCTCACGCGTTTGGTCGAATCCGAGCGAGCCTTGTTGCACAAGTATGCCTCGAACGTTTCACCTTAACCCTAGACTAATTCCAACTAAGAGAATGCTGAACCAAGTGAGGAATGGGAATGGCATAGGCCCGGAAGCAACTGTTACTTTTGAGTCGATTCAACCGCAGACCTTAACCCAAGGCTATAGCCGCCGACTAAGGGGCTGGTGAACCAAGTGAGGAATGGCACAGGCTCCGAAGTAGCGGACACTACTAACCTCAGTCATCCAACCCTGCCTTTCTCTCCTTGAACAACCTATCCCTAGGGCTTTTAATTCGGCTCACCAAAGTCCTCCCCGTTAGCACCATGGAAAACGCTAGCTCACCAAAGTCTTCCTCGTTAGCAGCATGGAAGATGCCGCAGTACGAGTCGCCCTGCACCAGTTGCACCTCCACCAGATGCCCTATCAGGCACGCGCTCATCGCCACCATCCACTCCCGGCCCCCCGCGCGCGCACCGCCCGCGCTTCCCCCGTTTGCGCTTCCCCCATTCGCGCTCTCCCCTGCAGTGACAAGCGCGCCCGTGCCAACCCCCTTTCCCGCGGCCTTTCCCGCTTGCCCTAGATCTGGCTGCGGCTGCTGCTGCGGTGTTTGCTGCAGGTGCTGCAGCGGCTGCTGCCACGCGCCTGTCAATACCCCCACCCCGCCTCCTCCCGTGTGCCAGGGGTTTCCGCCGCGGGCCCCGCCAACTCCGCCGGCTGCGCCACCTCCCCTTCCCCACGGGTTGTCGCTTTTCCCCGGTCCGCCACGCCCCCACGCTCCGCCCGGAGCTGCGCCGCCCCCAGATCTACCGCCCTCCGCGCTGTCCCCCCATCCTGTGCTTCCCCCTCCGCCTGTTCCCGCCGCGCCTGGCCCCCCGGGCGGGGGAGACGCGGCGGCGGCGGAGCGCCAGCTGGGCTGGTCGGAGCGGGAGGGCGCAATGGGGGAGTCGCGGGAACCCGAGCTGGACCGGCCGTATCTGCCGCTCTTGCCGGCCGCCGCTGACTGATGCATTGGTGTGAGTTATAAAGGTAAGCTAAGGAGATTGGCAGTACATGTGCAAGTTTCTAAAGAGGGTGAACCTGATCTTAAATGCGAATGAGAAAAATCTCGGGGTACGAGGGATGGAGTTCCGCGTCGAGGCTGGCAGAGGGAGAACCTGCACGCTCAAGATTTGGATATGAGAAAAAACTGCCCACTCTGCCAGCAAATCTCTACAGCAGGCGTATTGAACGTATCTCTACTTGGTCAAACCCTAAATCCGCGACAATCAAGTGAATTTGCGGAAGCCCCTAGGGTTGAAGTGACGCACGAACAACCAACAAACCAACCAACCACCTGAATCCCAACCAAACAACACCTCGCGACAGAAGTGAGCTACAGAACAATAGGCAGCGAGCTACCGTAGCTTGCGGCGGTGGTGGTGTAGCCGAGCCGCCACGCCAATCTCGAAGGGAGATGGACAGGCGAGGCAGGAATCGCACGAGCCAACCGCATGTCCTCGCGCCGAAACCCAGGCACACTTGATACCCACTCCTTGTTACAAAGCTAGTGTACTAGAGGCTTATGCTGAGATTGATTTCGGGCCTAAAAAGCAATCCACGATTCTCAAGCGTCTAACGAGTAATAAATTATGGCAGCAGCTCATGATACCCTTTTAACAACACGTTAAACCATTCTTATATAACCCAGAATCACGCGAGTGCAGCATCTATGATGGCTTTGGTTTCCGATTGGTGGATGGCAAAGCTACCGGTGGCTGGAGAAGCAGAGGGGGCACGGCCAACAAAGCGGATGGGTGTGAGTGCTGACGTGGCAGGATGATGTGGACATAGACTGTGCAATAGCGTGGCAACACGTGGCCTGATGTACGGCCATGCTCCCATGTTCTTGGGCTCCTCCTGTGATTCAAGAATGTGGCATGGCATGGCATCGCATGACACAGTATGGCATCACATACTATGGTGACTAGAGCAGCCAGGAAAAACCTCCGAGAGACCACTTAGAGGCAAGCAAAAATGCAACTGGAAAGAACCCTGCAACTGGAAAGAGCCTGAACAAGCCGAGCAAGAACCTAGGCCCACATGAGTTAGGCCCTGCACTGAATCCAATGACCCATGCCACATGGTCAACTGCCATTGGTGCTCGCTACCTGCTGCGCAAGCACGCACACACGCACTGGAAGAAAGCGTAAACAGTACCTGAACCCACACAAGCTCGGCGGTTGTGTTATGTTTTTTAGAATTCTCAAGAACCTAACGATGGAAGAAAGTGTTATCAGTACCTGCGCCCACACGAGCTCGGCGTTGCAGTGGCTGTTGATGACCCGAGCCATGTGGTCCACCGCCATGGGCGCTATCTGCTCTATGCGCATCAGCCCCACATCCCACTGCTTCCTCGCCCTCCTTGCATGCGCCAGGGAGTAGTAAATCTGCTCAAGCATGGGGGCATGGTGTGGACGCATGGAGGGGATGTTTGTTCCAACCCCATGGATGGGTGGTCCACCGCCATGGGCGCTATCTGCTCTATGCGCATCAACCCCACATCCCACCACTTCCTCGCCCTCCTTGCATGAGCTAGGGAGTAGTAGATCTGCTCACACATGGGGGCAGTGGACGGTGCGGACGCATGGATGAGATGAGTGGCCCAATCCCATGGATGAGTGGATGCTATGGGAAAAACCCGATCTATGCATATCAGCCCATCTCAAACATCTTCATCGCTCTCCTTGCATCCGCCAAGGAGTAGAAGGTCTGCAGCATTGATGGGACGGGGAATTTGATGGCAGGAAGTCATGGGATGATGGAAACATGGGTAGCATGGAGACATGGGTGGCATGGAGACATGGGTGGCATTGAGACATGGGTAGCATGGAGACATGGGTAGCATGGAGACATGGGTAGCATGGAGACATGGGTGGCATGGAGACATGGGTAGCATGGAGACATGGGTGGCATGGAGTCATGGGTGGCATGGAGACATGGGTAGCATGGAGACATGGGTGGCATGGAGACATGGGTAGCATGGACACATGGGTAGCAAGGAGACATGGGTAGCATGGAGACATGGGTGGACATGGGTAGCATGGAGACATGGGCAGCATGGAGACATGGGTGGCATGGAGACATGGGTAGCATGGAGACATGGGTAGCATGGAGACATGGGTAGCATGGAGACATGGGTGGCATGGAGACATGGGTTGCATGGAGACATGGGTTGCATGGAGACATGGGTAGCATGGAGACATGGGTGGCATGGAGACATGGGTGGACATGGGTAGCATGGAGACATGGGTAGCATGGAGACATGGGTAGCATGGAGACATGGGCAGCATGGAGACATGGGTGGCATGGAGACATGGGTAGCATGGAGACATGGGTAGCATGGAGACATGGGTAGCATGGAGACATGGGTGGCATGGAGACATGGGTTGCATGGAGACATGGGTTGCATGGAGACATGGGTAGCATGGAGACATGGGTGGCATGGAGATGTGGGTAGCATGAAGACATGGGTAGCATGGAGACATGGGTGGCATGGAGACATGGGTGGACATGGGTAGCATGGAGACATGGGTGGCATGGAGATGTGGGTAGCATGAAGACATGGGTAGCATGGAGACATGGGTGGCATGGAGACATGGGTGGCATGGAGACATGGGTAGCATGGAGACATGGGTAGCATGGAGACATGGGTAGCATGGAGACATGGGTGGCATGGAGACATGGGTAGCATGGAGACATGGGTAGCATGGACACATGGGTAGCATGGAGACATGGGTGGACATGGGTGGCATGGAGATATGGGTAGCATGGACACATGGGTAGCATGGAGACATGGGTGGACATGGGTGGCATGGAGATATGGGTAGCATGGACACATGGGTAGCATGGAGACATGGGTGGACATGGGTGGCATGGAGACATGGGTAGCATGGAGACATGGGTAGCATGGAGACATGGGTGGCATGGAGATATGGGTAGCATGAAGACATGGGTAGCATGGAGACATGGGTGGCATGGAGACATGGGTGGCATGGAGACATGGGTGGCATGGAGATATGGGTAGCATGAAGACATGGGTAGCATGGAGACATGGGTGGCATGGAGTCATGGGTAGCATGGAGACATGGGTAGCATGGAGACATGGGTAGCATGGAGACATGGGTGGCATGGAGACATGGGTAGCATGGACACATGGGTAGCATGGAGACATGGGTAGCATGGAGACATGGGTGGCATGGAGACATGGGTAGCATGGAGACATGGGTAGCATGGAGACATGGGTGGCATGGAGACATGGGTGGCATGGAGACATGGGTAGCATGGAGACATGGGTAGCATGGAGTCATGGGTAGCATGGAGACATGGGTAGCATGGAGACATGGGTAGCATGGAGACATGGGTAGCATGGAGACATGGATAGCATGGAGACATGGGTAGCATGGAGACATGGATAGCATGGAGACATGGGTAGCATGGAGACATGGGTAGCATGGAGACATGGGTAGCATGGAGACATGGATAGCATGGAGACATGGATAGCATGGAGACATGGATAGCATGGAGACATGGATAGCATGGAGACATGGGTAGCATGGAGTCATGGGTGGTAGGAGGACGGAACAAGCATGTGATGGTGGCATTGCATGATGACAGGCCTGATGGGGGAGAAAGGCGCACAGCAGCATGTGGTGCAGCACATGCCATGCCGCCACATGCCATCAAACAGTGTGCCGCCACATGCCATCAACCAGCGTTCCGCCTCATGCCATCAACCAGCGTGCCGCCACATGCCATCAACCAGTGTGCCACCACATGCCATCAACCAGTGTGCCATCACATGCCATCAACCAGTGTGCCACCACATGCCATCAACCAGTGTGCTGCCACATGCCATCAACCAGTGTGCCACCACATGCCATCAACCAGTGTGCCACCACATGCCATCAACCAGTGTGCCACCACATGCCATCAACCAGTGTGTCACCACATGCCTTCAACCAGTGTGCCACCACATGCCATCAACCAGTGTGCCACCACATGCCATCAACCAGTGCGCCACCACATGCCATCAACCAGTGCGCCACCACATGCCATCAACCAGTGCGCTACCACATCCCCAACCAGTGCGCCACCACATGCCATCAACCAGTGCGCCACCACATCCCCAACCAGTGCGCCACCACATCCCCAACCAGTGCGCCACCACATCCCCAACCAGTGCGCCACCACATCCCCAACCAGTGCGCCACCACATCCCCAACCAGTGCGCCACCACATCCCCAACCAGTGCGCCACCACATCCCCAACCAGTGCGCCACCACATCATCAATCAGTGTGCCACCACATCCCCAACCAGTGCGCCACCACATCCCCAACCAGTGCGCCACCACATCCCCAACCAGTGCGCCACCACATCCCCAACCAGTGCGCCACCACATCATCAATCAGTGTGCTCCCACACATCCCCAAACCTTCCCCGAGCACCGAAATATGTGCTCATATGACGTGTGAATACTTGGTGTGAGATGCTACATGGTATCAAATTCTCTTTAAGCTAGAAAGCAGCAGCAAGTGGCAGACCCTCACATGTCACAACACATAGCACGTCATACCATCACAGGCCATGCCAAGCCATACCATCACATGCTATACCATGCCAAACCATCATATGCCACACCAAGCCATACCATCACATGCCATACCGCGGACCATGCCCATGGCTTACCTTCCCTGAGCACAAAACGAGCCGTTTCATCTTGCCAGGTGGCATCAGCATGTCGCCATGCGCATGGCTCATGTTGTCCCCCGCGTCCCCATCAGCTATCACAGGCCTGGCAGGGGAGATTAAGGAACAGCGGGATATGCGACATGCACCAAACATGGCTCGTTGTCCCCCGTGCCATATCCCTATCTGCTAAGACAGGCCTGATAGGGGAGCATAAGAGAAAAGGGGGGATAGATACGCATGGGTCATGGGTCATGCCACCTTTCACATGTCACTTGTGTTGCCTCCTGTGTTCCCATCAGCTATGACCAGTCTGATAAACAGAGAGTCATGGAAACGCACAGCGCATGCATTGCACACATGACCCATGTGGTTCCCTCACATGACCCATGTGGTTCCCTCATATGACCCATGTGGTTACCACACACGACCCATATGTGGTTACCACACATGACACGCATGTCCCCAGCACATGGCTCATGCTCCCCCCCCGTCCCCATCCGCTATGACAGGCCCGACAGGGGGCCATATACATGTCCATGCATATGGGTCATGAGGTGATGACTGGCCCATGCATGTCCCCATGCACATGGCTCATGTTCCCCCCCCCGCGTCCCCATCCTCTATGGCAAGCCTGATAGGGGGGCGTTGAACAGACGGGCATGGAAGCGTGCAACACATGCATTGGAAACTCACTGGAAGAATGTGCCCGACGTGAAATGGCTGAGAGGTGAAGCACAGGGCTTGTGATGCAATAGGTACTGCAGGTTGGGAAGGGGAGGGGAGGGAGGGGGTGGGGTTGGAAGCAAATGCACAAATTACAATGTAATTGTTTTCAAGAAGCAAATGCAAGATGTCATGTTCGTTGGGGAATACTCACATAAGGGGAGAGAAAAATGAAGGGCTGATGCTGCTGTGTAAGGTGGAACGCACATCCACACAGCACACTGCTTCCTGCATGTACAGCTGTGGGATAATAATCCGGTTTTGAGAGCACAGCTCTGCACACAGCTGTCTCAAAGCAAATTTTCGTAATCACTGCATCTAGACAACACATTGCTCCCTGCATGTGCAGCTTGGCATTTGGCCGCGTCACTCATATCACTGCTATTCTTTTCTCCTAAACTCGTGTTGTAAAATATATATGTATACAACATGCATGCCTAGATTAGGAGGTGTAGTCATTATATTTATTGGGGGGTTGTTGGTTGGGTTGACTAACCCCACATTTGGGTTGGTCAAGATTGGATTTGGTCCTAGACATTTGGTTGGCACTATTCCAACCAAATGGTCCTTCGTCCCAAGACCCAACCAATCACCAAGCACCACACTTTGTGGTTGCTTACCTTCCAAGCAACCACCCCCATTGGTCCACATTGTGGCCAATCGGAGAGCACCACACTTCGTGGTTGCTTGTCCTCCAAGCTACCTCTCCCATTGGTCTACATTACGGCCAATGGGAGACCTTCCCCTCCATCTCTTCCTTGCTCCTTGTTTGTACAAAAGAGTCTCTTGGCTCCCTACTCAATCTATCTTTTTCTCCTCAAAGCTAGTTCCTTCAACTCGAACCTGTTCCTTGTCGGCACCTACTGCCCGAAGGATGCTTTTTGGGACAAACTTGGAAAGGTTTGTGACGCATCCGTGCTCAAACGCAAGTCATCATCATCACGCATCTCAAAGTGCTTATCTTATCACCATGCACGCACCAGTGGTCCAGTGCCATGATATCACGAGCAAGGGGCATCACCTTGGGCGCCATGATGGTGGTATCACCATGCATGGCGCCCTGGCACACGCAAATCACAAGCAACTGCCACCACCTCACCTTGGGTGCCTCCACCTCACCTTGGGTGCCACCACCTCACCTTGGGTGCCACCACCTCACCTTGGGTGCCACCACCTCACCTTGGGTGCCATCACCACCAGGGGCTTGGAGAAGTGCCGATTAACCTGCGAATAGGGGAGAGATGGGGAAAGATCGGACGACAGGGAAGATCGTATGGTGTGATGGCAACATGGTACCTGAGTACACACCTGACACCTGACCCTACACCAGAACACCTGAGCACACACTTGAACAAATGAGCACGCACCAGAACAGCTGAGCACACACCTCAACACCTGAAGACCCACCTGGTGCCAGAGTGCTTGGAAGAGGTTGGCATGAGAGGTGAGGTTGATTGCACACAGGTTGTTGTCGCTCTGAGTGTGCAGTTGGCACCTGAGGAATCACCTGTGCGAACATCTGAGCGCACACGTGAACACCTGAAAATTCACCTGTAACACCTGAGCACGCACCTGGCGCCTGAGCGCATGGAAGTAGTTGGCGGGAGTGGTGAGGTTGACGACGCAGAGGTTGTTGTCCCTCTGGGCATTGCGCCGCATCCAGCGCACCATGAACGCCTCCCAGTCCGCCCTGGGGGTGTGATGTCAAATATAAGGTGCCTGTAACTGACAATATGTTACGTACAACAGCAATTTTCTATCCGCCGCATCATGTGTGCTTCCCCATCCATCTTGGTTGGTGGTATGATAAGATATTGTATGGATGTCAATGAATCACAGAAACAGCTTGGATCCACCGCAACATGAAGGCCACCCAGTCCGCTCTGACAGCATCGTAAAATGAATGCAATGAATTGACATGAATGCAATGTGTTAACATGAAACATTTGTACAGAAAGAGGTAGATCCACCACACTGCACCATGAATCCTCCCAGTCCGCTCTGACATATGTAGTGACATGACATATGTGAACACATATGAGTTTATGTGAACACATATCAATGCATGTAGGAACATATGAATGCATGTGTTGACACCTGAATGTTGTAAAATGACACCTGAATGCATGTGTTGACACCTGAATGCATGGGTTGACACCTGAATGCATGGGTTGACACCTGAATGCATGTGTTGACACCTGAATGCATGTGTTGACACCTGAATGCATGTGTTGACACCTGAATGCATGTGTTGACACCTGAATGCATGTGTTGACACCTGAATGCATGGGTTGACACCTGAATGCATGTGTTGACACCTGAATGCATGTGTTGACACCTGAATGCATGTGTTGACACCTGAATGCATGTGTTGACACCTGAATGCATGGGTTGACACCTGAATGCATGTGTTGACACCTGAATGCATGTGTTGACACCTGAATGCATGTGTTGACACCTGAATGCATGTGTTGACACCTGAATGCATTTGTTGACACCTGAACGCATGTGGTAACACCTGAATGCATGTAAAGCCCTTGATGTGCATCTGGTGGGCGATGCCTGTGAGTCGACCAAAAGCACCTGAATGCATTCTCACTTGGAGATCTTATTCGAGCTGTCGATGTGCATCTGGTGAGCGAGCGCCGTCACGTAGTCGTGGCCCAGCCCGTACTGCGACTCCATGAACGAGAGCAAATCAGACAGTGACACGTGGCCCTTGTTGTCTGCCAGGGAGGGAGAAGGGATAGAAGAGCAGGGAGACCAAAGACCGTCATATTACAAACTGTGTTGCTTATGCCTGTTCCCTCAGCGCTGTAGCATGGATGAATCACAGCACAGCAACCTGTCTTGTGTTTTGGAGAATTCTCAGCAACCTGTAACACAAGAGTAACTTCTATTCTCCAAGGTGAACAAAAGTACCTGTAACTTCCACCTTCACTTTGAAGAGTGAAGCGTTTGGGTGTGAGGCCTCTCGGTCCACCCTCCCTCCCTCCCTCCCTCCCTTCTATTCTCCTCTCCGCCCCTCCCACCTTTGACCACTCACCTCGGTCCGCCACAGAGAATCCTGCCTCGATCTGGCTGGCAAAGTGCGGCCCGTAGCCAGGGAGGTGGTCGGCATCATCGTTCACCAGCTGGTTGGGGGAAGGGGTGAGAGGAGGGGGAGGAGGGGTGAGAGGAGGGGGAGGAGGGGTGAGAGGAGGGGAAGGAAGGGTGAGAGGAGGGGGAGGAGGGGCGAATGGAGGGGGGAGGGGAAGGTGGAGAATGAGAAACGTCATGGTGGCGAGTGGAAGGAGGGGAGCCCCCGAGGCAATGGCAGGCGGAGGAGTGCTAAGGGCCCTGCCGCCGTGCCATCCACACCGAGACGGGGTGAAGGTGTCTCTAACCAAGCGACTTGTGCTGGGTGTTTTCTAACCAAGAGAACTGTAAAAAACACCCTGCACAATGATGAAAGTGTGTCTATCCAAGCGACTTAACCACGTTTCTCAAAGACCCCCCTGCAGGTACCTCTCAAGGCGCGTGGACGAGTGCCCTGGCTTGTGTCTGTCATGAGGCAGTTTGTAAGGCGACTCAAACATCATGCCAGACCTAGCTCCCTCTCTCACGTTGCTGACTCCGAGTAGCAACGGAAACGTAACCTCAGGTGGGGCGTCTAGCACAACAAGGTATTCCGAGTATGAGTAGGAGGGCAAGACGGATAGGAGGAGAAAAAGTTGGCCGCCATGTAGGGGGGGTTGGTGGGGTAGCACCATGGTGGGGTAGGAGGGTAGATAAGCGTATTTTGAAACTTCGATAACGGTTTGTTTGTTTTTTGGGGGGGGAGGAGGGGGAGGGGGGGGTCAAGGTGCTCAGCACCTCCCCCCCCCCAAACCCTAACTTTTCCCTTGCCCTCATTTCTTTTACCTGCCCAGCCCAGTGTATTTGGCATGTATTTCCAAACCGCCCCCCCACCCCACCCCCCCCCGTCGTATTCCGTTTTTGCCAACACAGCCTACATGCTACAGCCAGCCAAGATACCCACACACCCACCTGCAGGTACCTCTCAAGGCGCGCTGACGAGTGTTCGGGCCCCTGGCCGTCGAAGCCGTGCGGCAGCAGCATGACGAGCCCCGTGGACGTCATCCACTTCTCCTCGCCGCTCACTATGAAGTTGTCGATTATCGCCTGCGCGTTGTTGGCAAAGTCCCCAAACTGGAAGGGAGGGAGAGCAGCGAGGGGAGAGGGGCGAGGGGCGAGGGGAGAGGGGAGAAGGGAGAGGGGAGAGGGGCGAGGGGAGAGGGGAGAGGGGAGAGGGGAGAGGGGAGAGGGGCGGATGGAAGGATCGTGCTTCCTAGTAGAGAGTAAGGCGCATCCATTGTAAGGCGTTTCGAGCACATAGGCCGCCATCCCAAGCCTTGAGTCGTTGGCGTTTCAAGGCGTCTTTTCCCGTGGCGAACTTGCTTCCAGGAGCCTTGCCCAGGCCCCTTGGTCGCTGTCAGCAAGTTCGCCACAGAAAAAGACGCCTTGAGCATCGCCAATGACTCAAGGCATTGCGGCCTATGTGTACTCAAAATGTTTCCATTGTCAGGGCTGAACCCGTACTCAAAGCCCAGCACGGCTTAACCCTCCATGTCCCACTTGCGCACCCCCAGAGACCAGAGAAGGTTGCATTCTTCCCATTTCTCACCTGCGCCTCCCAACAGACTAGGGCGTTTTCGTTCTCCAGGCTGAAGCCGTACTCAAAGCCTAGCACCGCTGCCTCCGACAGACTCGAGTTGCACACTGTGAACCGCTCCTGCCCCGCTGCTAGGTGCTGCAGGGGGGTGTACCTGTGGTGGAGCAAAGATGTAGAATGCGTGGTGATGTGAGATACACGAACCCTATCCCTCGGACTCGAGTTGCACACTGTGAAGTGCTCCTCGCCCGCTGCTAGGTGCTGCAGGGGGGTGTACCTGTGATGAGACGAGGCACACATGGTGGGATTGTATGTGGTGGAGTAATCAGTGTGAAGCTCCACCCAAAGCCCAGCACAAAGGCTTCTACCAGACTCGAGTTGCACTCTGTGAACTGCTCCTGGCCGGCTGCTAGGTGCTGCAGCGGGGTGTACCTGTCATGGGGCACACAGACGTTGGGATTGTGTGTGAGGGAGTACTGATGTGACTCGAGTTGCACTTAGTGAACCGCTGCTACGTGCTGCAATCGGGTGTGCCTGAAACGGAACGGTGGAATGACATGGGATGTGAAATATTACAACCTCAAACTGTGAACCTGAGTGTCACACTGCATAGAGATCCTGCCCTGCCCCCCGTGCTGGGTGATGTAGAGCCGCGGATCATTCGACTTGGAAAAGCTGCAGTTAGGAAGATACTCGTCGCAAATTTGTTGAGAGTAAGATCAAGAACGGTACCATGTTTAAGACCAGGAACTTGAAAATCCAAACTCAATCTCAATAGAAATACTAAAAAGCAAACATGTCTCGGTTAACTGGGACAAGTCCCCAAGTCAAAACTTCATTCATAAGTGTGAGCGGAATTAGGTTTTGACTAGAAATCTGTCCCAGTCAAGTGGAACACGTCTGCATTTTAATATTTCTATTAGAGTTGAGTCTGGATTCTCAAGTTATTGGTTCTGAACAGAGCACAAAATTTACACTTCTAGTGTCAACCTTTCGCTACACGTATCTTCATAACTGCAGCTCATTGAAAACCAATGGTTCTGTTCTGAAGCACGTTCCTGATCCACCTGCCTGGTTTTTGAGGCGCCTAAAAACCCACCTGCCTGGTGCTGCAGCAGCCTGCAGGGTGTACGTGTGATGGAACACACGTGTAGATATGGTGATGAATCACCACGAATGACCAAGAAATACAATGAATCGCTAGGAATCACCATGAATGGCCATGGATGACCAAGAATGAATCACCATGCACCTATCACTCGATCAACGAAACGGGTTTTTGACACACTCACAGCATGGCGCCCATCACAGCATGGCATTGGGTCATGTCCCTCGACATGAAACTCGTCAGTTAACTGTGTAGAAGTTATCATGTGCCCATCCATGGCCTTGCCTTCACTTCACACCCACCGCTGCTTGTCCGTGACTTGATCGTGCATCATGGCATGGCAGTGGCTGAAGGTGCCCCTCCAGGTGACCAATCGGTTGACTCAAACCTCATCCTGTGTCTATGGCCTGTACTGGAAAAACTCACCTCTTCCCCAAGACTTGATCGTGCATCACAGCTGGCGGCGGTTGAAGGTGCCCCTCTCATAGACCCTCCCACTCAGGCGATGTGTGAGATGCCTAAAAGATGATATTGATAAGCGCTCTTCACGCACTCACCTCTTTCCTGTGACTTGATCGTGCATCACGGCATGGCGGTGGTTGAATTTGCCCCGCGAGTGAGTGTGTGAACGCATGTAAGTGCATGCACCACACTCACCGCTTTCCTGTGACTTGGTCATGCATCACGGCATGGCGGTGGTTGAACGTGCCCCTCTCACAGTCCTGCCCACTCAGCCGCACGGCGTGCGCCGGGTTGCTGTCAGGGGTCTGACCCACTGACGCATCAAACGGTAGGATAAGCGAGCTGCGGGGTGGGGGGGTAGAGGGGAGGGGGTTAGGTGACTTGAGTCGACTAAGGTGCCCCTCTCACAGTCCTGCCCACTCAGCCGCATGACGTGCGCCGGGTTGCTGTCAGGGGTCTGACCCACTAACTCATCAAACGGCAGCACGAGTGAGCTGCAAAGGGGGGTTGGTGGGGATGGTGGGGGTCGGGTCGGGGCACAATGGGAACAGAGGAGAATGCATGCGCCGGGTTGCTGTAAGAGGTCTGACCTAGTGACGCAGTAAACGGCAGCAGAAGTGAGCTGCTGGAGGGGAGAGTAAAAGCCAAAGGGCGGGGAGGGGGGGGGGGGGAGGGGGAGGAGAGAGGAACAGAGAGGAACGGAGGAGAATGCATGCACTGAGTTGCTCTCAGAGGTCGGACTGACTTACTGAGGCATCAAACAGCAGCACGAGTGAGCTGCAGAAGGGGAGAAGAAGAGGGCAGGGAGGCGAGGGGGATGGGGAGGGGAACGGAGGAGAATGCATGTGCAGGGTTGCTCTCCTGGATTTGGCCTAGGGAGACAACAAACGGCAGCAGTAGTGAGCTGAAGGAAGGGGGTGCGGATGGTGGGGTTGGGGGCACAATGGGAACAGCAGAGTATGCATGCGCTGGGCTGCTCTCCTGGGTCTGGCCTAGGGAGGCATTGAACGGCGAGCATACTCCTGGGTCTGGCCTAGGGAGGCATTGAACGGCGAGCTGCCGGGGAATAGGGATGGGATCGTGGGAGACAGAAGAGACACATGTGCTGGATTGCTTCCTGAGTCTGGGTCCAGGGAGGTATCGAAAGGTAAGAGCAGAGAATAGGAGGGGGTTGAAAGAGGGGGTAATGGGATGGCAAGACGCATTGTTAGAACAGGCTTGTCGGAAGAACAAGGTATGATGGCAAGAAGGGATCTGCAGAGCGTAATGCATCCCAGGAGCCATTAGAATTAGCCATGGGCAGAGCTTCTGCCATTTTTGCATCGATCGAGGCACCTCAAGCTGCCTTGCCACGGTCCTCACCCTGCCTTCCTCCCTGCCTTCCAACCTGCCTTCCACCCAGCCGTACAACCCGCCGTACAACCCACCCGAAGGCGAGAGCCTCTGCCATGGCCCAGTCAATGCCCTCCCCAGTTGCCATCATCTTGCGCCGATTTTCCAGCAGAGATGCCACCTGGTGGGGGTGGAGGGGAAGAAAGGAGGATGAGGGGGGGAGGGAAGCAGGCCAAGAGGAGGGGCCCAGGGATCAGTTGCCATCATTTTGCTAGTTTCAAAAGCAAGATTTGCTTCCGTACCTAAGGTTTAGCATGCTACAGTACCCAAGGTTCGGCATATTACAGTACCTGAGGTTCGGCCTGCTACAGTACCTGAGGTTCGGCATGCTACGGTACCTGAGGTTCGGCATGCTACGGTACCTGAGGTTCGGCATGCTACGGTACCTGAGGTTCGGCATGCTACGGTACCTGAGGGTGCAAGGTGAAGTCTGGCGGTACAGTGCAGAGCGCCTCGCCCTGTGATGTATGGGATCATGTTAGAGCATGCAATATGCGAGAAGGCACAGGAACGTGTTAGGGCATGAATTATGTGAGAAGGCATGGGAACGTGTTAGGGCATGAATGATGTGAGAAGGCATGGGAACGTGTGAGGGCATGAAAACACAGAACCATGTGCCATGTGCCATGTGCGGCCATGGACTGCAATGCAGTAAAGGTTACGTGCCCCCTCGGCAAGATGTGCCTTGCTTGCTGCACAGCAACAGACCGAACAACCCCTGGCTCGCATTCCTGCACTGCCATCCCTCCCCCCTTACCGACCTTCCCCCCTCACCGAACCTCCCCCCTCACCATCCCTCCCCCCTCACTGACCCTCCCCCCTCACCATCCCTCCCACCTCACCGTCCCCTCCCCTCACCACGCCCCCCCCTCACCACACGCTGCAGTGTCTTCGTGGGGAGGCCGGTTGGTTGAATCTTGCGCTGACTCACCAGCGAACCCAGAGCCTCCCCTGGCATGCCATACCATGCCATGCCACCACGCAAGCAAGAACCATCATAGCATGCCATGCCATGTGATGCCATCCGAGGACACGATCGCAGGACCCCAGACATGGTTGCCATGCCAATTAAACACATATGCTGATGACACCATGACAGGAACTGTAGTGATATGGTACCAACATCAATAACGATACAAATATAGCGTCATAATTTCAACAAGTCGAAGCAAAATGTTGCTACCATAAGAACGAGCTTCGTTGCAAGCTATAGCGATTCAGCATAACGATTTCGGCTGTAGATATTTGACGTTGCCAGCTGTTCAACAGAATCCTGTCAGCTGTGCCCCTACCTTGCCAGTTGGCGGCCAGCCAATCCTGTGGCGACAGCTGTTGCTTGTTAGCGTTCTCAAAGGCGCGTTCAAACTCAGCCTCCACGTCAGTCTGCCAGCTGGCAAGCTCCTGAGGGGGGTGTGGATGACAGATGCAGAGTGCAGCATGTACATGCATTGGCGTGCATGGGGACACCGCAGTGATTCCACACTGCATGCATGCATGCACATGCTATGACTGTGTCATGTGTCATGTGTCATGTGTCATAACACATGACATATTCCACGTGTCATGTGTGCTAACTTCCATATTGTAGCAGCACCATTGCATTGCACTTCCATGCATTGTACACATGGCACTTAGCCATCTGCAAGGGGTTTTCCCTCTCACATAGGGTCCAACCTCTCTCTGCCCCTCTCCCTCCCATGATCCCTCAGACCCTGATGATGACTCGCACATGGGGACAGCACACTCACCTCCGCCGTCACACCCTCTTCACCTGCATAGAGGCCAACGCACAGATGCACACACGTGATCACAGCAGCACGGTGACCTGTACACAACGTACACGCGCACCCATGATCCCACCAGCACCCACCTCAGTCGTGACCACCTCGTCTGCCAGGAGCCGGTTGGCGTACAGCCCGAGGCACGGAGGGTGGCTGTCCACCAGCGAGTACATGAGGGGCTGGGTCACTCGGGGGTCGTCCTGTGGGTGTGTACGTGGAGATGGGGGGGGGGGGGAGAGGTTGCCTGCCTGTTAGTGAGTGCACGTGCACTGATGGGAGGGGGATGGGGTGGGTGGCTATTCACGATGGAGTGAGAGGCTGGGTCACTCAGGGGTCTTCATGTGGGTGTATATGTTGGGAGGTCGGAGGCTGCATGTTAGTGCATATATAGGGAACGAGGGAGGGTGGTGCATTTGTTGTGCGTGTATGTTTCCATGTGTAGAGGTTCGAGGGGAATGAGTGGGTGTCCATTCAGGAGTACATGAGCAGCTGCGTCACTCGGGGGTCGTCCTGTGGGTGATATGGGGAGTGCGAGGGGATTGGGGCCCGGGGGGGGAGAGAGGTGTGGGAGGTTTTCTCTTGGTGAAGGTCCGAGGGGAGAATGGTGGTTGTCCACCAGGGAGTACATGGGCGGCTGCGGCACTCGGGGGTCGTCCTGTGGGTGTGGATGCGGAGATGGGGGAAGTGCGTGTGATAGTGCGTGCATGCGCACTGATGGGAGGTTGGCAGTACATTGGAGCGGCTGCGGCACTCACAGGTTGTCCCGTGGATGATATGGGGAAGAGAGGGTGGGGGGGAGAGGGGAGAAAAGGTGTGTTGGGGAAGGGAGGAAAATGCACACAGGTGGGCGGGTGGCTACCCGCCAGGACATGCATTTGGGTACGTCAACTGTTCACCGGGGTCATCCTACATGCGTGTGTGCAGCAGTCTGCGTGTGTGGGCACACAAGGTCCCCGCCATAACCCCCCCCCCCCCCCCCCCCCGCATCACGGGGATCATCCAACATGCATGCGGGGGTCTGCTGCGTGTGTGGCTGGCACGCGTCGGCCACCACCAAATCCTTGCCATGTCTCATGAGTGAGGAAGGCTCAAGTCCCAGAGTATTCTAACATTATGTGTTGGGTAGCCCACCTGCTCATTATGCCCGTGCGACCTGTAGGCTGCGGCGCACAAGGTGCACCACCCCACTCCACCACATCCTTGCCAAATGTCTTGGATAAGCACTCGCGAATAAGCATGGACATTTATATACATGAGTGTTGCATAACTCGTCTGTTCGTTGTGCCCGTGCCACCTGTAGCACACCCAAAGTCCACCACCACATCCTTGACGAATGTCTCAACTCATGTGTGACAAGTATGACTCATGTCTCAACTCATGTGTGACAAGAACTCAGGTTTTAGAGGACTCCAACAGTATGTGTGATGGGTAGCCCACCTGCTCGTGGGGACCATGTTGTCTGTAGTAGACTGTACCACACACAAGGTCCACCACCACTTATCTTCGCAGAATGTTGTGATGGATAGGTCTTGCGAGTAAGCCTTAACATGTATGTACATGAGGGTTCCACATGTCACCTGTTCATTGTGCCCATGTCGCCTGTAGCACACGAGGTCCACCACCACATCCTTGCCGAATGTCTGCAGCACCAGGCACGTGGCACATGGCACATAGCACATGGCACAAGGCACACGGTACATGTTGGTGTACACACAGTGCACGTATGATGCATGGCGTGTGGCACACCAGTTATGATGCAGCAGACCACATGGTCCATTCATAAGCCACTTGGCATACAGCACGTGGCGTGTGGCCCATGACACACGTGAATAACACCTAATGACAGATGGCGTGGGGTACGATGGGCCACCGACAAGCTGTGGCACGACAGCACAGCACGTTGGCAAACGAACAACTACTGCATTAGTGGCGCGTGGACAACACACGTGACAGCTGGCACGTGCAGGGTGCTACGAACAAAAGGAACTCCATGGCAAACGGGATGAATGATGAAGCAGCATGGCATGTGCCATGCCATGTGACACCTTCCTCCCACCGAGAACTCATTCCTGTAACATATTGCTGCAAAACATTGCCGCAACACATTACATTAACACATTGCTGTAACACACTGCTAGAAGACTGCCACGACACATTGCTGTAACGTGATGCTGTAGCACAGCATTCCGGTAACACATTCCTGTAACAAAAATATGGTAACACATTCCTGTAACAAAATATGGTAACACATTCCTGTAACAGATTCTCCCACCCACCTGCCGCCAGTCCGCAGCGAGCGAGCAGATGTGAGCCACAGCCTCGGGATCATCCGCGTTCACATGGAATATGGGCGCCCCTACCGCCTGCAACAGAGGGGGACGGTGCAAGCAAAACAACACATCACAGAATCTTTTGCAACGACGATACATTGCATGTGTTTGCCATGAAATCAGTACTACGGCTTTGCCACGTCTTGTCTGCCGTGGGAAATCAGTGCACATTCTCACTTATCACTCACTTGTATGCTTCTTTTGCCGGCTTACCTTGGCGAAGTCAGAGGGGTGCGGTGAGGAACGTGCGAGCTTGGGATCCGTGGTGAATCCGATCTGATTGTTGATGATCACGTGGATCGTGCCGCCTGTGGTGTACTCTGGCAGCTCCGACAGCTGCTCCACATGGGGCGGACCGGTTGAGAGTGGCAGAAAAGGTGGGGGGCGGGATGGGATAAAGGATTTAATATTGTACTCTGGTAATTCTGATAGCTGCTCCTGGTGGGGTGGGGTGGTGGTGGAAAGGGAAGAAAGGATCTAGTTTTGAGGCGCCTCACAAAAGTGGAAAGGGGAGAGAAAGGATCGGCATACGATAGAATAGGAGGTTAGTGTACTCTAGTGGGTCCGATAGTTGCCAATCAGGGGACGATGGACGGAATGAGGGGCTAACGCACTCTGGCAGCTCCAATGGTTTCCCACAAGGGGGGGAAGAACTTATGGGTGAGCGGGAGTGAAGGGGGATGGATGGGTGAGGAATATTGGAGTAAACGGGGATGTGTGAGGACTTATAGGAGGACGTGAGGGGAAGAAGAGAAAAGGAGCAGATTAGGAAAAGCAGGGACCATGTTTTTCATACCTGCAGCATGGCCATACCTGCCGCACAGCACAGCCATACTTGCAGCACTGCCGTACATGCAGCCCTCTCCCGCACCTGCAGGCTGCAGCATTGACCGTACCTGCAGCACCAACCATACCTGCAGCATCGACCGTACCTGCAGCATCGGCCGTACCTGCAGCACCAACCGTACCTGCAGCATCGACCGTACCTGCAGCACCGACCGTACCTGCAGCATCGACCGTACCTGCAGCATCGACCGTACTTGCAGCATCGACCGTACCTGCAGCATCGACCGTACCTGCAGCACCTCAGGAGCGAGGCCAAGGCCACTGAAGGCCGCATCTCCATGGAGAATCAAGCCCTGAACGGAGGTCAGGGTAGCATGTTGAGGGAGGGGGAGAGAGGACGTGGAGCGGGAGACGCAAAGAGGTGAGGGAAGATTGCAAAGAGGTGCCGGGGAGGTGAACACAAGGTTCTTTAATCGACTCAAAGGCGAGACCAAGGCCACTGAGCTGAGAAGTGGTGCAGGGGAGGGGAACCCAGGGCCACTGAAGGCAGCATCTCCATGCAGAATCAAACCCTGGAAGGAGGTCAGGGGTCACATGGCGAGGAGGGGGGGAGATGAGAACTGGTGCCGTGGAGACGCAAAGAGATGCAGGGGAGGTGTGAATACAAGGTTTTAGACGACTCAAAGGCGAAGAAAAGATGACTGAATGTTGTTCGTGACAACCCGCATGGGAGGACTACGGTCATCCCCTTCTCAAATCGAAAGTTCCCGGAGACCCACATTATATGTTCCAGAAACATGCACAGTGTGACACCGTGCAACTTCCTTAGTCACACTGTGCATGTCTCTGGAACATAACTCTCTGTACAAAGGTTCACCCGGAGGAATGTGCTCCTCCATCATGTGGGTCTCCGGTCACTTTTGATTTGAGAAAGGGATGACCATAGTCCTCCCATGCGGGTTGTCGAGGAGTCCTGGAGGGAGGTAATGGGTATGGCACAGCACAGCACACCAAGGATTGTACACAGCCAGAAGAGAACACATGGCAGACGCCACATACCATAACAGATTACCTATTGATGTCATTCCTGAAAACCTGTTTGGTTCTAACCTTTCCCGCCACCATGGCACAATACTACACACTACAGCACGCCAGCACACGCCACCACACCACAGCAGAACATAACATAGACCAGCACAATTCACCATGACAGATCGCCTGCTGGTGTCGTTGGTAAAGAGCTGCTTGGCTCTGGCCTTGCCCACCACCACTGGATCCACCAGCTCCAGGTGGCTGGGGTTGGGCAGCAGCGACACGTGCACCTGCGCTGGTGCAACGGAGGCAAATACGGAATGCATGAGCATCGAGAGGAAGGAGGAATCGCGGAACAAGTGCTTGTGCCAGCATGCCACAGGGCCGGCAACAGAACAGCAGGAAAGCGAGGAAATCGGAATTTACGGGGAGCAGAGAGAGGCTGAGAGGATACGAAGCAAGGGCAACAACCAGACGGGCATATGGACTTGCCATACAGACCAATATTTTAGGCATACAAGTCAGGAGGAGGTTGGGAGAGAGGAGGAGAAGGAACGAGGAGGTGAGAGCGTGAGTTCACCTGGTTGTTGGAGAGGCTTACCTGGTTGCCTTCAAACTCGAGTGTGGAACGAGTACCCTGTCATGTGGTATGTGATGCCAGAGAATACGACAAACAATACGCCAGGTCACATAGTGCCGTGTCATAACATGCCACGGCACAAATTGCAATTGTCACACAATGCCATATCACAACATGCCACGTCGTCAAGCATGCACCTGTCAGGCGGAGATAGCAGAAACAATGCTGCCAGCTCATGCGAATGCACGGGCGCGAGCTCCAAATACCCACCCCTTAAAAAAAGGCGTGTGATGAAGAAATTGACATGATGAGCATGCTACATCAGAAACTTACCGTGAAGTACTTAACATTGCCATGTGCAGCAAGTTTGAGAGACTTCAGGTGCTCAGGTGAAACCTCAGGTGCATTGACCTCTCTGACACAGCATGTGGAAAGCACCTGGTGGTGGCACATACATACCAGGTGGTACTTGACGTCGCCCACTTGCAGCAGCTCAGAGAGTTCAGGTGAAACTTCAGGTGGCTTGAACTCAGACAGGATGGAGCTCAGGGGCTTTCCCAGCACGGCATGCAGCACACTCAGGCGACCCCTTTCAGAAGGTGGGGGGGGGGGGGGGGGGGGGTGGCAGGAGGAATGGGGGTTGGTGAAGGGCAGATGGGGACGACAGAAGAGAGGAAGGGAGCAAGGTGGTGAAGGCCGAAGGATACCACGGGCTGGGGACCGCCAGAATAGACTAAGGAACAACAATGTGTTTCATGCATCTCACGCGGTTTTTCATGCAGCGGGAACAGAGTCTCTAACAGCAACAAAACCCAACTTGAATCAGCTAAGCCGCTGGTGGTCATGCTACAAACTATGCTTCGCTTCGCACAAGGCCCGTTACGGTGCCCCATGCGGACTCAAAACACCAGACAGCCACACAAAACCTGTGTAGCCTGATATGATACCCTCCCCCTTGTTTGCCACACATGCCCCATTCCACAAGCGTCATTCCACACTCAGCCGCCCAAACACCAGAGCCTCACTGCCCCGCTCTCCACGCCCCAACACACATGATGTGTGCACCCCTGCCTATTTTTGCGGCGCATAAAAAAGCATGCATGATGTGTGCACACCTGTCAGTCACTCTTCCCCCCCACCCCCCTACACACACACCTGTGCGGCATGCCCAGTCCAACAGACATCATTCCACTCCCTGCAGCACCAACAGCCCCGGCACGAGTGCCGCCCCATGCTCCCCCATAACCACATTGTAACTATGTCCCCCTCTCCCCCCTCCCTCTTCTCCCCTGTGCGCCATGCCTGGTTCCACAAACTTCACTTTGCTCCCAGCAGCCCGTCTCAGCCCATGCCAGCAGCTCTGACACCCAACCCGAGCCTTGCTACCGCCCCAACATGTTGCTGCATGCACCCCGGCTTCCGCTCCCCCAACACACACCTGTGCGCCATGCCCAGCTCAACAAACTTCACTCCGCTCCCAGCAGCTCGACCAAGCAGCGCCAGCAGGCCTGGCACCAGCGCCTCCCCGCCCTCCATGCCAAACCGTTTTACTGAGGGGAACTTGCGTGCAAGAAAACGCTCAAAGGAGTCTGATTCGGGAGGGGATGGGGAGGGGGTGGGTGGGTGGGTGGGGGAAGGGGGGAGGAGGGGAAGATTGATGTGGCAGAGGCAGCATTGTGTGTGGCATTAGGGCCTCCCCCTTCTCCATGCTGAAGCGCTCTATTGAGGCGAAGTTGCGCGGACGAAAGCGCTCAAAGGGGTCTGACGGAGAGGGAGAGGGAGAGGGAGAGGGAGAGGGCGAGGGAGTGGGCGAGGGAGAGGGCGAGGGAGAGGGCGAGGGCGAGGGAGAGGGCGAGGGAGAGGGCGAGGGAGAGGGCGAGGGAGAGGGCGAGGGAGAGGGCGAGGGAGAGGGAGAGGGAGAGGGAGAGGGAGAGGGAGAGGGAGAGGGAGAGGGAGAGGGAGAGGGCGAGGGAGAGGGCGAGGGCGAGGGAGAGGGCGAGGGAGAGGGCGAGGGAGAGAGCGAGGGAGAGGGCGAGGGAGAGGGCGAGGGAGAGGGAGAAGGAGAGGAGAGGGAGAGGGAGAGGGAGAGGGAGAGGGAGAGGGAGAGGGGGAGGGAGAGGGAGAGGGAGAGGGAGAGGGAGAGGGCATGACAAACGAAATACTGACTGACGCAATTCCTGTGGGAGACTATGGGGGTGAGACCAGTCAAGGAAAGCTGTCACCACTGCTTCTGCTGGGTGCTCGCCAGATGGCCTTCAGACAGCTCAGCTCTCATGCACCTCACACCTCACCTGCATACAGCAGTCGGTGCAGCAGCTGTCTCTGCTGCCGGGGCGAGAAGAGCTGTCTCAAGGGAGGTCGCTCCATGGCAGCTTGCACCCACAGCTTCTGCTCCTTGCTCGCCAGATGCGCGCACTCCACTGTGCTCGTGCGGCAGTACGCGTTGCGCAGCAGCCCCACCACCTCCTCCACCGTCCAGAACAGCTGGGCTGCTCTCACAATGCGCAGCTGCTCGCCCAAGAAGTACCTGCCAACCATGATGGAGAAAGCCAGATGGGCTGACAAGGTAAGCAGCCCCACCACCTCCTCCACCGCCAGAACAGCTGGGCTGCCCGCACCATGCGCAGCTGCTCTCCCAGGAAATACCTGCCGGCCATGAGTGGGTTTTCAGGAAGAAAGTGTGTTTAAACGAGTCTTAGATACGCGCGCGCACTCCACTGTGCTTGTGCGGCAGTACGCGTTGCGCAGCAGCCCCACCACCTCTTCAACGGTCAAAAGAGTTGCGCTGCTCTCACAATGCACAGCTGCTCCCTCAAAAAATACCTGGTGCGAGTGCGTTTAGAGAGAGGAAGAGACGCGGATGGGGTAACAAGGCAAGCAGCCCCACCACCTCTTCCACCGTCCAGAACAGCTAAGCTGCTGCTCTCCCAAGAAGCACCTGGTGCGATCCAGTTGAAAGGGACAGACAGGGTGTAAATTAGTGTGTTTTGATGTGAACGAGTTTACTGTGCTCGTGCGGCAGTTTGCCTTGCATTGCGCAGGGGCCTCATACTGTACCTCACTCCTATGGCGTCTCAACAACCGTACCTCTTCTTCACGTCAATGCCTGCCAGACCTACTGCACCCAGGTCCAGCTCCGGGTAGTTCCGAAGCAGGCGGAACAGGTCCGGCGCGTTCTCAGGCTCGGGGAGATTCGAGGCACCACTGCTGCTGCCAGCACCGCTCCCCTTGCTGCCAGCAGCTGCAGTCTTTGATACCCAGCTCAGCCCAGCTCGCCCTCGAGCCTTGCCCTTGCTGCCTGGGTTCGCTACTGAAACATTGGCAGCAGCAGCAGCAGCAGGTGGTGGCTGGGCGTTGTCCTTGAGAGGGCCAAGGTGCCGACCTAAGGGGTCTGTCGTGGGACGGATATAGGGGAGAAAGCAGAGAGGTGGTGGGGTAATGGAGGAGGGCATTAGGAGAATGGCATTTGGTTGAGAAGGCTAGGCAGCAGAAGCAAAAGTGATGATAACAGTGGCAGTAGTGGCAACAGCAGGAGCAGCAGCAGCAGCAGCAGCAGCAATCATCTCATTCGTACCTAGCTGTGCCACATAGTGCCCTCGGTCTCTGAACGCTTTAACGAGTGACACTATAGCGAGGGTCTCGGCCACCTCCTTCAAGTCTGTGTCACTTGACACCCCACGCGCGCCGCCCGGTCGCCCAAAGGTGCTCGCGAACGGACTCGCAACGGCGCTACCAAACGGCTTCGCGAATGAGCTGGCGAAAGGATCGGCGAATGAGCTGGCATGAAGATCCGACGAAGCGCCAGCAATCGTGAATTCGGCCAAGCGGGGAATGATTTGGATGGTTCGCGTGCGCAACCCCCGGTCCATCAAGCCGGCCGTAGCAGCCTCTGTGCCTGCTGGCTGTCGCCACAAGCAGCTGTAGCGCGCGCGGAGAACACGACAAAGCGCGTGCTGGGCCCGTCGGCCAGCCCTGCCGTGCGACAGGTGCGACATGACAGCGTGCGACATGGCGCTGTGCGACACGACGCTATGCGAGATTAACGGTGCCGCGGCGTTATCGCGTGCGGCATCGGCCGGGCCTATACACAGCCACGACTAACTCCACATTTCTACGTACAATCTGCTGTCGGCGGCCTGGTCGTGCACATAATAAGCTGCGGTCAGGCAATGTTTGTAGACCTCCCTAACCAGCATTCTTCCAGTGCCAGCTCCAAATTTCGACCCCTCGGGAATGGTAGGCAGGAAGGAATTGTGGGCAGGGGGTGTTGTTAGGGAGGAAAAGAGCAGTTGGCTCCTGCGAATCACAAGGCCGAGGATGTGTCAGTGTCAGCCGGCTGACGTGGCAAGCTCGACAGGGGCGAGAAACTAGATATGGTAACCAGAGCTGCCACGAGGGGGAAAGGAGAAGAACGCGATTTGTTGCGAACTTATAGCCAGTCGTTCAGCATTTGCACTGGATAAATGTTACAAATTTGCCAAGACCGCTAACAGCATGCAAGATGTATAATTGGTGGCATCCTTCGGATGCCATGTCGGTCTAAATTGTGCAGCATTATAAATGCTTGCATTTTGCACAAATTTTAGCAAGCCTAAAAAGCAGACCATATGGCGATGGTTTGAATGGTAATAACTCTGCCCACATATTGCATCTTATTCTACGTTTTACACTGTTTTTTAAAAGCGAAAGTACACAACTTCAAGGTCCAAAGGGTTTTGAACCTTGAAGAGGGGTGGCGAAAATAGCGAGGGTGCACTCTCGCAAAAAACCCAAGCACGTCCCTCGCGAAGGCAAGGGCCCTGGCAACGGAATAAACGACCTCGCCAACGCTGGCGACGTCGAAGGCTGGCGATGCCCAGACCCCACCACGCCTGATATTCGTTCGCAAACATGGAAGTAGGCATAGTATGATGAGTGAGTTCGTATTCAAAACAAAATGAGGAACAAACACAACCAAGCATGCAGAGGAGCGAGGCGACAGAAACATGGGGATAGGGAAACATAGACATCGAGTGAATGGGCCCTCCAGCCCCAAAACCAACTCCACCCAGCACAACCTACGACACAAATAGAGTGAGCGAGTCTAGGCAGTAAAGCACTCGTCACACCACGAAAAAACGAAGTGCACCACACTAGCACAGCTACATAAGCGCCACTCACGCCACCCTAGCATCCCCCCCCTCTCCCTCTTGCTCACCTAATGACTATCCACGCCTCGTCGCGCACACCAAGCGGGGAGCTGCTCGTGATCCGCGCCTGAACATCCTACAGACCACATTGGATCGCTTCATGGTAAACAGAGCCCATCAGGATTCTACGCACGACACTGTTGATCAGTTTTAAATTCAAATATCGTGGCACTTGTGACTTGCTCCCGCCACAGAATGGAAAAGGCTCGGGATCACATGAGGAAAGGAGGCCCTCCACCCGAAGCACATGCAAACACTCCGAATCCGGCGGCAATGACTTCCGTCCCCACAGGACTCCTCGAAAAATTGCTCCAATGAATGTCAACCCTTCAAGAAGGACTCCAATCTCTCAAGATCAACGGCTCGAGCACCGCTCGCCGAACCACTGAAACGCAACCAAACTTTGCAGACAAGGATTACACCCGTGGCTTCTTCAACTTCGATACTTCCAGCACGCAACTACCTGCAAGCATACGATTAAGTGACGAAGCCTTGCAGACAGCACAATCGAAGTTATTCATTTCTTCTAAGATCATAACAAGCTCTATTTTCGACGGTCGCGATTTCTACACTTGGAGTTTCGAGTTCGAGCTACTATTACAGAGCGCTCAAATCTTATGCTATTTCGACGGATCTTATCCCAGATCAACAATTGATACCGAAGACGCGAAGCAACGATATTATAACGAATCGCTCATGGCGTACATCGTACTTTTGCGGAACATGTCCGCTTCTGAGCAACTCGGAATTCGATCGTTCAAAACTCGCGCCGCTCTGGCACGTGACTCCTGGCTGTACTTGACGAATCCCTACCAGTCGAATGACTTCGTGTCGTCGAGTCGACTGCTCGGCCAGCTGCTAGAAGTGAAGATGGCCTTAGGGGAAAATGGCAACACTTACATTAAACGCTGCCGAAGCATCCGCAACCAGATCGTCAAGCTTGGGAACACCATCACCGAAGACATGTTCGTGACGATCGTACTCGCTGGACTTAGCCCCGAATGGCGACTTAGGTGAGCGGCCTAGCTCTGCTCCAGTCCTGTACGCTAACAACAGGGCCATGATCCTCCTGTGTTACGAGACTCGATTTGAGGGCAGAGCGAAGCACATCCAGCTGCGGTACTTCCTCCTGCGCGAGCTATAGCAGCGCAGCCAGGCTCGCGTAGTACACTTGACCTCCGGTGCCAACACAACTGATATCTTTACGAAGGCGCTTGCGCCTAAAGATCATCAGCGACACTGTTTGCAGCTTGGTCTAGTTCCTGTATTCTCTCACTTGCTAGGACCTTGATTGTGTACTCCTCTATATATATACCTTCCAGACTGGCCTTGTGGCTTCCCTTCCAGTGGCTAGACTAGTAGTGCCGGCTTGGTGCGTTCTTGTCTTGTTTGTACTCTTCCTGACTGGTCTTCGGACCTCTGTCTCAGAGGTTGGACTAGTAGTGCCACCCTAAGCCGTGTGTTCCTCGTTTTGCCCTGCCCCTTATCTAGCCTAGGGGGTGTGTCAACTTATACATATATTTTATGTAGAAGTTATAGACTAGATAGGGTTATATTGTGAGGGTACAACCCCAACCCTATATCTCACTTGTTCTTGCTTGTTTCAGCTCATTCTAGTATTCTAACAACTAGAATCCTAGGTACTGCATCGGGATACCTACCGTATTGACGTCCATGAGAGTTTGGTCTGGTTTATATTATGAAATTGTAAGCTTCTGTTACAGCAAGTAACAGATTTCCACTATGCCAGGCAAATTTCAACGCGGAGCATATTACATTACAACCAGCAGCAGGAAAGGACACCGAACTGTTTCAACAAGCCATGGCAGTGGACCCCGGTAGTCAGCAGGCAGCAGCTAGAGGGGCATTTGGAGTAGCCTCGCTTCGTCCGTGTCGCCCCATTTCCAAGCAGTGTTCCTTTAAGCTTGACTCAAGCAGCTTCGCGTCCAGATTCAGTGAATCTCGCGTGTCCGTTTCTGTGCCGTTGCGCGTTCTCCCCTCGCCCAGCTCTGCTTCCACCGCTTCCTCCACCCCCTTTCCGACTGCGCCTGACTTGCGCCACTTCCGCAGAGCCACGCACGCAGCTACCGGCGCGCAATCAGCGCAAAAAGGAAGCCGCAGATCCAGGCAGCGTTCTGATGCAGAAGGACGGGATGGAGGGGACGAGCGGAGGGGAAGGGGAAAGGCGCAAGAGACTAGAGGATCCGCTGACGTGGGCTCTTCGGATAGGCTGTTAGTGGAGCAGCAGCAGCAGCGGTGGGCTGACGTGGCAGCTGACATGGACTTCCTGACCAGGACGGTTCGGCTGGTGCAGGTACAGCCGGAGGAAAAACCGCTGAGAAACCCGAATGACTAATTAAAGTTATTTTCTTTGCCCCGGAGCGCAAAAGATCTCTTCAGGAAAGGTCTCATGTGTTCTAGGTTCCAGATCTCATGTTCTAGGTCTCATCTTCAAGGTCTCATGCAGGTGGGTCTCTATCTGAAAGCTGATATTAGTATCTGGAATCCGAGCCTCCAAGTTTGCCTGCATTCGGCACTGCATGAGCAGTCAGATTTCCGCATTGACTGAAAGCACCCTCCCCCATTACGTCCTCGGTTAGCTGTTAACCCTGCATTGCGCGGGATTGGCCAAACCCCTAATGACGCAGCCCCCTGATGCCATAACCCCTGACGACCCAAACCCTATACCCTGTACCCGTTGTCCTAAACTCGAAGTTCAGCTACCTGTATTAGGCAGATATTTTAAATTTCGCGTTACTGTGTGTGAACCCTCAGGCATGTCCCTGGACGGCGAATCGAGTCACGGAAGAAACCCTGCACGCCTACTGTTTCCCTTGGCGCTCCTTGCTCCTCCCCCCTCCCCCCCCTCCCCCCCTCCCCCCCCCCACCCCCACCACCACCTTTCTTCTCCTCCTGCGTTGCCGCATCCTTTTACTTGGTTTATCCATCTCTTTCCTCCGTCCCCTAAACCTGATTCCTCCCCCTAAACCCCTTTCTATCCTCACGCTGTTGCTCTGCCGTGCGTGCTTCTTTTCTCTTCACCTGCCACCCGCCCCTCAAGTCCCCTTCCCAGTGCTAGTGGTTGGTACCCAGGACATATAGCCAAGGCGGAACGAGACTGATAGGAGCAGCTGAGATGGATGCATGCGGTGATACAAGGCATTGCATGATTCTTGAGTTTGCTCCCCTTTGTGTCATTACAGCGATGTTTGCTCCCCTTAACTTGTTCCCTCCTCCCCTCCATTTCCCCCCGACCCTATCTTCGTCCCATGTGGCTTGTCCCTTCCTTGCCTTCCTCTGGTCCTCCCCCCCATCTCCCCGTACATTGTTTCCCCCCACATCCCCTGCCCGCAGTGGTACCCAGGGCACATAGCCAAGGCGGAGAGGGACCTAAAAGAGCAACTGAGATGGGTGGACGTGGTGATCGAAGTGAGGGACGCGAGAATACCCCTGGCCACCACACACCCTCAGGTGAGTCTTCGTGGTTACACATTACAACACACCATCGGGTGAGTAGTTATTCTTACATGTTACACATTACAACCAAACCGACCATCAGGCGAATGTCCACAGTTACCGTACACCTCAGGTATTTAAAGCCCGCGTTTCATAATTCTGGTTTAGGATCAAAGGTAATACGCTTGGCACTCTGTAACTCGAGTTTCCCAGCAAGCGAGGTCCAAAAGTGCTTGCGAGAGGGGAGTGGAGAGGGTGACCTGTCAAACCAGCGAATAGAACCTGATGGCACGAACCTTAGGGTTGTAAAACCATGCGATTTCTTTGAAACGAGGGGTGGTGATTGTTCTGAAATTTTCGGTAGGGTTCCTCGCGAATATTTCTTCGAGCAGAATACGAAACCGAAACTGCAACCTGAAACCCACCCCAATCTGAGACTACACGCCCCCAGAAAGTCAAGCGCCGAAACCAAACGTGTTACGGCCAGCCAGAAATACGAGACTCAGCGCTTTCCCAAGTGCTGGCTTCTTTGATTGGCCCCCAAAATTGCTTTGTTCCTCGCTACCCTCGTCAAACCCACCCCTGCTTTTCGAACCTCGCCCACCAATCAAGCTCGCCGTTTTCCAACCAAGCGTAATACTTAAGGAAATGCGAGACGCGGGCTTTAAATTTCTTCACACATTATCTGGTAAATACCCACGCACTCCTAGTCTTTTCCATTCCCCTGTTTAGACCATTCAACTTATTCCTTCTCCCCCATCCCACCCATTCCCCCCGCACCCCCCATCCCCCCATTGCCCTGTTTCCTCCATTCATTAACGTGCCTACAGGTAGACTAGTGTGCTGTCACCACCACCACCCAGGTATGCTAGTGCGTTACCCCTTTGTGCCCATTCTTTCTACCCATTCATTCCGCCAACCTTCCATGCCTGCTTGCAGCTGGACGAGTGGATTGGCGACAAGCCGAAAGTACTGGTGCTGAACCGAGAGGACATGGTGACGGCAGCAGATCGGCGCGCATGGGCGGAGTACTACGGGGATCGGGAGGATGGCGGTGCGTTCTGCTTCACCGACGGGCAGCATGGGGCGGTATGTGAGACATGGCATTGAGTGGCATCGCCTGGCATGGCATGGCATGGAGTGGCATGGAGTGGCATGGAGTGGCATGGCATGACATGGAGTGGCATGGAGTGGCATGGCACATGGGTAGGGCAAGGGCGGAGTATTACAGGGAGCAAGTGGATGGCGGTGCCTTCTGCTTCACCCATGGGAAGCGTGGGGCGGTGTCTGGCATGGGGCGGTGTGTTGCGTGGGGCGGTGTGTGGCGTAGGGCGGTGTGTGGCGTGGCACAAAATGGCATCCTAGTCATCAGGCTGAGCCTGCCAGCTGGCAGACATGCGCTTCCCTTTTTTTTTTTTTTTTTTTTTTTTTTTTTTTTTTCTCTTTCTCAAGCGGTCCGTGTATTTCTGGAACCTGGGTACAACTAGGCATCGGTTGGCAAGCAAGGTGAGTACAAACACCTACATACGCGGGTTGCCTACGACCACTCCAGCATCGGCTCCAGGACCGCGAAGCAGTCAGCCGGGGAGAGAGACTCGTCAGGCGGGCCGATGGGTGGGTGCTCCGCCTGGGCCGCCTCGTTCACCTTCTTGAGGTAGGACGCGGCCTGACCCCACTGGAGGGTGCAGGACCAGCGCTGGCGGAACTGGTGTAGGAGCTTAGCCGCCTGGTAGGCCGACGTTTCCACGGCTAAGGGGAAGAAACCGACGTAGGCCGATGGGAAGAGGGGGATGGCCTGCAACCAATCCCCCGCGCCGTAGCCGGAGAGGGACAGCATGCGCTGGGTATGGCCCATGTAGGGGTTGGGGTCCATCTCCCGGGTTGCCGCCACCTGGTCGGCGTACCGCTGGCCTTGCACTTCCAACGCCAGCCGGTGCTGTAGTGGCTTGTCCTCTAGTTCAAGGCGCTCGTTCTGGAGCAGCAGGCGTGCAGGAGGCGGGAAGGCAGCTTCCACCTCGGCCAGCCATGTATGGTAGGGTGCGGGGCTGGTGAATGGCGGGGCGAGAAGGGCGGCAGCTATCGCGAGAAGGGTGGCAGGCGCGGGCTGGAGGGCCGTCAGTAGGGCATGGGTGCGATGGGCGCTGGTCAGGAAGGAGTAGCCCCCTTCCACTAGCGGGTCCGTGATGCCGAGCCCTCCTAAGGAAGGGGGCAGGGAAGCCTGTGCCCAGCTGCATGCTAGTTCCCTTTCCCCGCGTGGCAGGCGTAGTCCGCAGGCCTTGAGGAGGGCGTGGAACATGCCCTGCCCCCACGCCGACCACTCCTCCGCTGGGAGTAGCTGCAAAGGTGTTGTGCGGAGGAGGTACGACACCCGCCTGCTGATGCAGCGGGATAGCAGGAGGGCGCTGATCTGGGGGTCCATAGCGGACAGTAGTGCCAGCAGGGATATGAGGGAGGTGATGTGGGACCGGAGGAACGCCTCAGAGCTGCTTGTCGGTCCGACGTGACTGCCAAGGACCCCCAGCCCACCGGCGCTGAAGGGGATGTTTGGTGGGAGCTCCTGGGCTGGGGGGCGGGTGCAGGCCCACGTGGCGCACTTGGCCGGATTGTGAGTCAGGCCCAGCGCGCGTAGCCCCTCGGTGAAGTGCTGGAAGGCTGCTGAGCATGCTGTTGGTTCACCCGCGAGGGTAACGCCGTCCGCATATGCTAGGCATAATACGTGCGGGAAGGCAGTGGCTGTCGCTTGGAGGGCAGGGTGCATTCCTGCGGCGAAGAGCAAGGGGCCGAGCGGGTCTCCTTGACGAACGCCCCGCTCACTCAGCAGTGGCGGGCTGTGGAACGCGGCGTCCAGATAGAGCGCGGACGGCCGGCTGTAGGAGAGTTTGGTTAAGGGCAGCAGCGGTCGAAGCGGTGATGTCGATAGCCCATCGACAATGGCCTGGCGTTCGATGCTGTTGAAAGCATTGGCAACGTCGACTTGTACGATGAGCGACTCCGGCCTGGCAGAGGAGAAGCTGCGCGTCGAATGGACGACGGTCTCCCCACCGCTCGGGACCGTTACCCCATATTGTAGGGGCAGGAAGTGCCCCCGCGCGGCCTCGGCGATGGCGGCGAGACTGCATTTGGCGATGACGCGATGCAGACACTCGCCCACAGCTATAGGGCGTGTGCCGCCGTCTGGCTTTGTCAGGGCCAGGAGCCGCGAGGGAGTGAGGAGATCCGCTACCTCCTCTGGTAAGTCCCCACGCATGGCACTTGTGACTAAGGTGAAGATGTGATCAGCGACCGCTGCGTCTGCGAAAGCAGCGTCACGTAAATGTTCGAAAGTCATTCCGGATGGGCCCGCTCCTACACCATTTTCGCACTGAGACAACAGCTTGGCGAAAGTTGGTTTGGCGAGGGATATCGGAGTCTCGGATTGGTCCAGCGCTGGCCAGGTAACCTCGTTCACGGGCGAGGGGGGGTGTTTGGATTTCAACGCTTCGAGCACGGCTGCTGACGGGGCACTGACTGGCGTTGACTCCCGTGCCAGGACAGCCCTCCTGAGGCTGCCCCGTTTGGCCAGTCCTTCGGCGCGAGCAATTTTGCCGAGGTCGTCGGCGACGTGGCGTGGCGGCGGGGGTAGGTTGACCGAGTCAACCGCTGACTGGTACAGCTGTTCCCAATCGCATTTGAGGAATTGCTGTAACCACTTAGCGATCGCCTTCCAGTCCTGTTTCCTTGGCGAACCCAAACGAAGTGTTAAACGTGGGGCGAAGAGTAACAGGCGCCACCCCGGCACGGATTTGGGGATTTTCGTCAGGTGCAGGAGCGGGATGAGCAGGGTGATCGCAAAGAGTGGGCGAAGGTTTGGCGGTACTCGGCGGCAAATGGGGGGCTGTCGGCTGTCATACAGGGGCAGCAAGTCCCAGTTGGCGATGCTGGCGAAGCGGGATTTGTCAGCTGCGAGCTGTTCGGGGGACAGCTCAGGCTCTGCCCCACTCACACTTGCCAGCGATGCCCGAGGATACGTCCTCGCGGCAAATTCCCGCTCTGGGGAGCTGGTGCTGCAGACCCGACTCAAGAGCGTCGGCGAGGTGGCTGCTGCACGTCTGCCTCAACGCTGTCGTCCTCCGTGCTGGATGCTGCTTGCTGGTCAGGTATGTAAGTCCTGTCCCTCGCTTCTTCAGCATCAGTTGTGCTATCTTCCCTTCTTAAAGCCCTTATTGCTGCTTGTTGGAATCCGTTCCTAGGGCCTCCATCGCTAACCGTGCGCCCGACCCGACCCCGTCCGCGTCCTCGTCCTTGTCCTCGTCCGCGTGCCCCGCTGCCAAGATCCACGCCAGCGGCCCGCGCGCCAAGGAACTCCCCAACGCCCGCATCTGGCAGCCGGAGTGCAGCAGCCGCCTCCGCGTCAGCAGAGCGGCCGCGATCGCGGCGCGCAGCAGCGGCGGGGCTGGCGCGGCGGGAACTCTGGCCGTGCTCCAAACGGTCGCGAGCTGGCGCTCGTGCGAACCCTCGCTCAGAATACCGCCGTGCTGGAGGGTATTTGGGCGCAGGTCCGCGCTGGCTCACAGACGCCCCCGCCTCCTCCTCTGGCGCCGAGCCTCGGGCTGGCCGCTGCGCCAGCGTCGCAGGCGCCACCTCCGCAGTTGCACCCGCTCCCAGCGTCGCAGGCCCAGGTCCCTCCGCAGCAGCCGCCTCCGCCTCCCTTCCCCCTGCCGCAGCCATCGCGGACACTCCCGCGCGATCGCGCCGCCCCACCATCCCTGCTGATGTTACCGTCATGGCAGCCGCCTCCTCTCCCACAGGCTCCCTCCCCGTGGCCCGAGCAGGCTCCGCTGCCTGCTCCCCCTCCGCTGTTTTCTGGAGGGGGGGTGTATGGTCCCTTCGTTCCCCCGCGTCGCCAGCTGCCATCGCCAACTGGAGTAGAGGCGGGGGCAGCGTCAGCGGAGACGGGGGGAGCGGAGTCGTCGGGGGAAGGGTTCCCGCCAAGCCACAGCGGTCCCGACCGTCTCTCTCTCTCTCTCTCTCTCTCTCTCTCTCTCTCTCGCTCTCTCTCTCTCTCTCTCTCTCTCGCTCTCCCTCTCTCTCTCTCTCTCTCTCTCTCTCTCTCTCTCTCTCTCTCTCTCTCTCTCTCTCTCTCTCTCTCTCTCTCTCAAGCGGTCCGTTTATTGCTTGGAAAACTGGGTACAGGCTAGGCAAGGCAGGCAAGGGGCAGCAAGGCAAGGTACGTGCATGTTTGGGGGCTCGAAACTACACGAGCTCCCCTAGGGGCTCTGCTATGGCAAAGCAGTCCCCGGGTGCCATGTCGGCGTCAGGGGTACCCACTGGGGTGTGGGGGGCAGGGGAGGCTTCATTAACTTTCCCCAGGTAAGCCAGGGCCTGTGCCCGCTGCAGCGTCACTGACCAGCGTTGGCGAAACTGGTGGAGCAATTTTGCGGCCTGGTAGGAGCTGGGGTCCGCATTGAAAAGTCTCCTGGCCCCTGTGTCAGCCAGCAGCTTCAAGAAGGTAGGGACCTCGGCGCATGGGCAGCCGTATGTCTCGACTGCAAGTGGGAAAAATCCGACATACGGAGCCCGATTCCGGTAATGGGAGATTTTCTTGTCAGCTTGCTCCCGGGCCATGTATCCGCGTCCTTTTCTTGCATCCGGGTCCCGGCTGCTGATGGGATCTGTGACAGTGACGTCACAGATCCAGACGGCTCCGGAACTGCGGTCTCGGAGGGCGAGGTCGGCCTTGTGGCCGTCTACGGGGCTGTAGATGGTGGTCTCCTTGGTGACTATAAAGTCAGCGTCCCGGGCCATCCGTATGCTCTCGTCCCGCAGGGCATTATGGGTGTCGGTCCGACCGTGCCCGGTGCCACACCGGAGCAGGTGGTTGGGCAGCCTAGTGTCGAGGATTTCAAATTCCTCGGCGCAGTTGCAAGTGCGGGGGGCTGGGAATGGAAGGCCGAGGCGGAAGGCCAGGGCAATGGCGAAGTGTGGAGCTTCGAGGCGGAGGGATGGGAAGATGGGGATGGCATGAAGCCAGTCCCCTGCTCCATATCCAGCCAGGGAAAAGAGGCGTTGGGTGTGCCCAGAGAGTGGGTTTGGGTCCATTGTCCGCGTGGCTGCCACCTGGCCGGCGTATCGCACGGCCTGGACTTCGAGGGATAAGCGGTGTTGGAGTGGGGAGCCGGAGGGTTCCCTCCTCTCGGAGTGCAGGAGCTCCCGGGCTCGTGGGGGCATCGCCGTTTCACACTTCGCCAGCCAGGTATGCAAGTGGGTGGGGCTGGTGAAAGGTGGCGTGAGGTGCCGGACAGCGTCAGCCAGGGGCCCTCCTGACGCTGCTGGGAGGGCAGCCAAGAGGCCCTGGGCTTGGGTGAGGCTGGTGAGGTAGGCTGGGTGTCCCTCAATTGCGGGGTCGGTTAGACCCAGTCCTCCAAGGGAGGGAGGGAGGGACGCTTGAGCCCAAGTGCGCGCCTGCTCCACCTCCCCTCGAGGCGGTTGGAGGTTGCAGGCACGCAGGAGGGTATGGAAGAGCTCCCTACCCCAGTCGGACCAGACGTCCAAGGGTAGGAAGTCAAGGGGGGTGGTGCGGGTTAAGTATGAGACACGCCGGGACACGCAGCGTGTGAGGAGGAGGGATGAGGACTGAGGGTCCATTGTGGCCAGTGTGGCGAGGGGTTCGGCTAGCAGGGCTAGCTGGGTGCGGAGGAATGCGGCTGTGCCCTCGGTTGTGCCTATAAAGCTGCCAAGCACGCGGACGCCTTCAGTGTTGAAAGGTATGTCTGGGGGAAGGCGGTCGGGTGCAGGGCGCTCGGCTGACCATGCTGCGCATTTCGCGGGGTTGTGGGAGAGACCGATGCGGTCCATGGCGGCTGTGAAGGTGAGGAATGCCGAGGTGCAGGCGTCCGGGTTGCCGACGAAAGTGACGTCGTCAGCGTATGCGAGGCAAAGGACCTCGGGGTGGGCCGCGGCGGTTGCCTGGAGGGCTGGGTGGATGGCTGCTGCGAAGAGGAGGGGGCCCATGGGATCCCCTTGGCGGACTCCCCGTGCGCTGAGTAGGGGCGGGCTATCAAACTCAGCGTCGAGATAGAGCAGAGACGGCGCGCCATACGAGAATTGGATAAATGGAAGGAGCGGGCGGAGGGGCGAGGTGTTGATTGCGTGGATGATTGCCCCACGGTCAACGCTATTAAAGGCGTTCGAGAGGTCGACTTGTAGGATGAGTGAGCCCGGGCGCGCAGAGGTGAAACCCCTGGTGGCGTGGATGATTGTTTCCCCGCCGCTCCTGATGGCTACTCCGTATTGGTGTGGTAGGAAGTAGTCTTGCGCGGATTGCGTGGAGGAGATTAGCGCGGCTTTTGCCGCCAGTCGATGGAGACACTCCCCTATTGCGATGGGGCGGGTACCCCCATCTGGCTTGGTAAGGGCCAGGAGGCGTGAGGAGGTAACGAGCTGGCTGACCTCGTGCGGCAGGTTACCCGCCAGTAACCGCTGGACGAGCTTGTGGAGGTTTGTGGCGACGGCGGGGTTGGACAGCGAGGCGTCGCGAAGGTGCTCGAAGGTCATCCCCGAGGGGCCTGCCCCAACTCCATTTTCGGAGCGGGCGAGGAGCTTCGCGAACGTAGCGAAATCGACTGTCGGCGGCCTGCAGTTTTCGTCAAGCCGTGGCCAGGTGAGGCTTTCGACGAGCGGAGGGGGGTGTTTTGACTTCAGCGCGTCCAGGACCGTGGGGGTGGACTTGCTGACTGGGGTCGAAGTCAACGCGAGCAGTGCCCGTCGCAAACTGCCTCGTCGTACCAAGCCCTCGGCGCGGGATATTTTCCCGAGAGTGTCAGGTACGTGGCGGGGAGGGGGTGGCAGGGTGACAGCCGAGGCAGCAGCTTGGTACAGTGTGTCCCACTGGCCCGCGAGAAATTGTCGAAGTCGTCGTTCCGTCGCGGGCCAGTCAGGGCGTCGAGGCGAGGGTAGGCGAAGTGTGAGGCGCGGGAGGTAAAGTAACAGGGTCCAACCCTCGATGGAGGTTGGATGTTTGGCGAGGAAAAGGAGGGGTGTCAGGAGGGTGAGCGCGAAAAGTTGACGGATTTGGGGGGGTAACCGGCGGGAGAGAGGGGGTTGGCGACTGTCGCAGAGAACTGCGACGTCCCACGTGGCGATGACGGCGAATCTGGAGGGGTCATTCGCCAGTTCTTCTGGGGACAACTGCTGGGCTGCCTGGGGGTGGGTGTCCAGCGGTGCCCGAGTATTGTGCAAACGGCTGGACCCTCGTCCCCTAGATCTTGGAGATGGGTCAGTCTCTCGTCCTCCAGCGCGCCTGTTTGCTTCGACGTGTTCCTCCTCACTGGAGGTCTCAGTCGTGGGGTCTCCCTGGTTCCCTGGTATATAAGTTCCGTCCGCCCGTTCCTCCTCATCAGTCGTTCGTTGCAGTTCCGAGGCACTTAAAGCCCTGTTCGCCGCCTGCTGGAATCCGTTCAGCGGTCCTCCGTCGGAGGACAGATTGCCACGCCTTGCCGCCCCGCGACCGCGCCCTCCGGCCGTCCGTGTGTGGGGTCTTCCGCGTCCGCCTCCGTGGTTTCCTCTCGGGGCGGCCCTGGTCGTCGTTCGGCTTTCGTGCCGAGTCGTGGGGGGAGCCGAGTGCGGTGCGCCTCCTCGGGATGGAGCGACCAGCGCGGGAGCGTTCTGCCGATTTGGAGAGTACTGGGGACAGCGAGTCCCCCCAAGGTCGGGCGAGTCCTCCGGCGTCGTCGAACCGGGATTGGGAGCGCGGGCTCCTCGTCCCCTCGGCGGCCCGCCAACAGACTCCTGAGCGGATGCGGGGGCAGTCGCGGGGCAGGACCGCCGCGCCCCCGAGACACGAGGAGAAATCCCCTGAGCGCGCCGTGGAAATTGGACGTGAACCGGTGGCGCGTGGCGAGGTGCAGCAGTCACCGCGCCAGCAGCATCCCTCTCGCCGAGGAACGCCTCAGCGCCGCCCACAGGCGGGGCCAGGGCAGCAGCGCCGGACTCCGCAGGCGCCGCGGGGGCGTTCGGGCCAGCGCGCCGGCTGGAGGGCTGGCGGGGGGAGTAACCGTGGGTCCGCAGCGGAGAGGCGCCTAGGGCGGGCCGCGGCGACTCTCGAGGGCTTGTTCCGCAGTGTCGCCCAACCCCAGCAGGCTCTGGCGTATTCTCCGCAGCTTCTGGCGCCCCAGCAGTACCAGCAGGCGCACTTGCCTCCCGTGCGTTTACTCCTTCCTCAGGCACCGGCGCCGGCATTCCCTCCCCGCAGTGTGACATCTCTCCCGCTCCTTGACAGCCAGCACCTCTTGGCGTCCCTTCCCTCTGCACCTCCTCCGCCAGTCCTCCCCTCGGCCGGTCCCTTCGATCCACGTCGGTTGGACGTGCGGTCCGCGGAGATACTGCCGCCCTGGCAGCCGACGCCCCCGGATGTGTCGGTGGTGGGAAAGTCCCGTGGCCCACCGCCGTTGGTGGCACCAGCATCGTTCGGCGAGCGGGCGACAGCCCCCTTTGTCCCCCCCCGCCGTTCGCTGGCGTCACCGACTGGAGTTGAGGGGGGGGCAGAAGCAGCGGAGATGGGGGGAGCGGAGTCCACGGGCGAGGACTCGCCTCCTGGGGACCAGGGGCGTCGTCGCTCGGGTGGGCTGCGGATGCCGCAGAGGGCGCAGCTGGAGCGCCTGCGGGGGAGGGAGCGGCTGGCGGAGACTGCGATCCCAATCGCCACGCTTCGTCGGCTCTGGCACGCGCAGAGGGCGATGGGGTATGCTGTGGAGATGCTGACGGACTCACACTCCGTTCTACGGAGCTCAGTGAGCCCGTGCAAGATGCCTCACGATCCGCTCCACCGCTGCGCGATGGCTGCAGCTGATCTGGCTGTCGTGTCCACGCGAGTGCAGCCTGTGCCCGCCTCGGGAACCGTGTTGGACCCGCGCCTGCTCGCCGTGATGCGGACAGTATCGGCGAGCGTAGACTCGGCTGCAGCTGTAGACATCGTTGGCGGTGCCGTGTCAGCGCTGATGCTCCTGGGGGACTATGTGAGGGCCCTGCTTGAGGAGGCTGGAGCGGACGAAGCCGTATGATGGGCTGCCGTCGTGTGTAGGTTCTGGTTGGTGAAGTGCGCTCTAGCGTGAGCGCTCTGGTAAGCTCTGTGAGGCTCTCCATGCTTGTTTGCCGAGTGTAGTGTTGGAGGGTTGTAGACCCCGGATGCGTGTATTTGATGTTGTCGTAGTTGACTTTGTAGCCTTGTGTCCTTGCCGCCCCTCACGCTGCGAGCGTCGGCGGCCGAAGGCCGCCGACGCGAGCCGCCACCAAGGGTTGGAGAAAAGAAAGAACTGGAAACTAAACAGGAAGAATGAGGGAGGGAGAGAGCTTATATAGCTGGAGAGGGACTCATGCTCTCTCTCTCTCTCTCTCAAAAGTACTCTTTTGAGCCTAACATGTTTCCGGAACAACTGGCTTCCTTTGTTCCTCCGTCTTTTCCCTTGTGCTAAGAGGTCTTGTCCCCCCCATCCCTCTCTACCTTCCCCCCAACCCCACCATCATAAGCCATCCTCTTCTCTCCCCCCTCCTCCCCCTACCATGGCATCATGGAACCCACTCGCCTCTTCTTCCCCCCTCAATACCTCCCCCTCCTCCCTCCCCCCCCTCTCCCCACCCCCACAGGTCTTCTGCCAGGGTATCTTGAAGCTCACTCGCCTCTTCTCCCCCCCACATTACCTTCTTCCCCTTCCCCCCCCCTCCTCCCTGCTCCCTTTTCCCCCCCACCCACCATGGCATCAGGGCATCTTGAAGTTCACTCGCCTCTTCTCCCCCCGACATTACCTTCCTCCCCTCCTCCCCGCTCCCGTTTCCCCCCCACCCCATCATGGTATCAGGGCATCTTGAAGCTCACTCGCCAGGCCATGAGCGTCAGCAAGGCCATCAACACACGCAGAAGAGACAAAGGACTCCGCCCGCGCTCGGTAAGGCTCCCTTTGATTCCAGCACGTTTGGTAGAGCAGTCTTTAGGCCTTCTGGACACCCTTCTGATTTCCCCCAAACCTTTCCACCTCTTCCTCACATTCTCCCATCCCCGCCCCCCTTGTTCCATCCATTCCCCTCATATTGTTTAACGTGGGAAAGCGGCCCATTATCAACCCTGTCTCCCCGCTCCCTTTCCACTTCCTTCCCCCACTCCCTTCTCCCACTCCCTTCCCCCACTCCCTTCTCCCACTCCCTTCCCGCACCCTCTTTCCCCACTCCCTTCCCCCACTCCCTTGCCCCACGCCCCTCGCCCCCCTCCCTATCACCTGGTGAGGGCTGGGTCTTCCTATCCAGCCAAGCTCTCATTCTGTTCGCCTCATCAGCTTGGGCAAATGAGCCATAGCGTGCCGTGCCTATTGATCAACTGCTCCTGTTCCCTATCCCTACCTATTCCACTGTCTTCCCACACTCCCGCTTACAGGTGCGTGCAGCCATGGTGGGCTTCCCTAACGTGGGCAAGTCAGCCGTCGTCAACTGACTGCTCAACCGCCCCATTCCCTCTTTCCTCCCCCTTCCCCTCCCTCGCCTCGTGTGCCCACCTGCTCCTTTTGACAGGTGCGCGCAGCAGTGGTGGGCTTCCCCAACGTGGGTAAGTCAGCTGGCTGTCTTTAACCGACGGCTTACCCACTGCATCCCCCCTTCCCCTCTCTCTGCGTGTATTCCCCCGTTTCCCAACTTCAGGTGCGCGCAGCCGTGGTGGGCTTCCCCAACGTGGGCAAGTCGGCTGTCATCAACCGGCTGCTCAACCGCCGAGTGGTCGCCAGCGCTCCAAGGCCCGGGGTCACCAGGGAGGTCAAGTGAGTCCGCGGTTGAGGTATTGAAACGTCCCAACAGGTCAAGTGCGGGTGGGAGGTCAAGTGAGTGCGGGTGGTGCGGTGGGCGGTCAAGTGAGTGCGGGTGGGAGGTCAAGTGAGTGCGGGTGAGAGGTAAAGTGAGTGCGGGTGGGAGGTAAAGTGAGTGTGGGTGGGAGGTCAAGTGAGTGCAGGTGGGCGGTCAAGTGAGTGCGGGTGGGAGGTCAAGTGAGTGCGGCTGGGAGGTCCAGTGAGTGTGGGTGGGAGGTCAAGTGAGTGCGGCTGGGAGGTCAAGTGATTGCGGCTGGGAGGTCAAGTGATTGCGGCTGGGAGGTCAAGTGATTGCGGCTGAGTGCCGCTCGGAGGTCAAGTGAGTGCGACTGAGTGCGGCTGGGACGTCAAGTGAGTGCGACTGTGTGCGGATGGGAGGTCAAGTGAGTGAGGCTGGGAGTGGTGTGTGTGTGTGGCGACTGTTGTTTATGTCTCCGCCACTTACATTCCCCTCGTGTCACTTATCTTCTTTCTCACTACCAGGTGGGTGTGTCTGGTCTGGGGGAAGGCTTGGACCTTCTGGATGCGCCAGGGGTGCTGCCAGCGCGGATAGCGGATCAAGCAGTAGCAGCAGCGCGGCTGGCCATGTGCAGTCACACATTGCCCCATTCACCCGCTCCCTCTTGCCCCATTCACCCGCTCCCTCTCGCCCCATTGTTCCCCTTCAATAGATGGGTGCGGCTGGGAGAGGGCTTGGACTTGCTGGATGCGCCGGGGGTGCTGCCAGCGCGGATAGCGGATCAAGCAGCGGCAGCTCGGCTGGCCATGTGCAATGACATTGGCGAAGCGGCTTATGCCGTGGCTGGTGTGGCGGCGATCCTGGTGGAGCTGCTGAAGAGACTGCCCACTGCTGGTAAGAGCCTTTTCTGTGGGCTTTAAGGCTTGCTATGTGTAAGTGGCGTACGCTGTGGCTGGTGTGGCGGCGATCCTGGTGGAGCTGCTGAAACGACTGCCCACGGCTGGTAAGTTCCTATTCCATGGGCTTTAAGGTGAGTGTCTTCCCACTGGGTTAGTGCCTGCCCACAAGGTGTGTGCCTGCCCGCTGGGTGAGTGCCTGGTGGCGGTGACAACACTGATCACTGCCGGTAAGTGCGTTTGGGAATACAACTATTTCACAACACCTCATCACCTCGCCGCACCTCATCCCTCACTCAGATCCACATCTCACCCCATCTCTACTTATTTAGTCCCTCCTCTCGTTGTGCTTGCTTGGCTTGTCTGCAGGTCCGCATGTGCTGTCAAACCGGTACAAGATCAAAGCGGACGAGCTAAGCGGCGAAGAGTAAGCAGACCAAGTTTTATACAGCTTGCACAACAATTATGAGCGCACTCATTTCTGTAACTGAAAGGTACACCCACCACAGGGCAGTGGTAGCACACACACTGAATAGACACAGCTGGAGCACCCACCTTTCTAGCCATGCCCACTGCACTGCACTCATGAAGTTTCCAAGTCTGCATGTCGCCTCCTCCACTCCTGTCTCCCCTTCCCCACCCTTCTTCCCACGACAGAACCTTGGAGGCACGGGCAGACCCGCTGTGCATGAGGAGTCTATTTTTAGGCGGCTCAAAAATAAGCATGGACAATGTGAACCACGCAGCCCACAGGGTGCTCAAGGCCGTTTAAGCTGTTGAAACTGCACTTTCCCCCTCCCTCCTTCCCTCCCCTCACCCCTGTTTCCTTGAGGCACAGGCAGATCGGCTGTGCATGGGACCCTTAATGGGCGATGTGAATCAAGCAGCCGACTGGGTGCCTGAAGGTCCTCACATCTCTCCCTCTGTCCCCTTCCTCTGACCAGACACCAATCCTACCGCAGGTTTCCTAAGGCACTGTCGACCATCCAAGAGGGCGCCGAGGGCCCTTTTAGCTGTTGAAACTGCTCTCTCCCCCTCCCTCCTCCCCTCTCCTCGCCTCAGGTTCCTTGAGGCATGGGCAGACCGGCTGTGCATGGGAGGCGTGAACAAGCCGTCCCACAGGGTGCTCTGAGCGTTTTCAAACCCCTCCCCCCCTGTCCTCTTCCCCCGCCCCCCTCCATCTCAGGTTCCTGGAGGCACTGGCTGACCGACTGTGCATGGGAGATGTGAACCAGGCAGCCCACAGGGTGCTCAAGGATTTCAGGCGAGGGGCCTTTGGCTGGATCGCCCTCGAGAGGCCTCCCTTGTGATTGGAATGAGGGTGTATTGTAGTAACATGGTACTAACCAGCCTATGTACAGATGTGCTTATTTTTTGTGAACCGTACTAGTGCTTTTCAGCACTTGACAGTGGGTGGCCCGAAAACGTTCATTTGGTACTGAACTGAAGGCGGCTGATCACGTATCATGAGTTGGAAGTGACAACAAGCTGTTGTGTCGAAGGTAAGTTGGAGAGAAACTTGCACCCGCCCGAGCGAAATTACCCGACGCGATACACGACAAGGAGATGCTCGCGATCGTGCACGCGTTCAAAGTGTGGCGGTAGCGGTGCTACTTTGACGGGCGCGGACGTGACAATATAGACAGACCACTGAAAACTAGATTACATCCGCACAGAGCCATTACTCAACCCACGACAGATTCGGTGGATGGATTTTATGGAGTCTAACTTCCATTACATGGTCACCTACAAGAGTTCGTTGCCATATTATTGGTGGTGTGGAAGTGACAACAAGCTGAAAACTACAGTACATCCGCGCACAGCCATTACTCAACCCACAACAGATTCGGTGGATGGATTTTATGGAGTCTAACTTCCATTACACGGTTTGAGGCCTCAGATTTCAGGCAAATTTCCCTGATTCAGGGTTTTTTCAGAGGTTTTTTTGGTATCGACCCTGATGCGCTAGGATTTTTTTGAGACACAACCCTGAAATTTCAGGGTTTTTTTATGAGTAAACTCTGTTTGTACAGCGTTGCAATTGTAGTAGGCCCTGTAGCCTTTGCCTAACGGGCAGCTACCCCTGAATCCTATAGCAGTGTGATTGTGGGCCCTGCCATAATATCCGAAAGTTTCCTCTGCTCGATGTGTGCTGGGGGTTTGTGTGAGGGCACTTGACCCTTCACCAAATTTAGGGCTAGAGCGTGCTGGGAGATTTGTGAGGGGACTCTTTGGCCCTTCGTCAAATTTAGGGCTGGCGTATGTTCGGGGATTTGTGAGGGAACTTTTCGGCCCTTCACCAAATTTAGGGCTAGCGTGTGTTGCGCCATGTGTGGGGCACATATTGGGCGTGTGTTGGCTTGGCTTTGTGAGGCCGAGATTTCCTCCTCCTACCCCTGCAATCTTGCTCAGCTATGCGATTGGATCGATCTGCGAAATTTGATTGGCCGCAGCTTCGTGAAAGTGTCGCCACAAAAATTGATGGCTTCAACATCATCATGATTCCCGCGGGAATCCTCCCTCCCTCCATTCCCCCCCCCCCACTTTGTCCCATCCCTGCCCTCCCCGAATGTCGTTTTGCCCATCTCCCATTTTTCGCCAAATCAGCGTGAAATTCTGAAGTAACCCTGATTACTCAGCGGATTTTTTGAGGCCTGAAAAATCAGGGTAAACATGGGGGGGGAACCCTGAGCAATCAGGGTACCTTAAAACCAATCTGAGGCCCTGACGGTCACCTACAAGAGTTCCTTGCCACATTATTGGTGGTGTGGAAGTGACAACAAGCTGTTGTGTCGAGGATAAGTTGGAGAGAAAGTTGCACCCGCCCGAGCGAAACTACCCGACCCGATACACGACAAGGAGATGCTCGCGATCGTGCACGCGTTCCAAGTGTGGCGGTGCTACTTGACGGGCGCGGACGTGACAGTACGGACAGACAACTGAAACCTACAGTACATCCGCGCACAGCCATTACTCAACCCACGACATATTCGGTGGATGGATTTTATGGAGTCTAACTTCCATTACACGGTCACCTACAAGAAAGGGACATCCAACATCGCAGACCTCCTTTCTCGCCCATCCGCCCATCTCAACTCCATAATCCTCGCCCAAATTTCCCCGCTATGAACAGGCCTATATACCCACATGTACCAGACAGAAACATTCTTTACGTCGGACACGTACGAACAGCTCGCAATAGCTAGGGGAGTTTATTACATAAAAACAGGGACTAACCGCATCTGGGTACCAGAGTACATCCTACTACGGGAGTTAATTTTACAGGAAGCTCACGACATCACCATTTTGGGGCACTTCAGAGTGGAGAAAACCTGGCAGCAGTTGACCAGATACTATTTCTGGTCCGACATGCAAGGGGACGTGCAGCGGCATGTGGTTTTGTGCAGAAACTGCCAAACCATGAAATCATCAAAGCAGAAGCCAGCTGGACAGTTACAGCCGATTCCGTCACCTGAGCGTTCGTGGCAGCAGGTGATGATGGATTTCGTCATGGGATTGCCTGCCAAGGACTGCTGTAATGACGCGATATTTGTCGTTGTCGATAAGCTGACAAAGATGGCCCACTTCGCCGCCTGCAAGAAAAGCATCTCAGCCGAAGAGACAGCCCGCCTCTTTATCTCAACCGTTTTTCGCCTCCACGGAATCCCATCCGCCATAATTTCAGATCGCGATACAAAATTCACCAGTATCTTTTGGTGCAAAATCTGGGAACAGATTGGCACGCGCCTGTAATTCTCCTCCGCCTACCACCCCGAGACTGACGGACAGACCGAACGGGCCAATCAAACAATGGAGCAGCTGATTCGCGCCACCTGCAATGACGTGGCCGACTGGGAGCAGCAACTGCGGCTGATGGAGTTCGCGTAAAATAACGCCCCGTCACCCACTACACGACAGTCACCATTCTATCTGAACTACGGGCAGAACCCTACTGTACCGATTACGCCCAACATCGAAAGTCCTGTACCCCGAGCCCAACAATTCGCCGAAATATTACAGAATGCCCGGGAACGAGCAGCTGAAGCCATTAAGCGCGCGAATGTTATTTCTAAGCGCAACGCCGATCTACACCAACGAGCAGTAACTTACCAGGCTGGAGACTTACAACTCCTCGACACCCATAACCTTCGACTGCCCATCGTCCCAAAACTTTGCCCTCGCTATTGCGGATGCTTTACCATCAGCCACATGATATCTTCCATTACAACCCATCTACTGCTACCAGCCACCTGGAATGTCAGCCCATCATTCTATGTGAGATTACTTTGACCATACATCGCCAACACCAGTAAACTACCACGTCACCAAACGAACTTGAACTTCCGACTGGTCGCCGAGCCTACAGTCGAACCTGTGAAGTATCTCAACCATCAGATCAAGGACCGTCGAGGGGCCCGCCTGATCAAGTTTCTGATATCTTGGAAGGACCGGACGACCCTGGAAATCAATTGGGTGCCCCTGGCACATATCGAGAAGTACTCGGTATTACGAGTCTATCTCTAGTCAAGCAATGTGCGCGACGTCGGCGGTCTTAACTAAGACCATACCTTGGAGGGGGGAGGGTGTAAGGAAATGGTATTTCCTTTTCACGGGTCTTAGTCGGTAAGGCGTACACTGTTAGGTTATCGAGAGAATCAATGACTAAGGAAAAGTGTCTAGGGGTACAAGAGTAGGCCTGTACCCTCTAAGAACTGACCTACTAGGCTATATACATATATAACCTAGCTAAAATAAAATTATATTTGTTGACACACCCCCTAGCCTAGATAGTGGCAGTTCATAACAAGGAAACGTATACCAGGGCAGCACTACTAGTCTGACCTCTGGTGAGGGTAACAAGACAACTCAAGGCAGCTCTACTAGTCTGACCACTGAGATAAGAGGCCACAAGGCCAGTCAGTAAGTGTAGCAAGACAAGCAGGTATAGAATAACAAATACAAGCATGCATTGTATGGCTCAAGATACAAGGAGCGGTGCTGCTACAGAGGCTAGACCAAGCTGAGTACGGAACCGCTGATGGTCCCAAGGCGCAAGTGCCTTGGTGAATATATAAGCGGTGTTGGCCTCTGAGGCCAACTATACCACATAAACCTGACCGCGCTGCTGCAACTCACGCAGCAGGAAGTACCGCAGGTGGATGTGCTTCGCCCTGCCCTCAAGTCGAGCCTCGTGACACAAGAGGATCATGGCCTTGTTGTCAGCAACCATGACCGAGACAGAGCTAGGCTGATCACCTAAGTCTGTGAGCGAGAACATCAGCCAGCGGAGCTCCAGAGCAGCCATGGCCCCAGCGTAGATCTCTGCCTCACAGCTAGACTGAGCTACAGACGACGGCCTGGTGGACCTCCACGAGACTGCACCATCACCAAGACAAAAGCAGTAGCCATGTGACAACCTGAGCGTCTCCAAGTCGTCAGCCCACGACGTGTCTGTGTGTCCAGTGAGCACCAGTGGCTCCCATCCTCCTAGAACAAGCCCCAGTCTTGATGTACTGGAGTGCAGGTCACCAGGTACATGAAGCACCCCACAAACTCCGCGTATGGACCACTAGCCTCGACTGGCTCAGCCGCAATAGGAGCAGAGAGCTTGTGATCCATAGGCAGAGGACTGGGCTATGCTGAGGAGAACTGGAGACTGAACCTCTGGAGGATCTGCTGCACCATATGGGACTGGGAGAGTGTGATCATGCAAGTGGTGCGGTCACGAGAGATATCCAAGCCCAAATAGCATCTCAGCTCCCCTAAGTCTGTACAAGTGTGTCTCCTAAGAAACTCGACCTTCACTGAGGCCAGTGCCACTCTGACAGGAGTAGCAAAGATAAGATCGTCTACGTACACTAGGATGTAGAACAGGGTCTGACCCGAGGGAACAAAGAGAGAGGGGTCAGCAGATGACGGAACAAACTGCATCTCAACAAGAGTGGTGCGAAGCGTGTCGTGCCAGTCACGTGGTGCATGACACGGTGGCGTAGGCTCCATTCGGTCCCAGGTGGGAAGGACCCAGAGAAGCATAGTGGGCGCCGGAGGTAGATCTGCTGGTGCAGACTACCCTGTAGGAAGGCTGTGGAGAAGTCGAGTGAGTGAAGCTGGTAGTCACGCTGCATAGCTATGTAGAGAAGGATCCGAAGAGTAGTCATCTTCGGGGTCAGAGAGAAGGTCTGCAAGAAGTCCACACCCTCACGCTGACTGAAGCCTTTAGCCATGTAACGCACCTTGTACTTTGGCGGCTCTCTAGGTGCACGCTTCACCATGTGGATCCACATGCCATCGACTATGTTCGCCCGAGGCGGGGGAACTGCGTCGACGTAAGTGCATGTGGATCTGTAGAATGCCATGGCCTGTATCCACTGGGCTGCCTAGGTCCTCGACACTGCCTCAGCGTAAGAGCGCGGAACAGGGATGTCGAGAACGTCTGGGTCATCCTCT